TAAAGTGATTGATTTATCATCTCTTTTCCCTTTTTTTTTTTTTTTCTTTTTTTTTTTTTGGTTTTTATTTGGAAATTCACAATTTTTTTTTTATTTGAACCAACCGCATTCTCATAAAGTGCATTTTTTCAAAAAAAAAACATTAGAAAGGATGATAAAAATATTTTTTCATTTATTAATTGATTAAGTTTTTTTTTTGGAAATTTGAAAGAAAAAACCAAAATTTCAATGAAAAGATACATTGAAATTTTTGTACACTATGTATGTATGTATGTTTGTTTGATGATGACATGTAAAATTTTACAAAATTTTATTTTCAAAACGATATCCCCCTCTCCCTCAATTCTCTGATGATAGAATTTTTTTTTTGTTATTCAATTTGTTTTTAATGACCATATTTTTGAAATTCCCATTCACGATTATCTAATGGACAAACTTGTCGTGTTTTAAGCCATCGTGAAATACAATGAAAATGAAATGCATGATTACATACACCCCATGCTACGGTACATTCTTCACTTGCTGCCGATGCTTGATTTGCTTGACATTCAATACAAAGATCCATTATATGATTACGACAAATGGCACAATTATCGACAACAATATCCCATGCCCAAAGTGCAACAGCACACCATTTTTTTACTTCAAAACGTTTACGACCATGTATGGATGATGTTGATGATGATGGCAATTCTGGTACATTCATATTTTCATTATTAGCCTCCATATCAACATCATCCACTGCCATTTCATATTCGGCCATCTTTATTTTTTTGTTTGTATTTCTTGGTGGTGATGAGTCAATTTTTGAAACAAAAAATCGATATAAATCGAATCCAAACAAGAATAAAAGAGTGAAAGGGAAGACGAAAAACAAATCTGAGATGATTAAAGATGCGAAATCACTTGATCAATAAACTTTATATTCTAAAAAAAAGAAAAGGAAAAAATTAAACGATAAAAAAACCGGACTTTGACAATAAATCTTTTCTCAAAAGTTTATTTATAAATTTGTACACAAATTCATGTTTGTTTATTTATATTTTTTGTGATTAATTTCAACAAAACAATGTGGAAAAAAATCCAAAATAACTTACCCGTTACTTTTTATTTTGTTGTAAATATTCGAATTTTAGAATTTTCGAATGTTAATCAATATGAAAATTTTAACAATGACTATATTTTTCTTAATAATTTCATTAACAAAATGAAATAAGAAAAAAGGATTTTTTCGAATACGACGTAAAAAAAGATCATCAGATCATTAATCTATATTTACATTAATTCGTCATCTGAAAATAGAAAACAAAGAATATAATCGTTTTTGCAAATGGAATATACCGAAAACAAACAAAAGACAACGCTGCAGCGAACATATATCGCAGACTCATCTTAAAATATTTGGATACATTCAGATAGAATGTAATATTTGAATCACGTGTTCCAAGATTCAATGTGCGTTTTCTTTTTGAAGAAAAAAAAATTGGTTATCAACATTAAAAATTTTCTGATGATTAAGTTTTAATTGTTGTTTTTTTTCCAGAACAAAAATAAAAATCCAAAAAATAAAATTATGAATCATTCAATATCACAGATTACATCAGTTAAATTTAAATTGTTTGCTGAAAGTGAAGCTAAAAAGCTAAGCGTTTTACCAATTTCAAATGCACAAGTATTTGATCCGCTTGGACATCCATTGGATAATAGTCTTGCCGATACTAGTCTAGGTAAAACAAAATAATTAATATTCTGCATTCAATTCTAATTGAATGATTTTAAATCATGAATATATAGGACCATTAAAACGTAATGATTTCTGTAAAACATGTGGCCTAACCGATTTCGAATGTCTTGGTCATTTTGGCCACATTCAACTTCCATTACCTGTGTTCAATCCATTTCTATTGAAACATGTCTTTCAGGTAAGATTTCTATCTACTTCATTTCATTTTATATAAGAATTACGATGATTTTTTCTTTCATTTCTGATTAGGTTTTGAAAATGTTTTGTTTTAATTGTCATCGATTATTATTCACACCGTTCAATGTTGAAATATATATTGCTCAACTTCGTGCATTAGATCTTGGATTGGATTATATTCTTGACGATATTTTACAATATGCCAATGATATTTCACAATCATTTAAAAGTTTTGATTGGGGTTCAAGTGAAGGACAAACATTTTTACGATCAAAATTAACTGAATTGATTAATTCAGAATGTAGAAATAATAAGAAAAAAAATATGATGGAAAAAAATGAAATCAATGATAAAAACATGGATGATAATAATGTTGTTCAATTAGAGTCGATAGAAATAGTCAATTCAAAAAATGTAATTGAAAAGAAACAGCATTTATTTAAAGATCTAATCAGTTTGAAAATTATCAAACCGACTAAAGTTTGTACGCGTTGTAATTCCAGAAAACGTGGCTTAAATGTTATTAATAAATCATCAATAGTTATGACCACTGGAACACGTATGAAAAATGTGACCGATATGGATGAAACGATCGGCGTAGAGAATCGTTCATCTAAGTCGATAGAGATGAAAGGAAAATCATATCTAACACCGGCACAAGCACGTGAACATTTAAGAAAATTGTGGGTAAACGAAAAAGATGTTCTTATTCGATTATTACCGTTTTTGGACATCGATTTTAATGTTGATAATTCAATACCGAATGAATGTCCTATGGATGTATTCTTTTGGGAAACAATTGTTGTCACACCAAATCGTTTTCGACCATTAAGACATATGAATGGAAAATCATTTGAACATCATCAAACAACGGCGCTTAGTGAACTTATGTTGGTGGCAAAATCATTAGAAATAGCATTAGATAGTGCCAAAAAGACCAATATGGATGATAATATTGAACGATTCTATCGACATTGGTTACGATTACAGATTCTTTGCAATCGTATCTATGATATCGGTATGGATAATTTGCCGGATAAAAAATCTATCGGTGTTAAACAAATTCTGGAGAAAAAAGAAGGACTTATGCGTAAGAATATGATGGGTAAACGTGTGAATTTTGCCGCTAGATCTGTGATATCACCTGATCCATATATTAGAGCCGATGAAATAGGTGTACCATTAGTTTTTGCCACACGATTATCATATCCACAACCGTTAACCGATTGGAATGTCAAACAACTTCAAGAAATGATTATCAATGGACCGAATCAACATCCTGGTGCATTGTCTATTACTTATGAAGATGGTTATACTGTACGTTTGAAACCAGATGATATAAATCAACGTCGTTCAATAGCGGCCACATTGCAACCGCCATCATTTCATCCGAATCAAGGAATGCAAGGTGTTAAGATTGTTAATCGTCATCTAATTACAGGTGATGTTCTTCTTGTTAATCGTCAGCCAACTTTACACAAACCATCAATAATGGCACATCGTGCACGTGTATTGCCTAAAGAAAAAACCTTACGACTACATTATGCTAATTGTAAATGTTATAATGCTGATTTCGATGGTGATGAAATGAATGCTCATTTTCCTCAATCAGAATTGGCACGTTCGGAAGCCTATAATATTGCCTCAGTCAATTATCAATTTCTTGTGCCGAAAGATGGATCACCATTGTCCGGCCTTATTCAAGATCATATCGTTGCTGGTGTATTACTGTCAACCCGCGGTCGATTTTTTAACAAAAAAGATTATCAAGAACTTATTTATGGTGCATTATCATTTTTGACAAATAAATCAATCAAATTTCTTCCACCTACAATTATAAAACCTGAATATCTTTGGTCGGGAAAACAAATTATATCAACCTTATTGTTGAACATTATACCAGCCAATAAACCATTGCCAACATTTCAAATTGAAAGTAAAGTTTCAACGAAATTATTGATTTCAGAAAAACCAAGGTCATGGACTGCCGGTGGTCCATTAGGCGAAAAAGATATGTGCGAAAGTCAGGTTATATTCCATCATGGTGAACTATTATGTGGCATTATGGATAAAGTAAGCTTTGGAGCGAATAAAAATGGCCTTATTCATGTCTGTTATGAGCTTTATGGTGGTGATATTCATTCACTTTTGTTGACGGCCATTGCCCGTCTTTGTACCAATTATCTTCAATCACATCATGGCTTTACGTTGGGCATACATGATATACTGATCAAATCGAAACCGGATGCGAAACGAAAAAAAATAATTCGAACATCAAAATCTTTGGGTATGAATGCTATTGTTGAAGCTTTTCAAATACCTATCGATAGTGATGATGTTATGGTTAAATCGAAGTTTCGTGAAGCACATACAGCACGTGATAATGATTTTATGATGAAACAATTGGATGCTGCTTACAAATCACAGACCGATTCTGCCAACAATGAAATCACAAAGATTTGTATGCCTAAAGGATTGGTGAAAAGTTTTCCTGCAAATAATTTACAAATGATGATTCAGACTGGTGCTAAAGGTGGTTCAGTAAATGCTATACAGATTTCCTGTTTACTTGGACAGATCGAATTGGAAGGTCGTCGTATACCGTTAATGATGTCTGGACGAACGTTACCATCATTTCGACCATATGATACACAACCACGTGCCGGCGGCTTTGTCACCGGACGTTTCCTTTCCGGTATTCGACCGCAGGAATTCTTTTTCCATTGTATGGCCGGTCGTGAAGGTTTGATTGATACGGCTGTAAAAACTTCTCGATCCGGTTATCTTCAACGTTGTCTTATTAAACATCTGGAAGGATTGATTGTAAATTATGATCTTACTGTTCGTGATTCGGAAGGATCAGTCATACAATGGCTTTATGGGGAAGATGGTCTAGATATTCTTAAATCACAATCATTGAAAAAACCATTCTTTCCTACCATATTGAATAATCGTGAAGCTTTAAAAGCAAGCAAAAATGAAATGGAAAAATTAACGTTGATTCGTAATCCAACATTGATGAAACAGATTCAACGTGTGAAAAAATTTCAAAAATCTATTGATAATCAAACACAATCAACAAAAACATCACCGTTTTCAGTGTTTGAACATCAAAAACGTCAGAATAATTTGATGATTACTAATGATGAATTAAAACAAATGTGGTATGATCAAGATGTCAAACAACGACAGATGTCGATAAACAGGACTATGAAATCAATCGAACCGATAATTCCACGATATCGTCCAGATTTAAATCTTGGTGCCATAAGTGAAATGTTGGATAAAATTGTTGAAGATTATGTTCATTCAGGTTTAAAAAATGAACCGAAAAATGTGATCAATGAATTTCGTCAAACAATGAATGTTTGTTATATGCGATCATTATGTGCACCAGGTGAAGCTGTAGGCCTTTTAGCTGCACAATCTATTGGTGAACCATCCACTCAGATGACATTGAATACATTTCATTTTGCCGGTCGAGGTGAAATGAACGTAACTTTAGGTGTTCCACGTCTTCGTGAATTATTAGTAACAGCATCGAGTCATATTTCTACACCAAGTATGGACATTCCATTTCGTACAGATATTGATCCCAGTGTAAATATTGAAGAAGAAGCGGAAAAAGTACGTTTACGTTTGAATGCTGTACGATTAAAAGATGTACTTGAATTTGTCGATATTAATGAACATATCGAAATTGGTTCATCAAATTCGTTTGGTGATCGATCACGTATTTATACTATTCGGTTTGGATTCTTGCCAAAATCTTATTATAAACGAAGATATTTTACAACACCATCCAAAGTGTTACATTATGTTGAAACAATATTCATTCGACAATTTATTGAAGCTTTGAATCGTCGATTACGATTATTGACACAATCCAGTGGATTATTCGATACAAAAAGTACACGATTAAAATCTGGTAATCAGACGAAAAAGAAAACCATTGTTGATGGCGATGAAGAAGAAATGATGCAACAGGAAAATGATGACAATGAAGATGGCGATGATGGTAATGATAATGATAACGATGATCAAACATCAAAGAAAAAGAAATCATTGATCGATGATGACGATGATGATGATGATGAAGATTTTGATGATTATGATGTTGATGAAGGTGAAGGTGATACTGTTGCTATGCGACAACGTACACGTTTAAATCAGGAACAAGAATATGAAGAACCTGATCAAGATGAAATTGAAGAACAAGAAGATGATATTGATGATGATCAAGAATCAAAAGAAAATGATAATCAATATGCCGATATCCTCTATAATCTTGTACAAAATCCGATAATCAAATCTGAACCTGTTGATAATGATGACGATGAGGAAATTGTTGCTAATGAAACAAATGTATCATCATTGCGTGAACAACGATTAGCTGAAAAGCAAAAAAATCTCGAAGCGGCGGCTGAAGAACGAAAAAAACGAGTATTGAATAAATCACCCGGATGTATAATGGATTATTCATTCGATACAAGTCGAGAACTTTGGTGTGAATTTATATTGAAATTTCCACTAATATCGGCCAAATTAGATCTACGAACTATTGTTGAAGAAGAATCTTTTCGAGCTTTCATTCATCGTGTCGGTCGAATCGATCGTGCATTTTTAGTCAAAGATAATGATGCTGCACAAAAAAATTTACCATTTTGTAAATTGATCAAAACGGAAGGTGTATCCGTACCGCAAGTTGTTGAATTTGAACGTTTTCTTGATTTACGACGTATCTATACGAATGATATGCATGCTATTGCACGTACTTATGGTATTGAAGCAGCACGTGCCGCACTTATACGTGAAATTAAAAACGTTTTCGCTCCTTATGGTATTTCAGTAGATAGTAGACATTTATTATTGATTGCCGATCATATGACATTTACCGGTTCTATAAAAGGTATGAATCGTGGAGCGATGGATGGAATCTCACCACTTCAGGCAATGACATTTGAAACAACTACAAATTTTTTGAAAAATTCTTTGCTTTTAGGTTTGTTATTCATTTATTTCAGACAACTTTTTATTGAAAATTTTGAAATTAATAAATTTTACAATTTACAGGCTTGAACGATGATTTACAATCGCCATCAGCACGATTAGTAATAGGACGTCCAACAGTTGTTGGTACTGGTTTGTTTGAAACACGTTTAAAGCCAAAAATGGTTACGGAATTGATTCAACCGAATCTACATTTAGGTACATCGCTGCAACGTCATTCATACCATCCATCGACATCATTCCTTGGCCAACCTTCAACATCACGATCATTGTTTGGCCGTTTTTCAAATGTTAATCGACAATCATCATTCTTATCACCATCGATGTTTTCACCGAATCTATTCAGTTCGGCTTCAAAGGATAAATCGAACAAAAGTCGAAAACGCTCCAAACCTGATGTTGATAAAAATGATGATAAAACCTCAACTCCAATCAAAGAGGAAATTCATTCCGATATTGAAGAAACGAATTTGTCCGAAACACCACCAGCTACAAAAAAGATGAAAAAATCTAAAAAACTGTCCATTAAATCAGAATTTGACTAATCATTTATAGAATTAAACAATTTTCAAATTTTTATTATCAATCAAACCAATGTACAAAAAAAATTTCATTCAATAGCCTAAATCCTCTATATATCATACAAAGATGCCAACTTTAAAAAAAACGAAATTGCGATGAACACATTCACTAAACAAAAAAAAAACAAATCCAAATATTGATTTCATTTTGATGTTGCCATTTTGGTCACCAATTTATTGGTCTGTTGCTGAGTATTGTTACTATTATCATGATTTCTTGCCGTCGATCGTGATTGTTTCGCTAATTGTTGTTGATGTTGATGAGATCCACCATTTCCATGTCCTGTCATTGAATACTGCTGTTGACATTTTTGCTTATTGGTTTTGATGCTAGAGCCAATGATTGGTGAGTTTTTTACCTCATTGGCAGTATTAACATTAGTCGGGATATTATAGCAAACATTATGTATTGCAGCTTGTGGCTGCGAATTAGCTTTGCATGTATGCGGATAATGTACTTGAGCGATTCGATCATACGATAATGATGTATCAATCGGCGGTGGTTGTCCATTGTTTAGTTGATGACCATTTGGACCCAATTGATTTCGGCGAATATCAGTTTTCTGTTGCGATGATTGTATTGTTTCATCCATTTTTGGTTGTGCAATCAAATTCATTGGAATTGTTCCATATGGATTGATAATCGAATATGATGGTGAAACATTAGCTTGTGATGGTGGTACAAGGCTATGAGGAAGCGGATGCGAATATGGCACATGAGAATTAGGATTCGATTGATGTTGCATCGCAGATTGAATATTTGGACCATACATCATCGGATAACCATTGGCAATCTGCGAATAAAATGATAATTACAACTTTAATATAATTATGATGATAATAATTTACAGAAAGAGTATATTGATGATTTGGCTGTCCAGCTGTGGAAGTAATATTCGTATTATTTGGAGGCACATTTGTTGAAGATTGATGTGGAAGGATTTGATGTGTTGGAGGATTAGCCAACAATGGTGTCGAATGGGATGGTGGCTGTTGTATTCCACCCATTGCCGATTGATTCATGTAGGTATAAAACTATAATTATAAATTATAAATTGTAAAATTATGTATCACAAAAGAACAATGAAAATTACCTGTTCATTTGGGATTGAATGCAAATATTGATATTGATTATTGGCATTCGGATCCATATATGGATTGTATGCTATGAACAGAAGAGTCCGATTAGATAAGAATTCATTTGAATCTTAATACTGTACCTGTAACGCCCGGAACACGTAAATAAGGAGCATAAGGGTTAGGCTGTTGCTCTATCAAATGATGAGCCGGTGGCTGTTGATTTGATAGCTGATGGATGGATGACATCGATGATGGATGATTCATACGATGATGGCTGCCAAAATTTCCAGTTCCACCTTGATATTGATGATGATGATGATGAAGTTGACTAGTACCGGGATGTGAATGTCTTGCATTATATCCACCACCACCACCACTTGTTTGATGATAAGGGTTATTTTTAGGATTATTATTCATCACATTAGATCGATAAGGACCTCTTGAATGAGGATGTTGATGATTGGAATTATTATTGTTATGATTGGAACTATCGAATCGTTGTGAATGATATTGATTTTGATGATGATGATGATGATGAGAAGGATTGGCAGGCCTGTACGATGCGGCAGATTGATGAGATGATGACGATTGATGGTATGATTGTGGTTGATAATTATAATATGGCTGAGTAGCCGGCGGAGGATGAAACGGTGGCTGTGCTGATTGATGATGTTGATAACTCTGATGATGATACATATTATGATATTTATTAACTCTACCAGTATAACCACCTGATTTACCACCATTACGGTTTGAATTTGAACCGACATACGAATTCTGAGGTTTACGCCGTTGCATCATCTGTTGGCTATTGTTATTATTATTTTCTTTTTTATCAATTAATGGTTGTTTTTGCTGGCCATCATCACCACCACCACCACCATCATCATCATCATCATTATCAACAATGTTCGTAATATTGGTGTCGATAATCTCCAATACATTTTCATTTGTATCACAATTATTGTTTTGACTGTTTGAATCAAGACTAGAACTATCAACTGGTTGTTGTGGTGATTGTATCAATTTGTTATCGGAATTTTCTTCATTGCCAGTTTGAAGTTGTAGCTTAGATTTTGATGATTGTGATGAAGAAGAATCGGCATCCTTTGCATCTTGTTGACTGAAAATTCGTGCACGAACTTTTTCATAATTCTCTTCACGTTCTTCTAATGATCTTGATCGTGATGAATCGGATAGTGATCCTGTTCCACATCCACTACCACCACTCACAAGACTGGCACCACCACCATTCAATAATAATGAATTATCCGGACTTTTATCCTTATCAAATGAACTGCCAGGTGAATCATCTAACGATGTTGAATCTCGTTTCAATATAGATTTTTTCTGTCCAATTGTTTCATCTCGTTGATCTTTAGCTATCATCTCTTTGAATGATTCATCTGGTTGTCGTGTATTGGAATTTTTCGTTAAAATAACTGACGAATGAGCTTGATCAACTAAATGTTCAAGCTGATAATAATCGGCTGTTTTATGAATCAACATTCGATTATAGGAAGATGCTTGCTGAATTTTCAACGTATCACGAGTTGTATCATTAAGAAATTGTGCGAGATCCTGTTCAATTTTATATAGGAATTGTCGATCTTTCAAACTTTTTTTCAAAGTTTCTGTAAGAAATGTTTTTGCCTCGGCAACGGAAATTTCCTGAATTTCACTACTTGAATCTATGAAAAAATTGATTTTTTAAAAAATTAACATTTTTACTTTTTAAAGAAAAAGAACACAACTAACCTCTTGAAAGACTTGGCGATGATGTATTGCTACTTATTATGGAACTATTTTTACTGCTTGTCTGTAATGAATAAAATTCAGTGAAATTAAAATCAACTAAAAATGACAATAATCAAAATACTAACTGTTAAACTTATTGGTTGGCTAATGTTACTTCCAGATACGGTATTATTTCCGTTATTGATAATACTGCCACAAACAGTGCTGTAAGCCACAGTCAAATGATTTGTTGATGAACCAACATTTTTTATCAAATTCAATGTTTCATTACTTCCACCATTCGATAATTGAATGGGTGGTGGTGATGGCGATAAACTTGATTCACGTACAGCACCACTACGAATCAAAGGTTTTGAACGTTTTTTCAAACTGCCATCCATACTGTGCGTTGATTTTGGCCGAACAGAATTATCACGATTTTTACCATTCGATTCATTTGTATCGTTGATTATTAATCCATCAATAAATTGTTTTGATAAGCTACTGATGACATTTTCATTTATTGATTGATCATTGTTATTTGATTCTTGCATAATGGTAACAATTTCATCATCAGCATTTTTTGTTTCCAGCTACAATGAAAATTGATGAAAAGAAAAAAAAGTTATAATTTGCACAACAAAAAAAAATTAAAATAAATCCAAACCTCATCGACTGAATCAATACAAATAGATATTGAATGTCCTTTCATTTCTTTCATTGTAATTGAATTTTCTTTTATCACATTATTCGATGATGATGATTCATTATTTTCGACCATATTTAAATCATCAATTTCCTCTTGTTGTTTTTTCATTGTCGATTTTCGTAATTTATTATTAATCATTGTCGATGATTGTAATTGATGTTGTTCCCTGTGACTGTCACCATTCGATTTATTATCATCTTGTTGCTGCTCTTGATTTGTATGAACCAATTTCGATGAAGTTGTTTTTGTCGAAACTGTAGCCATATTATCATCATTAATTGAAGACATTTATTACAATGAGAAGCAGAAAAAAAACTATATAGAGATCTATATTTTTTTTGTTGTTGTCTATGAAGATCAATCAATTTTTTTTTGTTGTTGATGAAATGATAATAAATTGCTCAACAGAAATTTTTTTTTTGTTATCGTTTACAACTATTTTGGGAGCTACATACACACAAACACGAGCTGTCATTGAAAAGAAAAAATAGAAAAGAAAAAAGAAAATTGATTGGATTTATTTGAATTATTCAGTAAATATAGATACAATAAACAACAACAACAACAACGAAAATCATAAGTAATTTGAATATTGATTTCGATTCAATAATTTTCCATCAAATGGTTTGGTCAATACTTGAAAATTTTTCTAGAATTATTTCGAAAAACAAAGAATTTCGATTCTATGAATAATAAACATAATTCTATCAATTCAGAAACTTGTTTAGACAAACCATTTGAATGATAAATAGAGAAAAAAACCAGACACCATTCAAGCAGTTATGACGCCTATAGACATTGTAATGTACATGTATTCTAATCATGTTGATAAAAAAAGTATTGTAATGATTGATATTTATGTTTGTTTGGTAAATTATTTTTATCCCCTTTAAACAACAGTTACAAATATGGCATCTGGTTATTGTTGTTTTTTTTTGTATATTAAATTTACCTAATTAATCAATGACTAATTAATATCTGATATCTGAACAAAAAACTTTATTTCAATTGTAAATGAAATTTGAATCAAAAAAATGTTTACTTACCAGGATTTTGTTTTGAAAATTATTTTTTCAATTCTTTTATATTTTCATCTAATTAGATACATTTGTAAAAGAAATATGGCAGCTCAACAAATAAAATATTAGAGGCCGGTATTTGTAACAAAAAAAAAAAAAAAGAAAAAAGAATCAGATAGATCGATGATTTGTCTTCATCTGGATGTATCTATCATTCTTCCTCTGATTTACTATCACTTTAATTTATGAATTTTATTGAAAACTAACTAATAATTAATTGCCACTCAACAACAACAACAACAACAACAACGAAAACAAAAACTTTTCAATAACCAAATTGCACCATACACACAAATTTAACATACATACATACATTTCTCAAAAAAAAAGATTCAATGTAAAAATAATGGTTTATAATAATGCCGAATGATGAATGAACCAAAACGAGAAAAAAATAAAGGATTTGAGGTATAAAAAAATGGTGAATTCTATATAATGAATTTTGAAAACAATTTCGGGTTCATATTAATGTGTTCCCATTTTCAATTTCATCTTCAAACAACAAGCATGTGTATTAACACACACAAATCACACAAACACGGTAAATGTATATGGCAAGAATCTGAAATACTGAAAAGAAGCAGCAGCAGCAGCAGTGTATAGCAACTTGAAAATGGACGACAATACTTTATGACGACATTCCCGAAAATAAAACACACAAATGATGAGCAAAAATGATGGTAACCAATTTTACTACTAATAGTTTCACGTATAGACATTGAAATGGAAAAATTTTTTTTTTGTAGAATCTATATTTCGATTTTGTTCGAATTATAATCGGGTAAAATTAAAGTTTGGTTCGTTTGATGTTGAATGTTGATGTCGTTGATGATGGTGATGTGATCACAATATTTGCAATATTTTGTTTAATGATATTTAATACTTTTTTCAATCATTTATGTTGGCGTTATTAATCCTAAACTAAAATTAAGAAAGAAAAGAAAAATTACATTGAAAAAAAATGGCCAACGCATCAAACCCATATGGCCATATAAAAAATACACACACACACACAAACACGAGATATGTTTATAATCTCGATAAGCGCATGTTCTATTCGAAACATCGCGATGATGAGCCGATGATCGTGTTCGTTTCGTAAAAGTTGTAAAGTTTTTTTTTTGTCATTATTCATCAATAGATGGCCCTTACTTGTTTAGTTTGATTAATTGGATCTCTTGTAGAATAGGAACCCCAATGCTGTTTTGGGTTCTTATTCTACAAGAGGTTTATTTTGGGGTTCCTAATCTACATGAACCTTAATAAGGAACGAAACGATTACAATTCTAACGAAATACATCATATCTTTTTTTAAATTAGATATTTTTGTCAGCAGTTAGGTTTTCCTCCCCGGAAAACCTAACTGTCCCATCCTAACCTAACCTAACCTGCCGAGATTAAGTTTGATTAATTAAAAATCAAGGAATGTTCATTTGCTTTATTCTATTTATGTATGTAGCAAGTTAGCATTGAGTTACTATGGGTTGGGTTCCTATTCTACAAGAGGTTCATTTTGGGGTTCCTAATCTACAAAAGGGTGTTTTGGGGTTCCTAATCTACAAGAGATCCGATTAATTTTACAAATTACAATTAATTTAAAAAACTTTAATGATAATAATAATAAAAGAATTTCCAAACAAAAAACAAAATAGAAGATTCAACAAATTTTCAAATCAAGAATGTTTAAGTTTTTTTTTCCAAATTAAATAATTCCAATGTTAATGGACCAATATATTGTGGATCAAATTTCATCAATATCATTTCAAGTAATTCATCATTAAAATGACTTATCTCTTCCAAACGACTTAAAAGATTTAGATAGATTGATTTAGCTTCACAAATGGATTGAAATTTAACCTCTAGATAACGTTGTAATAGATGACAATAGGTATAATATTCCAATCTAAATTTTTATAACGAACTTTTATTAATTAATTTTTTTTAATTAATTTGAAATTTTTTTTTTAATTCATACGTTATGTATTCACGATGCAGCAAACCTTCACGATTGGGAAAAAATACCATAATTAAGATAAGCTAATAAAATTGATGAAAAAGTTAATTCAAATAAAAAACGAAAGAATTGTTATGGTGCTTACCAGATTAACAATCATATCATCATTTTTCCAATCAGCATGAAATGATTGACAAAAATTTTGACATCTTTCATAATGTTGTTCACCATGTAATTGTCGAAGATAATCTTGTTCATAAACAAGAAGTGTACCATCCTTTGAAATGAAATTTTTTTTTAACATTTATTTTGAAAAAATTATCGAATAAAATCATTTACCTTATTATAGGGAATATTTACGGAATTTTTTTCCGGATCATAACAACGAATTATATTGAGTAGACTACGAATTTTACTTACAGAATTTTTCAACAAAATTTCCTGATCAACAAGACAAAGATTTTTGAATGCTTGAACATTTTTAATATGTAAAATTAATTGTTTGATTGCAAATTCTAAATATTGAAATCCTTCAACCATATTATTGACAATTTTACGTTCACTATTCACTGAACGTTGATCCATTTCATTTAATGTAACAAAAATTCTTTGTAATTCTTCCAAACGATCATGTTCCATTTTATCGAATCGTTTTGGATCTTTATCATAAATATCATCAATAACTTTTTCCTTTTGTAAAACATCTTTATAAATTTTTGATGAAATTTGCCATTTATTATATTGTTTTTGATTTGCAATTACATTTTCCGGTAACATTGAAATATTATCCAATGATGTTGTTGTCGATGTTTTCGGTGTTGATTGATAATAATTATTATTATTTGTTATTATTGTATCATTATTTTTAGCTAAATATTCTGATGGTGGTGACCATTGAATATCATTGAATTTTATTGGATCATTTTGCGGCAACGGCGGCTGCAAAGAACAATGTGGTGATGATGATGATGATTGTTGTTGTGGCTGCTGTTGATCATTGAAAATATTTTTCGAAAATAATGTCGTTGTTGATGAAGATGATTCATATGAAAATAAATCTGGCCCTCCATCATTTTTCAATGAATCATTTTCATTCAAAAATATTATATTATTATTATCATTATGATGATCTTTTGATTGATCTTTGTGGCCATCATCACATGTCAAAGGTGATGATGATGATAAATCTAATCGTTCATTAATATATTCTATTAAACGTTTTCTATCAATCGATTGTATCAAATCATTTGTTGTTGTTGTTGTTAATGTTTGTAATTGTTCATATTTTTCTTTATTAATAATCGATTTATCCGATGATGTTATTATAGGTAATATAATGATATTATTTTGTCCATGATTTATTTTGATTCGTTTAGCATTATTATCATCAATAATTGTACTACTATTCGAATGATCATTACTTGTTGATTGTTGTTGTTGTTGATTTTGTGTTGTTGAACTATCAGCATCATTCAATTCAATATGACGATGTTTACGACGTTTCATTTGTTTTTCTTCATCCGTTAAAATCCATTCTTTTAACATACCGATCGAAAAACATTTATCTAATCGACATTTTCGACAATATTTTCTTGTTTTTGGATCTAATTGACATTTATTTGTATTTGATATACAATGAAATTTCTATGAATAAATAAATTATAATATAAATAATATTTTTATTCACAAAGCACATCAATCAAATAGATTTACCTTGTTACGTAAAGCATTACGACGAAAAAATGCTTTACATGATTCACATGTTAATGCATTGAAATTATATCCTAATGCTTTATCACCGCAAACACCACAAATTTTTGTTAGTTCCATTTTAGTTTCACAACTGTGATCAACAATGGTGAAATTCGAATCGATAAATGTCGAATCTATTCAAAACAAACAAACAAACATTATGTCGAAAAAAACGAGGTGCGAATTTTAACAAACAAAATTGTCAACATTTAAAATAACAAGAATCAAATTGCGAATAAAGAAAAACCAACAAAATAAAAAAAAGAGAAAGAAAGTAAAAGTTTTTTTTTCTCAAAACCAAAACCAAAAAGAAAAAAAACATCGAAATTATCCACAAACACATACACACCAACGCAATGAGAGAGAGAGAATCACAAAAACAAACTCACCATAAAATAAAAATTATATTAATCATTATCAACTTGATCGAATAACATTAATCAAATATATAAAAAAAATCATGAGCCCAGGCAAGAAAAAAAAAGAAGTTAATTTATCATCAACGTTATTAAGTACATTTAGAAAAAATCGCTTATCATAAATTTTTTGTTTCTAATCATCAAATTCAAAGCAAATATTTTACCTCGAGTTTTCTTTAATATCTTTTTTCTTCCTAAATCATTTCGATAACAACGAATACGACAAAATAAATTGAATTTATCTTAATAAAAACACATCTTTTATCAATCATCATTTTTTTCTTTGTTTATTTCAAATTAAAATCAATGATTATTATTCATTGAATTATGATTACAATCATCTGATGAAAAAAAGTTCGAAAGTACCTCTAAATTCAATTCGTTTAAATTATCATCAACATTAATAATGTAAACGTTTCTGATATGATCGGTTTTTATGTGATGAATTAATAATGATGATTTTATTATCTGAAAATATTGAAATGAAATAAAATAGCCAAAATAATAATAATAAACAAACAAGATTCGACATGATATAATGTCATAATGAATATTACAAAATAAAATAAAAAAGATGAAAGTTTTTTTTTTTGGCTCATTCCAATTTTCGTATCTGTTGTATCAACATTTTTGTATCGATTCGATTGATTGCAATTATATTATAACAATTTTTGGATTGATAAATCGATTTCTCTATAGTGAATACATATTGTTGCATCCATATTGTCGAATAAAATAGATTTAACCATGTTTGTAATGTCATTTGAGAAATTTCTTCGGCTGTTTTTCCAATTAATTTTTCGGTTTGATCGCCAAAAACAATTATCCAAATTGAACCGGTCATATCGTTTATTTGAAATTGTGAACGAAGACCCCATTTATAATGAATTAAACTTGATGATTCTAACCATCCACAATATCCACAAAATAATTCACCTTCACCAGTAGTCGATAATTTTCGTTTACATTGTTCACCATTCGGACACATTCGATATGCTGGATGATGTTTGAATGATGTTGATACAATGGTTGCTAAACAATCAAAAGTTTTTTTAAAATTCGATGTCTCTTTGATTTGTTCAATGTAAAAAAGTTTAACATTTTGAATAAGCGTACTATTGTTTGTATGATACCAATTTCGTAATTGTATTGCTTCCGGTATATCCGGATCAATTGTAATGGTTGTCATCGATGTACATGATAATGACAGTCCATTAAATGAACATATTTTTACATTTTTTAATGCAATGATTTGTCCTGATTCTCCACAAAAATCATCGGCCATCTTTTGCCAAATAGCAATTTGAATATTTGTCTGTGAATAATCGAAAATAGAAATATTTCGTAGAGAAACTTGATGGCCAACATAACTGCTATAAACTCTTTGATTTGGAAAAAAATTAAGAATCAAACATATTATAATGCAAAAAAGTCTTACTTTCGAACTGGATTGATTGAATCAATAATACCAATACAATCAATGACAGTATTCGATGAATTGTTGTTAAGCAAAGATGAAAAAGGGATGAAATTATAAATTATTTTTCGAGGTCCAAATGGAGAAACTTTTAATGGTTCGATGATAGTAGAATTTGTCGTGTGAATTTCATATGCATTCGAAAGAGTTGAATATCGATGATTTGAGTGTTTAACATGACCATAGCAAATACGATAACATTGATCAATCTGAATAAGATTAAAAAAACGATCACAGTCTTCATTGAATGCAGTAATACGAATTTCGGAAAATTCTTTATCATAAACATCGAATCGAAAAAGTTTTCCCATTTCAATGGAGTTTGATTGTTTCTTGAAATAATGAATAGGTGATTTCGTTGCAACTTTGACATCTATGGAAAAATTTGATTTTTTTGCATTCAATTTTTTAATCGTTGTTACCACTGGTTCATTATCACCACCATCACGATAAAACGATGAATGATTGAAACAAAAACATTCATAAACATTATAATCAACATCATAATCAACATCATAATCAACATCATAATCTGTGCTCTCCATGATTGATTTTTAGATTCTTTCAAATGATATAAATTTTTAAATTCTTCAAAATTATCATTTTCGAAATATGTTTTGTAAACAATAGCGAAACGTCTTTTATGAAGAGCCAATGTTTATTTGTGCTTTAAATTTTGTTTTTGTTTTTGAGCACGTCTTTTTGTTTTGTTTTTTTGTTTCAAAAACAATTTTTCAGATCTGAAAATGGATCTTCTCAGGGCGGAGATTGCTAAAAAACGTAAACAATTGGAAAAATCATCGTTGATTGATGAAGACAAAAAATTTTTCAAACGTGAAGAATTGAATAAAAAAATCGATGAAGAATATTGGCAAAAACAAGCAGAAAAACTTGTCAAAAAACGTCGATACGATGAACAACATGGTATCAATTCGGAAGATTCAGAATCTCGTGATAGCGGCGATGATTTAATGACCGCAAGTGGATCGAAATTATCGGCTGAAGAAATTGCCAAAATGAAATTAAAAAAATGGATTAAAAATCAAACCGGATCGAGCGGTGAAGATCGAACCAATGGCGAAGAACGAATACTATCACGTAAAGAAGTGATCAAACGTTTACGTGAACGTGATCAACCGATAACATTGTTTGGTGAAACTGAAATCGATGCATTTCGTCGCCTACGAAAATTAGAGATTATTGAACCAGAATCAAGTGATAAAGGATTCCGTAACGATTTTCAGGTTTGTATCATTCATTTATTATTTGAATTTATTCTTAAAATTTAACGAATTTTAGGAAGCAATGGAAAAAGTCGACGCAGCATATTTGGAAGAAATTGTCAAAGCTGATAGTCATAATACAACCGATGGTCATGGTGGTGAGAAAAAACGTGGAAAAAATGATGTAAAAATTGAAGAAATGAATACAACAATCGAAGAAATTATTGAACAAGCTCAATATCTGGGTAAACAACGTTCAAAACGACCAAATACAGATGATGAACAAAGACGATCCGATTGTGCGGTAATATTGAAATTTTTGAAATTTCTTCTCGAATTATGGGGTAGACGATTGAATGATCGAAATGAATCGGATAAAAGATTAACACAAGGAAGATTGATGACTGCCATCTATACACAGACACAGGAATATCTGAAACCAATGTTCAAACAATTAACCAAACAAACGATTGCCGATGATATTCTTAAACATTTGATTATCATTATCAAATATCTTCTTGAACGTGATTATGTACATGCAAACGATGCCTATTTACAGATGGCTATTGGAAATGCACCATGGCCAATCGGTGTTACTATGGTTGGTATACATGCTCGTACAGGTAGAGAGAAAATCTTTGCCCAAAATATTGCCCATGTTTTGAATGATGAAACACAACGAAAATATATTCAAGCATTGAAACGATTGATGACACAATGTCAAAAAATGTTTCCAACCGATCCATCCAGATGTGTTGAATATACCAAAGAATGAATATTTGATGCGAAATTTTTTAAAATTATGTAAATAAAAAGACAAGACAAATTTTTTTCAAAAATCAAGAATTTTATTCATTTTTTTAAACTAAATTTCTTAAAAAATTGTAAATAAAGTTTACAAAAAAAAAAATCATTTGTTTGTGTTTTGATTGATGTTGTCCCGGAAGTCACACACGATTCTCTCCTGTTTACAATAAAAAAAAATTAGGTAAAATAAAAAGGTTAAAATTACCTTTTTGTTAATCAAATGTGTGACTTCACTCCACCACCCGCCGAAGAATTTTGTGTTTTTTTATTCACAACAAAATTCTTCGACACAGCATCAATCAGGATTTAATTTTTTTTTAAATAAATACAACATCAATTACAAAGCTGGAAAAAAATTTGACCAAAATATAAAATTATCATCAAAAAAAACATTACTTACAACACAACAATAAACATTGAAGTGAGACATTTGTGTGTAAATTACTTTTCCACACTCACATTATGACAAATCTAAAAATTTTTAAAAAAATTAAAAAAAAAACTTGCGTTTTACAAGAAAAAAAGGACGATTTCATAGAAAATACAAAAAATTCAATAAAAAAAATTGGGTACAACCATTGAACACGCGATATACACAGACCGTGTTTGGATTTGACAAATATTTTTTTTTTATCTGTATTAAAAATACACACATGTTAGATCAAAAAAACATCAAATGGATACCTTTTTTTGGACATAGTCATTTGTCTTTGATTAGATTATCTGTGTTGAAATGATAAAAAAAACAAACACTTTCTACAAACAAAATTTTGTCTTCGGGTAAAAAAAAAGATGGGAAAAAATTTGTTAGCAAGGTAATCAATTTCGTTACCGCATAATATTTGATTTGGAAAAATTGTGACGAGAGAATTTAAAACCAGAAGCTCTTCTCTTGAAAAAACTTTTCATTTGTTGTTGTTTGTTTGGTTGGAAGAAAAATATTTCGATTAGATAAACAAAATTTTCAAAGGATACCTTTTTTTGATTATGAGGTATTTGTTTTCTCTTGCTCGAAATCATTGTTTCAGAACAGATTCATTCGTTTGTTTGTTACACATCTTTTTTTCAAAAAAAACACATCTAGAAAAAATCTGTGAATTGAAATGAAAAAAAAACATTCAAAGAAAAAAAGACATTTCTTTTCGGACATGTTTGTGTAACATTAAGATGGTTAATATATTCACAACATCATTAAAATATAATGGAAAAAAGTGTCTGCTGATGTGTGTGTGTGTGTGTTCGACAATCAATAATTTTGTTCATAATAATAATTTTAAAATTATAAAATTTTAAGAAAAATAATTTTATACTCAAGAATTTTGTTTGTTTGTTTTGATTTTTATTTACACACGTTGATGCGATTTATTTAATGGTGTTGTTGATTTCCAACTCGCACCAGAAAAAAATGCATTCAATACAACGCTTTCATTTCATCATTCAATTTTGTTTTGTTGGGATAATATATTTCAATACGGCAGACTTACATATCTAAATTTGTTCATTATTTAGAGACAAAAATATATGAAAAAAAAACAAAGAGAAGAGAGGGAGAAAAGAAACAAAATATTCTTTTTGGTTTTTCTGTAGGCAAAAACGAAAAACATAAAAAAAGGATCAGACATCATTTCGTCACCTGGACATATTTGCATTAATTAGATCTTTGGACATTATTATTCTGGAAACAAAAATCGTGGTATATCTGTGGACTGCCAAAACATTTAATATTGATCGTCGATAATCGATGTCGACATATTTATCACTGGTGGTATATCTTAACTGCTGTCTTCGACACACACAAAGAAAAACATCTTTGTAAAACAAAATTATATCAGGTAACATACGCGTATCATCAGATCGAAATAACCAAATATTGGATGAGAAGAATCGCCCTGGAACTGGTACTATGTTGTTTTTATGGATTAGATTAAAGTTGACCAAAAACATTCCTTTTTATCCTTTATTGACTGCTTGGAACTATTTATATATCTCGCTGTATTTGAAGTAGAAAACAAAATTTCTGGAAACAAAAAAACTGGACATCACATATATCACATATTGTTGCTGTAGCTAAAACATTTTTCTCGCTTTGATTTTGGTGAAACTTGCACAAAGATTGTGACAAAATTATAATCTCATAAATCTTGAGCTCCATCGTATTCGAACAATAAAATTAAATTTTTCAGAATAAAGAATCCCACAAAGACCATATAGAGATGAATGGTGGTGGGCTGAATTCTCATTCGCGCCTTGGTATGGTATGCGGATGGCTTCCATATTGTCATGTGTCAATCGATAATTGTCATGTATGTATGTAAAATATAAATGAATGTATTCAATTTCTGACCATTATTACCAAATTTCAAACGAAACCATTAGTTAATCATTCAATAATTTATTATCTCTCTCATCAATAATGATTATTATCATTTCTAGTTGATAAATTAGACCAAATTTTCAATAACTTTTTCTTGTTCAAAATAAATCAATCTTGTGATTTTATGTAATTCAACATGAATAAAACATCTTTTGATTTCAAAATGGTAAAGGTCGAATGGTTATTTGAGATTCAAATACCAAAAAATTTTGAAAATAATAAAACATGATCGAAGCAATTGAATAGAACATTCGTATTCGAACACAATATATTCATTATATGTTTGATATGATAGTTGAAAATTCTTTACTCGAAAATCAATATAATTGAGGTAGGTGAAATACATTTCCGTAACATGATAATGACTTTTCAAAATTTGTTATGATTTTGTTTCAATGAAATTGATATTAAAATGACTTTCAAATTAGGAATTCGATAAAACTTTTCTTCATTTAAATTTTTAAAAAATTTTCAATACCATTTTAGAATTTTAAAACCGATAAGTAGTTGCTATAAAATAGATACACAAAACCAGATTTGTTATGACGAGATCATTTTTGAATTGGATTTATTAGTGGAATAAAATTTTCGTAATTTGTGATGAAAAATCAATGTATTTTTTAGTGGATATTATAACAATAGATTCTTATTCAATGAATGAATCGTGAACACGAAATTTAAAAAATCAAAAACATTTTTCGATACGATTCCGATACTTGACAAACTGGATAATCAAAAGATATATGTTGGAGAATCAAATTTTCAAATTGATGATCAACAATAATCAAAAGATATTATCGATTATTGGAGATTTCAATATTCATCAATCAATTTCTATTGGATTAATGAATTATTAATCATTAGTCATTGACAAGCAAAGACATCTATCTATTTGTAAAATTGTGCAGAATAATATTTGATCGAAATTCTAAATTGATGCAAAATATCACCAAATAAAAAAGATGAATGAATATTTTCAAGTTGATTTTCAATATTCATCATCGTGATATGAATATAAATATATAATGTAGTTTCAATAGGTAAATCGATAAAAGCTTCAGGCAAAACATTAAACTAGATGACACATAAATTGATCATAAATTTATATTTCAAATGCACGAAAACAATTTGAACCATTAGGCGTGTGTGACAATGGTGGTGTGTGAAAAAAAAATCGAAATTCACAATCAGGAAGCAACATATATTAATTTTATTTCATCATTTATATCTAGGATCTCTACTTGGATTGGATTCAATTTAGTGAAAGCAGTTGAATAATTATCAGATTTGATTTGAGCAGAAAAAACGGATTTTTACGTTGATAGATTTGATTGAAATTTTCTAATGAGAAAAATACTTTGACATGTAAATTGACACAATTGAATTTTTTTGAAACAAACATTCAAACATTGAATTAAAATGAAATAAAACCAAATTTCTTAAAGATTAAAAGATGTAATCATTGATTGATTAAAACTTGAAGAATTATTCGCTAAATACCATTATTATATATCAATAGAAACAGGACATACAAAAAAATAGAGATTTTTTTAGGAGAATTATTCGATACGAAAAATATAAAGCCAAATTATAATATAAAATCTTCATTCAAATGAAAGAACACAAAATTGATGAAATAAAAAAAAAGCGAGATGCAAGTCGGTTAGTGTGAATTCATAAAAGGGATTTTTTTCAGAGATACGAATTAATTTCGGGTGCATTATTTTTACTCTTCTAAATAATAGTAGTGTGTATAGTCGGTGTTGGTGGAAAATAAACGAAAAGTAGGCCAAATAAAATCATCATCATCATTACAATATATCAAAACAGACCAAAGATTTATTTTTTTATAGACAAATCAGGTATGAACCAATAATATTAATTTTCAAATTGCATTAGATTCGTGCATTCGACATGTGTTATGTAATTAATATTTGTTTTTGTTATCAATCAATCAATAAATCACACATTCACATGAACAGACCAATTATAAAGAAATAATTTGAGGATATTTGTAAGTAGAGATAGAGAAAAAAATTCAAAGCTGGAAAATAATTTCTTGAAATCATATGAATTTTAAAACTTAATTTTTGGATGGAAATCTTCGAGGTAATAATTTTTGTTTAGAATGGATCGATTATATCAAAGTGAAAAATTGAAAAAAAGAACGTAAGTATGGCAACAATTAAAACGTTTGTAAAAATTTCATATTAAAATTTTCATTAAATTCAATGATAGTTTTTTTTCTTTAAATAATTTGATTGACCGATTCGATTAATAATAGTGTTGGAGGATCGATTACTGAAACATTTTCAATGAATTTTTTTTAGTCAATAGAGAACAAAACAATCACATAAAAAACAAGGTATGAGGTGGTCGTGTTGTTGTTGTTCAGAAGCAATATTGAGGTATTTTTTTTGAAAATTATGATTTAGAGAAGCAAATTGATGAAGAAAATTAATGATTTAATAATGTCATTTTAGTATGAATTTGTTAATTCACTTGCAACAGAGATAATTCGTGCATTCAACTTTTTTCAACACAAAAAAGGATTTGAGAATTGACATTCAAAAAAATATATAGACCAAACTGGGTGAAACGAAAACAATAATTAGACAATACTGCATTACATTTGATGGATGAAAACATTTCTGGACTCATTTTATTGATAAAACATGTCATATTGACTTGGATTTGAAATTTCTACTTTGTATGGCATTTAGAAAATGATATTTTGTTGTTGTAACTTTGGAATAAAATATTTTTTTTCAATGGAAAAAACCAAGACGAATAATAAATTTCACAAATTGATTATGTATTGGTTGAAAACTTTTGACATTCAAAAGAAAATAAAATCTTCATCAACAAATTATGATAGACATCAATAATAGATTCAAATTTTTAAAAACACAATAAGTGAATCAATCGATAGAACTATCATTCTTATCAGGTATATTCAAACAATAATCTTCAATGAAAAAATAATAAAACACAATATGTTGAACCAATGTGTATAATAATTCTTGTAAGTGGAAATATTTTCATTTTGATGTATTCAATTAATCATTCATATTCAATTGGTATAGATATTTTATCATGATACCAAAAAAAAAAAAGAAAACAAATCATATTTTCAAACACATGAAATTGGACTATAAAAAAACACTTGAATTAATGGATGTCATATTTTTGGTTTTAAAAAAAATCTTCAATTAAAAACCGATGAAAAAATGATAATTTGATGAATATACTCGAATAATATACTTTTAAAACAATTGATACACGCGATTGAAACAATAATCTTCATTTGAATTTAAAAAAAACCTTAATAGATTTAAGTCGGAGATCATTTCTTTTCATAAATAGATCAATAATTTAGAAATGTGTTAGAATCAATATTCTGGACCAAAAATTAATCAAACTTGAATCTTCGCAATAAAACACACACACAAGTACCAAAAAACAATCATTTCAAAATCTATTTGGCACACATTATTTTTCATTGACAAAATGAACACAGAGGACATATTATGGAAGCACAAACACGCATACACATACCACCAGATGGCGATTTTGTTGAACAATAATATTTTCACAGGGTGATTTCTTTTTCCTATTTTGATTCGGATTCATCTTCAAAAAAAATTCAAAGCCAATATTACTTCATTTCCACTCAACGATTGATTTGAAAATAGCGGACAATAATACGATAGCACCAATTTTAAAAAAACAAACGCACGTACAAAACTATTGAGATCAATTTTTTATCGCACAGAAAAAAAACTTTTTGAACCGAACTCGAAACAAAATACTGGACCATATGACCATCAAATAAATAAAAAAAACTTCCATCCACAACCATCATTTTCATTCGCACACAGCAAAGCCAAATATAGGCACATATACAATATCAACCACAATTTAACACAACCGGCTATATATGGGAATAAAAAAAAGCGTTTCCGATTGATTAGAACATTTAAAAGGCTACTTATCTTAATCCATGGATTTTGGACAAAAAAACACATTCAATTATACATCCTTTGTTTAGGTTCGCTGCTTTTCTTCATAACCTTTGAACACCAATTTTTTTTCAATCAATAAAATACATCGAATAAAAATCTCCTAGACTGTACTGAATATTGTAAATTGTGATACAATAAAAAGCTTAAAACTGGACATCTATTCTGGAACGAAATCTTTTTTTTCGGGTAAATTTAATCGATAGGAGGAATGGAAAAAAATCAATCATTATAAATACACAATGGTCTATTTTAAAGAGAAAAGAGAAAAAATAAGAAATGGTACTTACCGAACGCTATTCTGGAACACCGCGTCCATCCACCACGAAGAATGGATTCAAGAATATTTTTTCAAGAAAAAACCAGAACGAAAACAAAAAAAAAATAAAACCAAAATTTTCCAACGATTCAAGATGGCCAACATGATTCGATATGATCACCAAATGATGAGACATCATAGGCTTCGGCTTTGTTCCAAAAAGGAAAATGAGGAGCCATTTCAATTTGGCAATTGGCCAACATTTTAAATCAAACTGAAAAAAAAACAAACTACGAAGTGAACGTTGGAAATGGCAAAAGAGAACTGCGAAGTTTCGAGTAAAATTCGACGTCCTTTTATACTTGCCAACAGTGAATGCAATCATTGATTAATGATCGTTTCATAAACTACGCAACAATCAAAACATTAAGTACGTATTATATCTTTGGATAAAATTGGCAAAAATTTATTAAATCATCAAAAAAATCTTAATATTTTAATCGAAAATCGAAAAATTTATTGGTAAAAATCAAAGATAAGATAATAAAAATGATAAAAAAGTTTTATCGTTGTTTATGAATTTTTCGATATAAAAAAAAATTGTATACGTGACTATGTATACTGCGCATGATCGCTCAATCCTATTCATTAAATTGAGCACAAATATATTCGACGTTTGTTTGGATGGAAATTTCTAGAATTTTTTCCAAGATATTTTTTCTGGTTTCTATTATATCCATACCGGAAATTCGAGAATATTTTGGTCGGATGATGATGAATATTCCAAATCAATGATGATATGATAAAAGGATCAGTATAGTTTCATAGTATCATATGATGGATAAATATTTTGATCAGGACATCAAATCAATAAATAAAAAAAATGGGACTTTACAAATGAAAATCTTTCTTAATCCACCAACAAATCAAATTATTCTTTTTTTTTTGGTGGTAGGAGCAAAAAAAAACATCTTATCTTTTTTATTCTGGAGAAAAATCCAGAAAATTTGAAAAAAATTTCCATAGGGAAAAATAAAATGAAGAGAGGGGGGAAGAATTGCTCATCACATGATGTAATTTGGGTGAAATTTTCATCCTACTCCTTCTCGTGATACTTCCACCCCTTCATCACATACACACGCATCATTACATAAATAAATTGCAATTCTTTTTAGCTGAAAAAAAAACATTTCTCAAGGACATTGTTTTTTTTTCTGGTAAACAAATTGGCCAAATTCCTGAGGATAATGATTTATTTTGACGACAAAAAAAACGATTAACATAATTTGAATTCAATCAATTTCCAAATCTAAATCGATGATAATTTTCAATTTGAAAATGTCATGTTTCAAAAGCCGGTATTTCAAAATTCAAGGGGGGGGAGAAAAAAATGATTAAATTGATTGATTTTCTTTCGATTGCATGATAGTTGTTTATGTAGACAAAATATGACCTCGTTTATCTAATCGGTACATATATGATGTCGTCATTCAGGTTGTCTCTCCCCCCCACACACACACATTTGTCTGAAGAATTATGTGCCAAAAGAAAAAAAGTGAATTTCATAAAAGAGTCAGGTAATTTTCATTGTTGATGATCATTATCATTCAGTTCAACAACAAAAGAAAATTTTTCAATTGTCTTACACCAAACATAAGTTTTTCGCAAGAGCAAGCTTTTTATTCATCAAAAATCTTATTGTCAACATCAAGACATTATTAAAATATCGATGATAGAGAAACCAGTTGTTTTCAAAGACGGAAATGTTTGAGAAAATTATCATTTTATTTTTATTTAAAAAAAAGAGCAAAAAAAAAAAGAAAATTTTCAAACAAAATCCTGAAAAAGTCTTTTTTGGTTTTTGGGTTTTTTTTGAGCAAATCATAAACATTCGAATTCCGGTTATCTTTTACACAAATGACGTAAAATAATTTTTTTTGTTCAGATTAAAAAAAATTCAATCCGAATCACCAACATCCCAATCATTATTGGCCACTGTTTCATCAATAAGATAGATTACAAAACGTGATAATAACATTTTTATTAATGAAACGATTGTATAAAACCATAATTCCATATCTGTGTATTTATCAATATTTAAAAAAGAAGAAAAAATTTATTCAATTAAAATATTTATAGCGAGTGAGTGAGTGTGAGAAAGAAGAAAAAAGAAAAACCTATGACAAATATCAATGATAAAATATTATTTTTTTTTTTTACATTTTTGTTGATGATGTCCATGGCCATTGTTGTTGTTGCCGTTGTCACCTAAGCCAATATCAACATAATAAATAGTGGATAAATGTCTTTGTTCATTAAATATAAACATATTTCTTGTAAACAATAACATTTCAATAATGAATATTAACCATAACCATTGTGATAAACGTCCAATTGAATATCCAATAGTTTTTGATGATGTTAATGTTGATGATGATGATGATGATGATAATGATAATGATTGTTCATCATCATCAATATCATCGTTATCATCATTATTATTATTATTATTATTTGATGATAAATTTAAAAATGATGTTTTTGTTACAGGTTTACGATTTGTAAATGATCGTAATGATGAACATAAAAATATTGTTACACAAAATGAATAAATGCATGTTATTAAATAATAGCTATTTGTATAATGAAATGGATTTTGTTGAGGTTGTTGATCATCATCATTAATTATCATTAATAAATTTATTAATGTAAATATAATCCAACCAATACTGAATGCAGCAATAAAACCCAATGATGATGATAATAATATCTGTATTCGAATTGGCATTTTTAATTTTAAACGTATTAAAAATTTTGCATTTAAACTACCCGAACAACGATGATGATGACGACGACGACGATGTTGATTATTATTATAAGTTTCTTCTTTTTGAGACATATTTTTTGTTTTTGTTTTACACTTTGTGTTTGTGTTTGTTTGTAAAAAAATTGAGAAATTAAGAAAACAAAAAAACTGATTTTCACACTAAATTCCGAAACAAAAATATAATTCATAATCATCATTCACAATCAAATTATTGTTCAAAAAAAAAATGAAATTAAATTAAATTACAATCTCATCTAATGAAGAAATGGTCGTACGCATAGATGTCACAAATGTTTGTTGTTGTTCAGGCAATTGTTGCTGTTGTTGTTGTTGCTGCTGTTGTTGATCCAATTTACTTCCAACACAATCTAATGTATCCATAAATCGATCCAGATTATCACTTGTTACTGGTCCTAATTCAAATTCTTGTGATTGTAATGATTGTTGTATTCCACTATCATCATCTTGATTAATTAAATTATCAACTAATTCAGCTGGTATACCATCAGATAATTCATTACCAAATTGATCAACTAAATTATCTTTTAAACAATCATATATTTGATTTAATCGTTGATTTGAATGATTAGCTTTTTCCACTTCTAATTCAAGACGTTCAGTTACTTCACGCATATTTTCAATATGTTTTGATGAAATAGCATTTCTTTCTTCATATTCGGTTGTAAATGAACGAAAATTTCTTAATTCTTGTTCACGTATTTTATTATGTTCCAAAAATTCTTCAGTATAAATAGGCACATCGATTATTGAATGTTTTTGTGATTTTGATTCCAATAATGATGCCAATGTATTCGATGTTGAATTATTATTATTATTATTATTATTCATCATTGTAGAAGCCAAGGTATTCAAGGAAGGATTATTTTGAGCAATTGCATAATCTATATATATTCAATTTTTTTTTTTGAAAATAAATTGTGCGTTTGTGTGGATCATAAATCAACTAGACGTCAAATTTCGAAATTAATTTCAATAAAAAATTCTAAAACTTACTGTTCGATTGTTGATTATGGACGTGTGGATTTTGTGTTAATTGAACAGGAACTGTTGTTTGACCAATTTGTGACATTTGGCCAGAATTCATCATCATTGTATTTGAATTGAAACGTTGCTGTTGTTGTTGATTTGGTGAATACTCATGTTGAGATGATGATGATGATGGTGGTGGCGGTGGATGTTGTTGTTGATGATAATTATTAAATCCACTAGTATTTGAACTTGATATTTGTTGCTGTTGTTGTGACATTGGAAAATTCAATTGTTGATTATAATGAGGTGATGATTGTAATTGTGGCTGTTGATAATGACTATTCATCATCATCATTGGTGATGATGATGATGATGGTGGACCAACAAATGGACTTGTTTGATTATGATTCCATTGCTGCTGCTGCTGTTGTTGTTGTTGTTGCTGTGCATGATGATGTGTTTGATCATATTGTAAATGATTCTGATGTAGATGTGGTGATGAATGTCCAATATTTTGATTATAATATGGATGATGATGATGATGATGATTTGAATTTGATGATATGGACGATGATGATGATGTGGAATGTATTGGTTGTCCATAATTTGATGATGGATATTTTGCTGTTTGATTATAATTTGGTTGTGTTGGTGAACCATAAGGATTTGTTGTTGAATAATGTTGCTGTTGTTGATTGATATATTGTGATGGTTGTTGATGTGTATACTGTTGATGCGATGGTGGTTGCTGCTGTTGATAAAGATTCTGTTGATGTTGTTGTTGTGGATAATTTTGTTGACTGGATGATGATGATGGACTTGATATTATCGATCCAGGATCCATTACTGATGATTGTTGTTGTTGTTGTTCCATTTGTTGATGTTGTTTAGCACGTTGTTTACGTTCCATAAATTCTTGATATGATTCTGATCTTTGATATTCATGTAATTCTTTTAAATAAATTTCTTTTGCACGTTCAGCTTCATCAAGATAGGATTTTTTCTCATCTTGATTCATTGAACTCCATTCGGCAGCTAATTTTTTTGTTATTTCAGCAAATGTTAAATCAGGATTTTCTTGTTTAATACGTTCACGATTTGCATTTAAAAATCTAACATAACCATTTAAAGGCATTCTTGGTGCATTTAAATCTTTTGTACGTGGTCCACGACGTTTACGTTCTTCAGGTGTTTTACGACGTACATATTTTCTTTTAGTTAATTGTGATTGTTGCTATTATTTAAAGAAAAATAAAAATTCATTACTCAAATCAAAGTTCGAAAATTCTTAAACATACGTGTTGTTGAATTTGTTGTTCAGATTGTTGATCAAATTGATCAATAATACCAACATCACCAACACTACCACCACCAGAAGCAGCAGCAACAGAATTATTAATCATATCGTTTGACATCATCATTGATGATTGCAAACCAATACCCATCTGATTATGATGTGAATGATGATGATGATGATGATGATGTGATTGTGGATGGCTTTGTGATTGATATGATGATGACGATGATACTGGTATATGACCAGATCGTAATTGTTGTTGTTGCTGCTGCTGTTGTTGTTGTTGATGATGATGATGATGAGGATGTGTATTATGGGTCATCATACCGGATGATGATGTTGAATAGATTTCTTCTTCATCCGGTACATCTTCACTATATTCATCTGTTGACATTTTTTTTGTTGTTGTTAAAATTTAACTTTTGATTTTGCTAGCTTAAATTTTAATTTATATTTAAAAAAAAACAAATAACAAATATATCGAGATAATTAACAGAAGATGGTAATTTATTTGAAATTTTTCATCATCAAAAATCGAATGTAAACACGCTAAATAACAACAATTTTAAAGAAAGAAAGAAAAATGTTTTTTGTTTTTGAAAATGAAAAATCAAAATATTAAAAAATTGGAATTTCAAAAAACAAAAATGGTGTGCGTGTGTTATTTGTGTTGTTGATTCGGTTGTTTGTTTGTTTGTTTGTTGATGTTGATGATGATGATGGTGTGGTTTGGTTTGGGTATAAAGAGAGAGAGAGAGAGAGAGATAGATAAATTCCGCTCACACACGATGGCACAATATTGCCACCAAAAAAAAAAAAGATGAAATTTACATTGCTCACCACTTGGTGGCGTAAAAATCAGTTTTTTTTTTATCATTCATTTTTTATTTACATTCGATGATGATGATGATATCATCGGTTTGAAATTTTTTTTTTGTTTCAATTTTCTTTTTGTTTTTGCGATTGGAAAAAAAGTTTTTTTTTTGTTTTAAAATTTTTAAAACAAAACGTGCAATTTAAAGCGATTAATAGTGAAAAAAAAATATCAAAAACATCGTCATCAACATTTGTTTTTTTGATTCAATCATCATCGTTGTTACCGGTTTTCTATTACATATGGTAAGGAATATTTTTTTTTTTAAATCAAGATTCCCGGATTCTGCAATCGGGCAAATTTTCCCGATTGTTCCGGTATTGACCTATAGGATTAATTATTAATATCTCAAGAAAAAACCCAATTAGTTTATTCAAATAACGATAATGATGATTATGATTATGGTTCCAAAATGTGTTCCAATCCAGTTTAGCCAAAAAAAAATGACCGTAATGTACATCTATTAGGTTCAGTGTTTCAGTTTTCAACCTTTTTTTACGCAAAAAAATCAAAACAATTTTTTCCCACCGATATTTGTTGTTGATCATTTTTCAACTTCAACAAATCGATTACCAAAAAATTCTATTTGACATTGAAAAATATCGATCATTATCATCACGGTGGTTATAATATATATAGACCTATATGAAATAGCTTTTCACATTTTTTCGTCGTTCAATGACATGATAAGCTCTCTATATAGTTGTTTTTTTTGTTTGTGTTCTATATAATCAAAGTTGTTGTTGATAAAATATTCCAAAATGACGCCAATCATGAAAATCACACACTCGCGAAAGGCGTCATACAGTCTTGTTTCTGTGTCTCCTTTCTGGCTTCTTTTTGAAAATTATTCTCAATTTTTTTGTTGTTGTTGTTGAAATTTTTCTGTTTTCTAATCACTTTTTTTTACTTTACAGAATTTGATTGGCCGTTTAAAGCAATTTTTTTGAATTGATTTTCTAAAAAGAAAGAATCGGTTGATCGATTCCGATCATCAAAAAAAAACGAAACGACAAGATGGGTTCATTATTACGTTCGGAAGAAATGAAATTCTGTCAGATGTTATTACAATCTGAAACAGCATATAATTGTATATCAGAATTAGGTGAACTTGGTCTTTGCCAATTTCGTGATGTTAATCCAAATGTTAATGCTTTCCAAAGAAAATTTGTTAATGAAATACGTCGTTGTGATGAAATGGAACGTAAATTACGTATGTTTTATATAAAATTTGATTAATTTTTTTTAAAAATTAATTATTAATCATCTTGATTCATGATCAATCAATCGATAGGTTATCTGGAAAAAGAAATAAGCAAAGATGGTATCGAAATATTAATGATTGGTGATCCACCGGAAGCACCACAACCAAGAGAAATGATCGATTTAGAGGCAACATTTGAAAAATTGGAAAATGAACTGAAAGAAGTGAATGCAAATGCTGAAGCATTGAAGAAAACATTTTTAGAATTGACCGAATTGAAACATATTCTGAAACAAACACAACAATTTTTTGATGAGGTATGTCCATAATGATTTTCTCATGTTTTTTTTTGAACATTCATTCAGTTTTTTCACATCTAAAACGAGTAAAATCTTCGATAGAGATTATCTTATTTTTTGCATTTCCTTCCACATTCAACCATTCTGATTATTTTTGATTTTTTTATCCTTTTTATGTTTTTTTTAAAAAAACTTTGGTTATCAAACGAATTGATGGACTTTATTTCTTACCTCTGAATCCTTTTTAATTTTTTTCCCGATTTCATTTTCAATTTTTTTTCCACCTGCTGTTTGGTTTGCTTTTGTTTTTTGTTTTCTATTATTGAACGCTGTTATTGTTATCATTCTTTTGATGATCAAATGCAAAAAACTCCTACCATTTTTTTTTTGCATGGAAAAAACATGAATGAATTGTGTGTATGTGTGTGTGTATGAATTGAAAACTGAAAAAAAGGTTGATCATATGCAGATGCACGATACAAGTATGGGCGATGATAATGTACATCTATTGGGTGATGAAGGATTACGTGCCGGTGGACAACAACCATTGAAACTTGGGTAATTTGAATTTGAATTTGTTTGTTTAATGATCAATTTAAATTTATTTTCTACATTCTACAGGTTTGTTGCTGGTGTTATATTACGTGAACGTTTACCTGGTTTTGAACGTATGTTATGGCGTACATGTCATGGAAATGTATTTCTTAAACAAGCATCAATCGATACACCATTGGAAGATCCACATACTGGTGATAATGTTTATAAATCGGTTTTTATCATCTTTTTTCAAGGTGAACAATTGCAAACTAAAGTGAAGAAAATTTGTGAAGGGTATGTTATTGAATTGTTTTTTTCAAAGTTTTTTCTAAGATTGTTCTTTTGCAGTTTTCGTGCAACATTGTATCCATGTCCTGAACGTGTGACTGATCGTCGTGAAATGATTACTGGTGTTATGTCACGTATCGAAGATCTCAATACTGTACTATCACAAACACAAGAACATCGTTATCGTGTTCTAATGGCTGCTGCTAAAAATGTTCGTAATTGGTTTATAAAAGTTAGAAAAATCAAAGCAATTTATTACATATTGAATATCTGTAATCTTGATGTTACAACTAAATGTTTGATTGCTGAATGTTGGGTACCAACTACCGATTTTGAACGTGTTTGTCAAGCTGTTCATAATGGTTGTTCAAGATCCGGTTCAACTATTCCACCTGTTATATCACCAATGGAACCAAAAGAAATACCACCCACTTATAATCGAACAAATAAAGTTACAGTTGGATTTCAGAATATTGTCGATTCATATGGTGTTGCTACATATCGTGAACTAAATCCTGCACCATTTACAATCATAACGTTTCCATTTTTATTTGCTGTCATGTTTGGCGATGCTGGTCATGGCTTATTAATGGCTTTATTTGCAGCATGGATGGTATTGAAAGAACGTAATCTTCAATTGCAAAAAAATCCAAATGAAATATGGTTAATGTTTTTCAATGGTCGTTATATGATCTTATTGATGGGATTATTTTCCATTTATACTGGTCTTATTTATAATGATATCTTTTCCAAATCAATCAATATATTTGGATCATCATGGATGGGATATAAATTTAAAACTTTTAAAACAGATTATGTAACATTGGATCCAGGTACACAATATAAAGGAAGTCCATATCTTCTTGGTATTGACCCGGTTTGGCAATTATCATCGAATAAAATTCTTTTCTTGAATTCATTGAAAATGAAATTATCGGTCATATTGGGTGTGTCACAAATGTTTTTCGGTGTTCTACTAAGCTATTTTAATCATCGATTTTTTGCCAAACAATTGAACGTATTGTGTGAATTTATTCCGCAAGTTATATTTATGTTAAGCATATTTGGCTATATGAATTTATTGATCTTATTTAAATGGTTGAAGTTTGATCATCATTCTGCTGGAGATGCACCTTCCATATTGATTAATATGATTAATATGTTTCTTATGAAGTATGTTGATGATGATCCAACTGCTCCAACATATCTAAAAACATGGTATGGTGGGCAACGATTCTTTCAAACAATATTACTATTATCAGCATTGATGTGTGTACCATGGATGTTGGCCGTAAAACCATATTTGTTGAAAAAACAAAATGATTTAAAATTATTATATCATCCACCGGGTGAATCTGATCAGGTCATTCAAACAAATGGTGAAAGTGTATCCGTACAAATGGAAAATGGACCAACTAAACAATCTGGTGGTGGTGGTCATGGTGGCCATGATGAAACATTCGATATAAGTGAAATTATCATCCATCAAGCTATACATACGATTGAATATTGTTTGGGAGCTATATCACATACAGCATCCTATCTACGATTATGGGCACTTTCATTGGCACATGCACAACTTAGTGAAGTACTTTGGTCAATGGTATTCCGTATTGGTTTACAAGGTGAAGGAATTAGTGGCGGTATATTTATGTTTGTTGTGTTTGCATTCTGGGCATCATTAACCGTATCCGTTCTATTGGTTATGGAAGGTTTAAGTGCATTTCTACATGCATTACGTTTACATTGGTAAGTTATAATTTAAACCACATTATTGAAAAAAAAATAATTAACATTTTTTATGTTGTCAATTAGGATTGAATTTCAAAGTAAATTCTACGGTGGTACTGGTTATGCTTTTTCACCATTTTCATTCAAAGAAATTCTATTAAATCCAACCGAAAGTGGTGATACCGTTTATAATTAATAAATCACAACCTATCTATTACAAACAATCTATTCTATCATTATTATTTGAAATTAATTACAAAAAAAAAATTTTAAGATTAGTAAAAAAATTTTTAAATACTCTCATCGTCAATTGTTGTGGGTATAGTAAAGAAATATTGAGTGTTGAAAAAAAATATGATTTGATTTTGTTTTTTTTTGTCGTTTGTTTTTGTTTATTTGATTATCAATCAATCAACTTTGTAGCTTTAATTATTAAAAATTGAATAAAAATTTGAAATTACAAAAATAAGACAACCGAATTTATTTGTTTACATTTTATTTGCCAATAATGATAAAAGACCTGAATCCGGTGCTGTTTGCAAAATTAATTTTTGTACATCACGAAATTTTGGATTCGATGCATCAGCTACTAATCCACTATGGTGTAAAAGAAAAAAATTATTATTAGTTTGAAAAAAATTACAAGAAAAACTTACAGAATAACCGATTCGGATGTTGTAAGCCAAGCACCAGCCTGTTTCATACGTTCAAATGCAAACATTCGATCTACCATTGATCTTGAACTACATGCATCAACAACAATATGAACATCATAACCGGCTTGCATTGCTTCCAATGCTGTACCTTGTACACAAACATGTGTTTCAATACCACAAAGAATAATATTTTTGACTTCAGGATGTTGTTGCTTTAATCGTTCGATTACATCAGTGGTTAACATTGAAAATTGTGTTTTAGCAACAGGTTTTATATCCGGATATTCATTTAATCCAAGTTCTTTAACTGTTGAACCTAATCCTTTTGGATATTGTTCAGTAGCAATAACCGGAACATCTAATAAACGTGATGCACGTAAAAGACGTGATGATACCTGTACAATAGCATCAAAATATTGTATATTTGTACGAAATTTTTCCTGTAAATCACAAATAAATAATGCACTTTGTTTTTGTAATAATTTTCCAACATTTCGACAATTTGATGTTGCCATTTTTGATTCAATTTGAAAAACAAAATTCGAATTTCGGTGAATACAAACAAACAGAAAGTTTATTTTTTTTCAAATCAATTTGGTTGCTCAATCAACAACGAATGATGGATTGAACAAAAAAAGAAATGTTATCTTATCGTTTGAGAGAAGAGAGAAAGAGGGTGATTTTTTTTCCTATAACGATGATAAGATTATAATCACTAATGGCAACAATAAATCAGGTCATTATTTTATATATTTTTGAAAATTTTTATCGCGGATAAAATTGTGGGAAAATGAGCAGAAAAAATTCACGATTTTCGTGTTTGTTGAAAGTTATTTGAAGGAAATCCAACGCACACAGCTGACTTTCGCGAATAGAAATATTCATCCCATTCGTTTATACATTGATAGTGTTTCTTTGCTCTTCTTTTTTTTGCGAGTTTAAATTGAATCCGAAATCGAAATCGGATCGCATGTTTTCATCATCAACAACAACATTAATAGCGATCCTCCTTTTTTTCTGTGATTTTTTTTCAAATCTCGCTAATTGCAGAATTTTTTTCGTAAAACAAATCATCAATATTTGTAGGAATGATGAATAATCCGCAACAACAACAACAGCAACGAAAATGTTTCGTTTCCATACAGGGTATGTCCTGTTCCAGTTGTGTGGATAAAATTGAAAGTAAATTACGTAAAACATCGGGAATTATTTCTTGTCAAATTGGATTGATAACAGCACGTGCTGAAATTGATTTTGAACCAACAATAATAAGTAGTGAAAAAATTATCGATATATTAGATGATATGGGATATGATGTATCATTAATATCTGTGATCGATTCAAATCAACAAACCGAACTTTGTTTAGATGTAATGGGTATTACATCGGAAAATGAAGTAAAAACTATACAAAAATCAATCAAAGAAATGATCGGTGTTTCAATGGTTACTGTTGATCGTGTAACAGGTCGTACAACAATTGTTTATTATCCAAATGTAATTGGTCCGAGAAAAATTGCCGATCAAATTGTTCAGCTTGGTTTTACCGTTCATACAATCAATTCATTTGATCCGGAAAAATTTACTGAAACATTGAAAAAAGAAGTAGCCAAATGGCGACAATCATTTTTTATTTCATTAATATTTGGTATACCAACTATCATTGCCATGATTTATTTTATGTATATTTTGCCATGGATCGAAGAAAGTCATGATACAGAAAATTTTATCGTTCATCAACGTTGTTGTGTAATACCTGGATTAAGTCTTGAAAATCTAATTCTATTTTGTCTTTCAACACCTGTACAGATTTTTGGTGCCCGTTATTTTTATATTCAGGTAAGTTGGATTTTTGTTTCAAAAAAAAAAAAATTTCCATTCGAAAAAAAAAACATCATTTGCGTTGAAATAGTGTTTAGCATAAATTTTGTTGAGAAATAGTTAGCGTAGAAATAGTTGAGAATCATGTGATCCCAAAAATTTCGACATTCAAAATTTTGAAAATAAATAATTAGATTTGAATTTGAAGAATGTCAACATCAACAACAGTCGAACCAAAAGAACGTGTTTATGAAACTATTGAAGATGTTAAAGGTGATGGTACACCTTGTTCAGCTATACGTGAAGAATTAAAATTCTGTATACGTAATACAGATTGTGTTAAAGAATTACGTATAACACCGAAAGAATGTTTAAAAAATAAACATCCATCTGTACCGGAAAAATGTCATCGTCTTGCATATTTATTTTTTGAATGTAAACGTTCAGTTCTTGATACAAGAACTAGATTTCGTGGCCGTAAAGGATATACAGATGAATATAATAGCAAATGAAAAAAATGTTTAGCTTAATTTTATTTTTGAATGTTATTAATATGATAATTTCTTTTTTTATGCAATAAAATTGTTGTTCGAAATTAAAATTTTTTAAAAAACTGATATCTATTTATTTATTTGATTTGATATAGGCATATAAATCATTACGAAATGGCCACCTTAGTATGGATGTATTGATTATGTTAGCAACAACAATCGCTTATTTATATTCAGTCGGTGTTGTTGTTTATTTTATGATCACTAATCAACGACAAAGTCCGATGACATTTTTCGATACACCACCAATGTTACTTGTGTTCATATCATTAGGAAGATGGTTAGAACATATGAATCGTCTTCAAACAACTGAATATATTGTTAATCTAATGTCATTACGGCCAGTAAAAGCAACATTATTGGAATTAGATCGAAATGAACAAAAATCGAAAACAATTGGTGATGAATTGTTTACTGTTAAAAATGAACGAATAATCGATATTGATTTAGTGGAAAAAGGTGATTATCTTCGTGTTCGGCCAGGTGAACGTATTCCAACCGATGGTCGTATGATTAATGGTGAAGCATTACTTGATGAATCATTTATTAATGGTGAATCAATGCCAGTGGCAAAAAAATCCGGTTCAATTTTGCTTGGCGGTTCAATCGTATCAAATGGAACGGTTGTTATGATTGCAACAAATGTTGGTGCCGATTCACAACTATGTCAAATTGTCAAAATGGTTGAAAATGCACAGACAACAAAAGCACCGATTCAACAATTAGCCGATCGAATTTCATCATATTTCATACCGTTTGTTATAATAACATCATTGATTGTATTCATAATTTGGCTTTTGATTGGACCAAAATTATTTCAACTAATTTATTCATTGAATCCGGATTTTTATTCACAAATGACTGCTAACGAAGTTATCATACAATTTGCATTTCAAATCGGTTTAAGTGTTTTAATCATATCCTGTCCATGTGCACTTGGTATTGCAACACCAAGTGCAGTAATTATCGGTACTGGAATCGGTGCTATAAATGGTATTCATATTAAAGGAGCTGAACCATTGGAAAGAGCACAACAACTTGATACAATTATATTCGATAAAACTGGAACATTGACTTATGGAAAACCATCGGTGACAAATCTAAAATTAACATATCGATTTCCTAAAGAATCATTTGATTCATTTGTAAGAAAATTAATCATTATGATTGGTATGGCTGAATCGAATAGTGATCATCCGATTGCTGTATCGGTTGCAAATTTTGCACGTTCAGTTCTTCGAATGGATGCCGATCAAAGTTTTGGACAGCTAAATAATAAATTCAAATTAGAAGCTGGTCTTGGTATTCGTTGTCAATTTGAACGTAATCATTTAAAATCATTCGAAACATCATTAATCAATTCGATAAATACTGATGATATTTCTAGTCCTAAATGGTTGGCTGAAAATTTTATATCCTATGCATCATATATTAATCCAGGTAATAAAACAAATCAAAAATTTTTATTGGATGAAAATTTTTTCGACAATTCACAATCATATAAAATTATTATCGGTAATATTCGTTGGATGAAAAAGAATAATATTCATATGGAAGAAGAATTTCAAAATGAAAATGATAAACTTGAAAGTCAAGGTGAAACAGTTTTTAATGTTGCAATTAATGGTAAAATTCTTTGCCTAATATCAGTAGCAGATACTGTTAAACCGGAAGCTTTATTAGCAATTTATACATTAAAAAATCGATTCGGATTAGATGTTATGTTATTGACTGGTGATAATGTTCGTTCAGCATTAGCTATTGGACGTAAAGTTGGTATCAATCATATTTATGCTGAATTATTGCCACAACATAAAATGGATAAGATTAAACATTTACAATCGAATGGTATAAAAGTTGCAATGGTTGGTGATGGAATAAATGATGCACCAGCATTAGCACAAGCTGATTTAGGTATTGCTATTGCTAAAGGTACCGATATTACAATGGAATCGGCTGATGTTGTTCTTACAAAGGTAGGATATATATTAACCTTTTTTAGGAATTTATTAAATTTTTCTTTCTCCTCCTATTTACCAATCAAGGATGATCTATTAGATATTGTTTCCTGTATTGATTTATCAACAAAAACAATGCAACGAATACGTATAAATTTTTTATTGGCATTTATCTATAATGTTGTATTCATACCGATTGCTGCTGGTATATTTATAAAAATTGGTTTAATTTTACAACCATGGATGAGTGGTGCATGTATGGCATTTAGTTCAATATCCGTAAGCTGTTCATCATTATTATTACGACGTTATCGTAAACCATTAAGACGACAACTTGAAACAGATGATTATCATCGTTATAGATCACGTTTAAAATTACAAAATCATGGTGTTACATTTGCAATACAATCATCATCATCATCATCATCATCAACAACATCATTAATATTGGATATGGATAATTTATCCATACATAATTCACATAATTTAATGGAATTAGGTGTAAACAAAATTGAACATCTTTATCGACCAAAATCAATGCAAACAAATCTATCCAGACAAATAAGTAATGATTCAAGTGGAACAAGTGATAGTTCTTTTGATGATAATCATCATGAAAGTGTACGTCTTTTAAAATTAGCTAATTCCAACAACAACAGTAATAATGTTCAAATTATATCAACACAAGCCGCTAATAATACTAATAATCGATCGGATACAATAGCAACCTATATAAACGATTCGGATTCGATTGTTTGATGAAGAATTTTAATCTAAATTGAAAATCATTTTAAAATTTAAATTTTATCCTTTATATAAAATGTGTTTTATGCATAAATCAATTAATAATTTGTATGTGTGTAATGTTTTGTTCATTTCTTGCCTTGAATTTTTTTGCAATTTTCCATAAATAGATCATGATAATCAAGAAATAAAAGTCAATTTTCAATTAATAATTTTAAGAAAAAAAATTCACCACTTTTGTTCAGTGTTTTTTCCCCAAAATATGGTTAGAATTGGAAATTTGAAAATGAAAATCAAAACAAAACAGAAACAAAATCAATTTAGCTATTTAATTAATAATGTTTTTGGTAAGAACGAGAACAAAAAATTTTCGTTTCATCAAAAACATTAACATTTATGCCAATACAAAACGTAATACAGAATTGAAAAAAATGGATGATATTATTGAACAAGCAACAGAAAATCGTCAAAAAGAATATGATAAATTTCGTTCATATTTTTCAACAATTGTTGATTCATTATGTGAAAATAAACAACAATCATCATCATCATCATTTCCAAACATTTCAATTGTTAGTGATTGGTGTAGAAAAATGCTTGATTATAATGTACCAGAAGGAAAATTAAATCGTGGTTTATCTGTTGTTATATCATATCGTATATTATGTCCAACGGCAAATGAAAATGAAATGAATCAAGCAAGATTATTAGGCTGGTGTATGGAAATGTTTCAAACAAGTTTTCTATTAATCGATGATATTATGGATCAATCAATTACTCGACGACGAAAACCTTGTTGGTATCGTTTGGTAAGTTTGTTTATTTTTTTGTGCATTTTTAATTTCAAAAATTAGTAGAATATGAAAGATTAATGTGTGCTGAATGAATTCAAAAAGAAAATCATAGCCAAATTGTTTGTTTGTTTCATTCATTGATTTTGTTTGTTATTATTTAAAAGGTGGACAATCTATATATCTAGGCCAAAACAACAACAACAACAACAATCGCATGGCCTCCAAAATGAAAGAAAGAGAAAAATTGAATGGGAAAACGAAAGAATTGAGAGAAAAAACAACAACGATGCTAAAGGGAATTTATGTTGTTGTTGTTGTTTTTGTAATTCAAAAACAAAAATCAATCAATATTTGATTTGATAAATATTGAAATGAATAAGAAAAATTGTACTTGAAACCTGGAACTGTTTTTGGCTATTTTGTTTTCAAAATTCGAATGATAATGGAGAAACAAAAAATTTACATTTTTCATTTCTTCCATTCCTAATTCTCCGATTGTATCGATATTTTGGGATCTTGAAAACAAAAAAAAAAACAACAAATTTCACAATGATTCTAAATCGTTTTTGCTTGTTGTTTTCATTTTCAGTTTTGATTTTAGCCGTTGGCCAATTTAGCCATTCAAAAAAAAATTATGATGTTTTTTTGTTTTTGAAACATGAAAAAAATTATGAAAAAAAATGAGCGGATTAAGGCCAAAATATTACAACTGCAAACATCAAAAAAAAATGTGTTTTCAAAACATGACATCTTCAAATCTATTTAATGATTGATCTTGATCTACAACAATCAACCACATAAATTGGCCAATTGCTGAATTAGATTTTCAACGACTTTAAAGTCGTGGTCAAAAAACAAAATTTTTTTTGATACGGAAATTGAAATGTTTGAGCAAAAAAATAAATCATAAACATCCAAACAAGTTATAGATTTTGCTTTAGTTTTGTTATTGTTATCCATGATTTTCTGACCTCTCTCCCTGATGAGTGTGCACCACAAAATTTCAATTATCACCATCTTGATCGATTGAAACAGATTGAAAAATAGCCTTGAAATTTAAGAGAAAAAACATGATTTTTTTTGAAAAAACGGGTGAAATTTTCATTTTGTTTTCTCGAATGACGCCATAAGATTCGGCCATACCTGATGAAAGTGATAGCTAATCAGTTTTGAATTTGTTTTCCCTCTTTGCTTCAAAATTTAAAAAAAAAATTTAAAAATTGATTTTTCAATGAAAAAAGATTATCAATTACATCATCGTCTTCAGCAGTGAATATGACTGACTGACTGACTGACTTTGAGAAGATGTTATTGAAAAAAGTTTTTTTTTCTAAAAACAAAAAAATAACAACATCCACATAGGGGAAGAAAAAAGGATTGATCAATCCATAACATACATGTTACATAAATCATTTGATACAAAAAAAAATTGGAAAAACTTTTTTATTATTATTATTTTTGGTTGAGAAAGACAAAAGGTATTTTTTTTACTTTTTTCAAAAAGTTTTTTTTGTTTTTTTTAGATCTTGTGTTGTTTATGTGTGTGTGTATGGGAAATGAAACGAAATGAAACAAATTCAGATCAAAATGTTTTTCGTGATTGAAGAATATATATAAAAGAATTAATTAAAACTAGCATTGTGATTAATTTGTTTGAGTTTTTTCCCCTTCCCTCGATTGGACCAAAAAACAAAAATGGTGTTTGAAATGAGTAAGCAAAGATATTTTTAAAAAAAACAAATGGAAAAAAGCAAAAAGTAGAGAGAGAGAGAGAGATGATATTTAAATCCGTTTTTTTTTTTGTTGAATTTTTTGTTTTCATTTAAAAAAATTTTACCGGATTTTTTTCCAAAACAAAACAAAAAAAAAATGCTAAGAACAAAAACATGAACGAAATAAATTGAGCAAAAAAATAAATGATTATTACTAAATCGGAGAAAATGATTGATTTGATTCGGTTTTATCACTTGAGAAATTGTTTCGGATTTGTTTCGGAGTTATACACACGGTAATATGGTTGTTTTTTTTCAGTCACAAATATGATGTTTATACAACGTTTTTTTTTGAGGTTTTCGATATTGTTTATTGGTGATAATCATCATCTGCATCAACGATTTTCAATCAATCCGGATTCGATTCAACCGAAGATTCAAACAAAATCATCCGAATTCATTTTCATTTTTTGTAATAAATCTTTTGTCCAACGAAATGATTTTAATATAAAATTAAACATAAAATCATTATGTACTGAATGTGATGTATTTGTATGATTAAATGGTTCTTCTACACAGATAAACGTATCCATTGATGTATGTGAATTACGTGCAAATATTGGATCAGTTCGTTTCATTAATGAACCAGTTCTTACTGAAATAACATAATTATATATTGCCGGATCAGAATAATAATCAATAAATTTTGAAAATAATGCACCCATTGATTGTGTATTTGGTGATTTAAACATCAACGGTGATGATGATGATGTAGACGATGTCGATGCCGACGATGATGATGATGATGATAATGATTGTAATGATGGATCAATACAAAAACCATGATTTGTTTGATTAAATAAATCCAATTCATCACCAAATATATTTGCACAATTTTGTTGCAGATTTTCATTCGATAAACTAAAATCACATTTACAATGATGATGATAATCATCATTCGGTGTTAATGGTGATGGTGGTGAAAGATTTAATAATGATAATCGATCATATAATGTACGATCAAATGTACCATTATGATAATTATTATTATTATTATGAAAGAATCCAGAATCCGAAGTTGATGATGATGATGATCTTGATGAAGTGGATGAGGATGATGATGATGATAATCCAGTACCAACACCAGTTGTTGTAGGTGATGAACGATATGATGAATCCAATGTTGGTGATATTAATTCTTCAGTTGATATTCGATGATTATTATCATCATTTTCTTCTGCATTCACTACTTCTTCTTCTTCTTCTTCCTCTTTATCATCATCATCATCATCAGGAATTTGTTGCTGTTGATGATGATGATCAACAAACGGTGGTGGGGGTGGTAACATAGTCGAACAAGAAGGAAAAAATTGTTGTTGCTGTAGAAAATAATAATAATAATAAAATGTAAAATAATTCATATGTAACGATGATGACGACGATGATATGATTGTATTATTATCTGCTTCAACAGCAGCAGAAGCAGTAAATGTTTTGCCATCATTATCTATTGGTGGTTGTTGATTTCCTACCGGTTGTTGATGTTTCCATTTCCGAAATCCGGCAATTTTCTTTGATTTTTGTTCAACATTCATCATATTTGCTGTTGTTAATTGGTGTTGTTGTTGTTGTTGTTGTTGTAATTGTTTTAAACAACAATTTTGTTGCTGTTGTTGTGTTGCCAAGGTCATAGCAATAGCAGCCGGAACATTATGGCTAAAATGTAGATTACAAATTTCATTAGATTTTGTTATTGGTTGTTGTTGTTTATTTCCATTATTATTATCATTTAAATTTTGTTCCAAAACATTATTCGATATTGAATTGTCACTTGTTGTTGTTGTTGATGTCGATGTTTCATTACCCGAAGAATCAAGACTAGAACTACTTTCATTTGAAGAAGGTGATGAACAATTAGATGATAATGATGATGGTGAAGCACAACATTGACCATTCTGTTGTTGTTGTTGTTGATGTTGATGATGATAATTAAAATCAGGTACCAATGAAACACGTGATATATTATTATTATTATTATTAATATGAGGAATGTTCAAAGGATGATATGATGATGATGATGATGGTATTATCGTTGTTGGCAACATTGTAGGTGGCGGTGGTGGTGGTAATATAATCAAATTCTGTTGTTGTTGTTGTCGTTGTTGATGATAATTATTACGTTTTTGTAGATAATAATAATCAGCCGATGTTGTAACATTTAATTGTCGTAAAACTGGATCCTGTGATTGACAATTTTTCCATGTTGTTGATGATGATTGCTTATTTCGATTAAATTTATTATTCGATGAATTTGAATAAAAATTTGAATAAATTTTTGTTGATTGTTTTATCAATTCAAGAATATGATCAAATGATGGTAAGATTGGTGGTTCACAAACATTTTGCAAAAAAAATATTGACATTAATGATAATGCATATGATGATAATGATTTAAAATATGCACAATTAATACCATTTTTTTGTGCCCATAATTTAATTGTAAATAAAAATGGTGCAACACGTGAATCTAATGAACAACAATACATTAATAATAATGTATTCTGTACGGTAACTAATTTATTTAGATTTAAATTCACTTCAATATGATTATGATCATAAAATTTTAATATCGGTACATTTGCACGAATTACTTTTGAATCATATGCTAGGCCACAATGTTCCAATATTTTACGTATACGATCTAATGTATATTCAGCATGTAAACGATTTTGATAACGTTCATCAACTTGTCCATAACGATCATAAATAACCATACAAAGATCAATATCTGAACGATTTGAACCTAATGATGTTAATGATGAACCAATAAGAAATATTTTAAATTTTTCTTCCATTATCATTGCAAGACAACGAGTTATTGTTTCCTGTACATTACGTTTATAATCAAGCAGAATTTTTGGCTGTCTTAAATACGTATATGTTTGTAATAACATATTAGACATTGATGTATCAAGCCATTGTTTTTGTTGTCGTAAATGATAATCAATATCATCATCATCATAATCATCAATTGTCATCATTGAATTATTCGATAACAACATTGTTGTATCAATAAATGAACAAGAATTATTTTTTTGCATAAATAAATTTGTTGGTAATTGATTTTTAGTATTAGAGATCATATCATTATCGTTATGATTATTATTGTTGTTGTATGGTTGATTAACAAAATCATGAAAATATAGATTTTCATCATTATTATTCACTATAATACTTGATAAAAATTGATTCGGATCTAATGCTGTTGTCAATGATGATGATTCGAATGTTGTCGGTGTTGTTGGTAATGGTGATGACATTGATTGATTAAATGTTGATAGAATTTCATTTGTACCGACCATAATCAAAGGTTTCGATGACATTATAATAGCCGGTGGTGGTGTATGATTATGATTATTGTTTTCAATAATTTTTGTATTTGTTGTTGTTGTTGTTGGATTATTATTTCTATCCAAAACAATTAATTGGTCATCATCATCATTTTGATTGCCATCATTTTGAGCAATTATCATCGATTGACCAAAATTATTTTCATGTTTTTTTAATGTTTCAATCATTTTGGTTGAATTATTTTTGGCAGCAATTTGTTTTTTCATTTCATCATCATCATCATCATTATGATCAACATTTTGATCATCATTAATATTATTATCGATGACATAGTAGTTTTCACATTTATGATGATTGATTAATAATGTTTTTTTATTGGTAAAAATGGTGGCAGTTTTTTCTTTGATTGCCTCTTTATCATCATTATCATCTTTATCATTAACCATAGAAACAACATTGTCACTATTCATATTGTTGTTGTTGTTGGTGGCGGTGATGATTTTGTTCAAATTATTATCATCATAACTGCTACCATTGGTAGATGTATTCATCATCATTGTCGTTGTGGTATTTCCATTTATTGATAATTTTGTTGTTACTGCCGGTGTTGATGATGATACTGGTGGCTTACTTTTTTGTCGTTGTTGATAATTTCGATGATGAGGAGGATGTCGCCGTGGAGAACCTGATATCGATGATGACGATGATGATGTGGTGGTGGCGGTGGATGTTGATTGCTTTTGTTGAGCCATAATGGCATCAACAGACGACGTTGAAGAGGATGATGATGATGATGTAATAGCAGATTGTTGTTGTTGTTGATGGTCACGAAATATTTTTTGTTGTGGTCGACGATTACGATGATTATTATGACCACCACCACCACCACCATTGCTGTAACGATGACTACGATGATGATTATAATCATCAATCATGGTAATCGTTGATGATAATGACGGTGGCTGTATTTGTTGTTGTTTTGAATAATAATTTTTTAAATTTCGAAATTTTAATGAATTTTTTATTGATAAAGAAGAAGAAGAAGAAGATGAAATTGATAATTTTTCATCAATATTTTTTCGTTGATTATCATTATTATTATTCATTATTGTTTTATTATTTGATTGATATTGATTACCAATTATAATCGATTTAATTAGTCTATTTGGTTCAATAATATTATTTTCCGAATAATTTAATGATGATGATGATGATGGCAGTAAAAATAATGAAGAATTTGAATGATGATTTAACATAAAAATATTATTATCAGCATTTATAATGGCAGTATCATCAACATTATTATTACCAGTTAAAACAGGTAAACAACAACCAGAAGAGGAATAGAGATCATCATCATCATCAACAACATTATTAAAATAATGAAAATTTGTTGATTCACAATTATTGAATTTTTGTTTCAAATTTAGATTATTGTTGTTGTTGTTGTTGTGGTAAATTAAAGCAGATGATGAACAATTATTATTAGATTGGTGATGGTTATTATTATGATATTGATGATGATGATGATGATGGCTAAGTCGACTACGACGACGACGATTATGATGATTATGATGATGATGACAATCAAACGACGACGAAGAAGACAAATGTACAATTGATTTAATTTTCATTTGTATATCACCATCATCATCGCCATCATAATCATCACCGTTATTATTATCATCAACATGATTATCATCATGATGATGATGATCATTCAACATTTTAGATTTTTGTTTTTTTGAAAAATTTTTATCTATCATTAATTGATTATCAACAACATTGTTGTTGTTGTTGTTGTTGATAATGGTGATGGATTGTTTTGTATCATTTGAATCGTTACCACTACAACTTTTATTGATAATATTTTTACCACTAGATTTGTTTGAAAATCCATTTTTATTTGATGATGATGATGATGATTTAATACCATTATGATGATTATCAAATGCTTCATTTTGATTATGTTGTTGTTGTTGATGATGATGATGATGATCATTAATTTTTGATTTTAAATCCGGTTGTTTCAGCAATTTAGATGATGATTGTGATGGTCGTGATTGTTTATCACTATCGATATCACTATCGATTGCGGATACGGATTCATTATTAACAGTGCTGGTTATGGTTGTTGCTGTTGTTTGAGTGATTTTTTCCAATATTGTTCCCGATTGATTACCAATAAAATCATTATCATTAAAATTATTGGTAAATAATTTCATGATTTTTTTTTGTTGAAAATTTAAGTGATTGATTCTTGACGTCGTCGGTTTTTTTTTTTTTTTTGGTTTTAAAGCAAAGTTTTTTGCATCACAAAAGATACAGTGATAAACAGATAGAAAAAAAAGAAAAAGCCAAATGATAAATGATATATCAGATATCGTTGTTGTTGTTGCCAACGTTTTTCTTTTCTTGAATGAAAGATATTTTTTTTTTCTCTAATTTTCTAGAAAATTTTCTTAGGGTTACACCAAATACATATACATTGAGTTGCTATGCACAAAATAAAAAAACAAAAATTTGCTATTTTCTACCAATGAAAATTGTATCGAATAAAATCAAAAGACATTTCGATAAACAAAAATGTTCTCTACGTTCAGTTTAATCTCGAAATCATAAAGAATCGACGAAGAAAAAAAAAGTTCAATCTAATTCAAGGACGATGAATTTCAATGTGATGATAATGTTCAATGAGAGGGATTTTTCTTGGCTTTTGATCGAAAGAAAACAAAAAAAAAAATTTAAGTCAAATCAAAAGTGAACCAAACCAAACAAAAAAAAAATTAATGTAGTTTGATGAACTTTTTCAAGGTTTTTTTTGTACACAAAAAAAAACTATTTTCGACTTTCGGTTGATATGACGATTGATGGTGGTGGTGGTGGTGGTGGTTATTTTTAAAAATTAGAAGAATTTTATAAACAAACAGAATTGTAGAAAGTGGTGTGTGTGCATTGATGAAAGATGCTTAAGGAATAACAAAAAGAATCACAATCGATTGAAAAGCTGGAAACAAAAAAAAAAGTTATCACGATCGATGACAAGATGATAATATTGATTTGATTCAAACAAACAAAATTTTTTTTTTGGATTGACTTTGATTTTGACTTTCTTATTTTTCTATTTCTTCAAAGAAAAATGTTGAAAAAAAAGAAAATTTTCGCAATTTTTCTTTTAAATTACCAAAGTGGATTTTTTTGTAGTTCCAAACTTGTTGTTTTACTCAATCACACACTGAACACACAGACAGACAGACAATTACATCAAATCAGTTTAAATTGTGGTTTCAATTTCACAATAATAATAATAATAATTTGTTAGTCGAAAGATCACTATCCATCTATCTATGTTGTTGATGTTGTTGTTGTTTTTGATTTTAAGATTTTCATTCGATTTTCACCGATGTTTGTCGTCGTCGTCGTCATCTTATCGTTGTGTGGTTTTTTTTGAAGCTTTTCAAACTTTTTCTTTCTAAATCGAAAATTTCTTCGTTTCGTTTCGTTTTTTTGAGGACAAGGACAGATCTTTTGGAAACAAAAATTGTTGTTTTTTGTTTCGTCTGTTTCTTCTTGGAAACAACGAATCAAATCGAATGGTGATCGATATTGATGATGAAAACAACAAAATTTAATTTTTGTTTGAAATCAAACCAGAAACTGGATTCGGATAGAAATTCGCATATGCAAACAAACAAACATACAGAACCCGTATTATTTTGTCCCAATAACAGTTTGTTGTTGTTGTTGTTGTTGATAATGATGGTGGTGATGTGTTTGATTGATATGAATGTTTTTGGATGGAAGAAAAGAAACGAAAAATTCTTGTTGTTTTTTAACAATAACAACAACAACAATCTCTACAAATTTTTTTTTAGTCGAAATTATTAATCTAGGAAAATCATTGTAAATGATAATTCCTTACCACTACAACAACAACGATAATAACATTGATGAAATCAAAACTTGTGTGTTTATCATCAAATGTGGATTTAGATGTGTGCAATCTAATAACAGAACAGAACAGAAAAACGAGAAAAGATTTGAATTTTTGTTTTTGTTTTTTCGTGTATTGGATTCTGTGTAGGAAAAAAAATATATTGTAAAAAATATAGATGTTTGTAGACAAATGAAAATGAAGAAGAGAAAATTTATGTTTTCTCAATCAACAAAAGTAGCAGTTTTTTTTTCTTAATGAAAAGGTAGTAGTGGTTTTCTCATTTTATTCGTTAGAAATTCGTTGAAATAGAAAAGAGAGAGAGAGAAAGTGAGATTTTCAAAGATTTATTTTCACTTAAAGAAAAATACTTATAGCATCTTTTATCTTAAAATCTTACACCAATAATTTTGTGTTTCTTTTTTCCAAGTGAAGAAGAAGAAGAAAAGATATTTATCATTTCGGAACATTCATTCATTCGAATCAAGGTTATCGGGTTTTTTCCACTTACTCTCAATCGCTTTTATTTACTCTCAATGATGATGATGATGATTTGGCAAAACCAGTGAGATAGAAACAAATCATTCAATTCAATTCAATTCTTTGAATTCTTCAGACAAATCAATGTTGTAGTTAACAGTACAGAAAAAAAAATCTACAAACACCATTATTTAGAAACAATCTATCAATGTTGATTTGGTTTGATTTGGTTGTCTTGGTGATGTATGCCTATCAGATAAACATTTCTCTCTGAGATTGATAAAGCAAAGGAAAAAAAACATTATATAATAAATCAATGATGACGTTATATCGAATGATGATGATGATGAAATTTTCATTTGTTGAATTTTATTACACAACAATTTCCATACACAGACAGACACTGACAAATATAGCCAAAACACACTACCGAATTTGTTGTCAATTTTCATTATTAATTATATTTTGAAGTGTATGCATGAATGGCAACAAGTTGAAAATTTTCAATTTTAACTTTGAAATCATTCTGAGAAAAAAAACTATCTGTTGCTTGTCATTCAAAAAAAAAATCTATCTGAATAACAAACAAACAAACAATATGTGTGAAATAGGCAGCCAGAAAAACATCCTTTTTTCTTCACTCTTGATTGATCTTTTTCCGTTTGTTTTGTTTATTTCTCTCAAAAGATTTTCACACCTATTTTATTGTCTGTGTGTTGACAATGTTTATTCATTTCTCACTTAACTTTTTTTCCCAAACAAAAACAAAGAAAATACGGATGAAAATGATGGAAAAATTTGCTTAGAAGAATCTTTGAATCTTTGGATTCAATACTGAACAAAATTAAATTTTCATTGTCTCGATAAATTACAACCCGAAAAAAATAATAAAGCACACTAAACTAATGACCTAGATTTTTATCACCTGAATTACAAAAAAAAATTTAAAGAGAAATTTTTTTTTTTTAATGAAAAACAAAAATCCATTTACAAAAAACAAACATCGATCAAAAACAGAGATAATATACGATGGATGGATGGATGGATGGAGGGTAATGAATACGATTTGTTGTTCTTCTAATTAATCTAATTTTATTGGATGTTTTTTTAAAATCTCGTTTTTGACCAAGGTTATTTGAAAGTGAAAGTTTTTTTTTCGAAAAATCTTAAAGGCTTAACGCCTTTTACTTTTTTGTTTCGACGATTTATAATTATAGTGATCATTTTTTAATTTGTAATTTGTAAATTACAGGTGATTATGCCCAGATGTTTTTGATCATTTATTGTTATTATCATCATCATCAGAAACATAAATCTTGACAATGATTCCAACAACAAGAATTTCATTTGAAATTTTAAAAAAATTTCTTTTTTTTCTTTTGATAAGCATTTATTACCTTTTTTCTGTAATTTTGAATGTGATAGAAGGATTAAAAAAAAGGATCCACTTGTTTTTTTTAAAATCTGCGGATTATATTCAATTTAACATCAAAATCATCATCAAAACGATATGATCATTATACGATCCAAGAGACAAAACTGATGTGAAATTGTTTTCATTTTATAAATAAAAATTTCATTTGACAAATTTGATAATCTCATCATGGATATTATGGAAATTTCTTCTTTTTTTTTGTTTCTAAATTCATATTCTTCGTCATCATCATCATCATCGATGATGATGATGAATATAATTAATTAATATTCAGAGAAAAACAGCAGGTGAATATTTTTCCTATATGTCATTGGCGCTTGGAAGACTTTTTCTTTTTGGATTTCGAGGCTAACAAGTCAAAAAAACAAATGAAAATTTCAATGTTTTTTTGTTTGCTCCAACTTCATCATCATCATGAATGAATTATCATTTTACCACCACCATCAATCCAAATAATTTGTTCGGTTGTCGAATAAAACATATGCATGTAACAAATGGCAAAACAAAAAAATATTACATAATTTTATTTTGTTTCACTGTTAGAAATGATTAACAAAATCCATTCCACCAAATGACAGATGGAAGGATGAATTGAAAAATTCAAATCAAAATTCATTGAATTGAATGATGATGATGATGATGATAAAATCGATATGATTTATTTCGTTTCAATCTGAAAAAAAGACAAAATGGATTGATTAATTGATTCGAATATCATTGAGAGTGTGTGTGTGTGTGTTGTTCAAGTGTGTAGGTGGTGGTGGTTAAGAAAAAGTGATGAAAGAAAATGGGGAAAATAGCTACTAAATAGAAAAATTCTTTAGCAAATCAATTTTGTTGAATCAAACGTTGTTGATCTCCTTGAATGATTACAGCAGATATGATTGTTTCATTTTTTTTATTTTCTGATTTCGAAAAATAATTAAAAATTCACAACTTTTTTTTTGATTTAAGCGAATCATTTTGGCTTTCATAAGCCAAATATTAACAAAAAAAAAATCGATTGATCAAAACATTGATCACTTGTCATTTTGTCATTGTAAAATTTGACCACACATCCTTCATGGATTATGAATTCAAACAAAAAAAAAATTGCCTATAAGGCAAACATTCATTCATTCATTCATGATGAACAAATTTTTTTTATTAAATCAAAATTCAATTTTTTCAATTTAAAAATCATTATTATTATCCATTTAGATTTGGAAAATTATTTACAAAAAGTTTTTTTGTTGTTTCGCATCAAAACAAATCGATCATTTTGATTTTTTTTTGTTTGTTTGTATTTCTATTGATTCCATTCAATGTTATTCTCCATTTAACTTTGTCGGTTGTTTCAAATTCATTTAAACAAACTTTTTTTTTGTAATTCGAATGAATAAATTTCCTCGAATATTGATGATAGATTTTTGGAATGCAATGAATCAAAAATCAATGATGACCAATAAAATCTCAATCGATCAATTATTTCAAAATGAATTTTTTGTTGTTGTTGTTTTGTTGTTGTCAAATTTATTCAAACAACAAGGTTAATTTTCATTTTTTCTCCACTATTGGTTTGCATTTTAAACACCCAGAAATCGATTAATAAAATTATTCCATTATTGAACAACAACAAAAACAAACAAACAAACAAACAAATATTCAGAATGCGTTCAAGGTGAGAAAAATTTTCCATTTTGCTGTTGTTGTTGTTGTTGGATTTGGCCAAAATTGATATTATTTTGAGATTTTGATTTTCTTTCATCATTGCCATTGGCTTTCCACACACACACATAATCGTAATCGTTTGCCATCAACAACAACAACAACATAATCATTTAATTGATAATTAGAGAGAGAGATTTTTACAAAAACAGGATTTTCATTTTTTTTTCGTTCACTTATCATCATTTCAGCATGAATCAATAATAAAATTGGATAAGATATCTCGTTACTAACGAAAAAAAAACCCTTTTCCGTCTTTGTTTTGTTTTTTTTTGTTGTCAATTTAAAATTGATTTTTCTCCAATATCCAAAAAAGTTGGAAAATGACACTGTTGTTTATCATCATTTTCTACATTTGAATTGATCGATGATTTTCCAATCAATCAAATGAAATGTAAAGTACATCTTTTTTGTCACCATAAAAATACATTTCTTTCAGCAAAAACAAAAAAAAAACAAAAATTGCTCAAAGGTTAATCAATTTCTGGCTATTTTTTTTTGCTTGTTTTCTCAAATTTTTCATTTAAAAAAATTCTTCAATCACATACTTGAATACAATGTAGATGAATAATTTCTTTCTAGACCTTCGAAACAGAGCAAAAAAATTCATTATATAATCAAGACATTGACGTTTTTGTGTGTATCATTTTTTTTTCTTGGCTGACTTTTGTAGAAAAAGTTACAAATAAAAAAAAATTTCAAGGTAAATTTGACTGTGTTTCCTGAAATCACCAATAATTAATTAGGATTCAAAAATAAAGAAAGAAAGTTTTCACATTTCACCACCACCCATTATCATTATAAAAAATATAAATATAATGACAGAGTGGACCAACACCCATTGTAATTGATGTGTGTTTTGAACATTTGCAAATTACAAATGTAATTTACACATTTCATTTTTTTCTTTTCTTTGTTTTTCGGATGCTAAAAATATGCAGATGTTTTTTTGTTTGGAAAGTGCAAAAAATGTCGCCATTTTCTTTTTTTCGAAAATAACTAATGAAAATTCTCACGTAGCCAATCGATCGATCGATCGATTGATTCGATTGATAATCATAATCATAATAATAAAAGCAGAGACAGTAGCAAACAACAACAACAACAACCCACTAACTTTTGCCTTCATTTATTTTTAAAAACTTATAAATTTGGAAATTCCCACCATTAAATTAAAGAGAAAAAAACGAAAAAAAAACTAAGAATGACAGATAATTTCAATCACCTTGTTGATTTGATATTCTAGCAAACACTCAACACACACATTACTTGTGTGTATTCTGGCCATCATTAATTTTCACAAATTTCAGGGTGTTGTTTTACCATCAACATCAACATCATCAGCGTTTGATTTTTGATTTTTTTGGCAACAACAAAAACATCATCTTTCAATTGATTATTTAATCTAGATTTTCCTGAGAAAAAAGATTACCTAATTAATTAATCATTCGATTGATTTATTGATCTATTGATTGATTCATTTCCAATAACGATTACCTAGGATTTAAAATTAAAACATTGTTTTTCCACTTTATTACAACAACCTTTGACCTTTTTGTTTGTTGGTGTTTTACTGGAAAAATTTTCAACAACAAAAAAAACAACCTTTCCAGATTGAAATGAAAATTACTTTTAATTATTATTTTTGTTTTCAAAAAAGAAACAAACAAACAAAAAAATTGATTGTTAAATAATTTGTGTTGCCGGCGACATTCACATTCAGTCAGTCAGTCAGTCAGTCAGTCAGCCAGGTGATCAATGAGCCATTTGATACAATTTCATTTCTTATTTATCAACCTTTTTTTTATCAATAACAAAGATACATTCATTGGCAAGTAATTAACCTTTTTCTTGGTTGGGTGAAATGAATGAAAACAAACGATAATTTCATTTGAATAATTCAAATATTATTGGCATGTAAATATCCTTAGTGTTTAATGATGCGAAGCCGGTATTTTGAATAACACATACACACACATAGATAGATTCCATTTGGAACAAAACATTTGAAACTAATTATTTCAAGGAAGTAAAAAGTAAATTATGTGATTTGATGATGATGATGATGCCGGTGCTGCCTACTCTTGATTTTAGTTGATTTTGATCTAAATAATTTTTCTTGAATCTCTTTTTTCTTTGAAAATTTTCTAATTTTTTTTTAATTCGTTATTATTATTATAGCCTGATGTTGGAATGATTGCCTGTAATGATGCGATATTATTGGAATGTTTTATCTATCAATTATTGTCGGAACATCTTGATAAACATCCTTGTTATTTGAATATAATCAATATGTTTCATAAAGGTTTTCGTATTACATCGATTGGTCAATGTATGGATGTATTGACAGAAAAATCATTAAATTGTAATAAAAATCATGGAATATTAATGGAAAATAATTTTGAAAATTTTAATCTTGAACGTTATAAAGAAATTGTTGCACATAAAACTGCATTCTATTCATTTGTTCTATCCATACGATTAGCATTATATTTGGCTAATTTTAATGATGAAAATTTACATTTAAAAATTGAAAAAATTTTAATGGATATTGGTGAATTATTTCAAATACAGGATGATTTTTTGGATTGTTTCGGTAATCCAGAACAAATGGGTAAAATTGGTACCGATATTAAAGATGGTAAATGTTCATGGTTAATTGTACGTGCATTAAAATTAGCTAATGAACAACAACGTTTATTATTAATAAAACATTATGGCCATGAAAATGATGAAAATTTAATTAAAGATTTATATAGACAATTAAATCTAATACAAGAATATCAACATTATCATTGTCAAACATTGGCTAAAATTATTGAAAATATTGAACAATTTCAACAACAACAACAACAACAACAATCGGATAAATTGATACCAATCAAATTATTCAATGAACCTTTGACACATGTATTGATGGAACGTGATTGTTAAATTACTAATTAATAGCTCTTTTGATATGATTAGTTTAGTTGATAAATAAATTTGTTTGTTTGTAAATCCATTTGTGAATGTACAAACAAAATTTGATCAAATATTTAATAAAATTGGAAGATTTAACAAAAAATCTGAAATGGGTTACTATAATCGGGATAATTATTTTCATTTCATATTTTGAATTTTTTTTTCCATTGAAAATCTTTGGAGAGAGAGAGAAAAGAAAAAATCATTTTGAAAGTTTATTGTTTCTCATTGTCATTCCAAAAACAAAAAAAAATCTTCGAATAAAATAATCATTATCCATATATATTAATTAATGTAAATTATCGTCATTGTTTTTTCTCAACGCAAAAAAAAAAAGAAACAAAAATATGAAAATTCAAAGCTAATGATGATGATAATGATGAAGAATTAATTCAAAAAAAGAAAGAAATTATTTCTTCATCATCAATGTTTTTTTGTTTGAATGTTTTCCCCAATTTTCTCCCCTCATAGATTCAAAATCTGTGTTTTTTTCCTGATATTGATATTGTAGGTAGGTAGTCATCGACTTATGATTTTATTCATTTTTTATTTTTGCTTTGCTTTGAAGGAACGAAATTTCCAAACACAATTTACAATTCAATGTCAGTGATTATCAAAAATTTTACCATACAATTGTGATTGGTAAGCTAAAGAAGAAACGAAAAAAAACAAAACAAAATCTACGCCTAATGATAATCGATAATTATAAACATAATTTCATTTTCACTCAAATGAAACTATCATTGGAAAACACACACAAAGAGAAAGTTATTTAAAAGTTTTTTTTTGGATCAATTTCATTGATTATTTTTAATGAGAAATGTGGAAAAAAAAATTATTTTTTGTTTAAGTTTTTGTGCCCAATAATGAATTTATGGATTATTTTTGTTTTTTTTTTCCAGCCAAAACAAGATATCGAAAATCCATTGGTTTCTTTTCATTTTTTTTCAAATAAATTTTCAACAAAAAAAAATTATCAATTTGTCCTTGAATCGAAAAATATCTGCATTGAATTTTCTTTTTATTGTATTCATTTGATGATGATTATTGAATGGTAAATAATAATGATAATCATTGGCGTAGTGGTAAAATGATGGTATAGCTGTTGATGATGATAATAGACAGTTTTCAAACTTTCTTTGTTTTTGAATATAGTTAACGGTTCATCGTCATTATCATTTTGCCAAATTGATAAAAATGTTTAAAAGAAGAACTCTTATTTTATTCAAGCATATCTTTCAATGTAATGAATCAAATTTCTAACGTTTTGCCGTCGCCGTTGTTGTTTTTTGTTGGTTAGATAAATTATTTTGTCATTCTCTTAGTGTTTGGGTGTGTGTGTCGATGAATTTTTTTTCTGGTTGGTAACCAAGACAAATCGTTATTTTTTGGCTGGTTATTTCTTAATGATAAAACTTTTTTTTTTTGTCAGTTGCTTGTCATATATAAAAAGACTTTTTTTTTGTTGAACATTCATGACAATCATTCATTCCTAATTCATTCGAAAATCGTTGCTGTTGTTGCTACTTTTTTGGTTGTGATTTAAATATTTTTGTTTTCTAATTTGGATAAATCTACAATTTTTTTAAAAAATAAAATAAGTTTAAATATTTAAAAAAATGGAAAACGTTGAAGTTAAATATACTCAGGTATGATTGATGATGATGATGATGATTTCATTTTAAAATAATTCTTTATTTTTTTGTTTTGCCAAAAGATTTTCATCAATAATGAATGGCATGATTCATTAGATGGAAAAACATTCGAAACAATTAATCCATTTAATGAGAAAAAAATAGCCGATATTCAAGCGGGTAATAAAGCTGATGTTGATCGTGCTGTTTCCGCTGCTGTTGATGCATTTCGTTTGGATTCCAAATGGCGACAAATGGATGCATCACAACGTGGTGAATTATTATATCGTTTGGCCGATCTTATTCAAAGAGATCAAGATTATATTGCTAGCCTTGAAAGTTTGGATAATGGTAAACCAAAAATGTTAGCATTAATGGATGTTGATATGTCAATCAAAACTATTCGTTATTATGCCGGTTATGCGGATAAAATTCATGGTAAAACAATTCCAGCAGGTATGAAAAAATTTATTTATTTTTTTGTGCTTCCGAATTGATCTTAATATTTCAATCAACAGATGGCAAGCTATTCGCTTATACACGAATTGAACCTGTTGGTGTTTGTGGTCAAATTATACCATGGAATTTTCCATTTTTAATGGCTTGCTGGAAATTTGGACCAGCATTATGTGCCGGTAATACGGTCGTTTTGAAACCAGCCGAACAAACACCGGTAAGAATTTTTTTCCGGATTTGTTCTTAACTAATTCTATTTTTGATTTCAATAGTTGAGCGCACTTTATTTGGCCAGTTTGACTAAAGAAGTTGGATTTCCTCCCGGTGTTATTAATGTTGTACCTGGTTTTGGTGAAACTGCCGGTGCAGCTTTAGTTGATCATCCAAAAGTTGATAAAATTGCCTTCACTGGTTCGACTGAAATCGGTAAATTAATCATGCGAAATGGTTCACATTCAATGAAACGTATAACATTGGAATTGGGCGGTAAATCACCGTTAGTTGTTACCGGAAATGTTGAAGATATTGCTAAAGCAGCTCGTACAGCACAGGATTCATGTTTTCTAAATATGGGTCAATGTTGTTGTGCTGGTACTCGAACATTTGTTCATGAATCAATATACGATGAATTTGTTAAACATTCGGCCGAATATTGTCAATCATATGTATTGGGTAATCCATTTGAACCGACAACTCAATTCGGTCCACAAGTGGATGAAACACAAATGAATCGAATACTTGAAATGATTGAATCGGGTAAACAAGATGGTGCTCGTTGTGTTGCCGGTGGTAATCGTCCAGATAGACGTGGATATTTTATTCAACCTACCGTTTTTGCTGATGTTACCGATGGAATGCGTATTGCACGTGAAGAAATTTTCGGTCCAGTACAACAGATTTTAAAATATAAAACTTTGGATGAAGTTATTGAACGTTGTAATGATACTAATTACGGTCTAGGATCTGGTATACTTACCAATGATATTAATGAAGCTATGAAATTTTCTCGTAGTATTCGTGCCGGTTCAGTTTGGATTAATACACCGTACATGTTACCGGTTTCAGCTCAAACACCATTCGGTGGTTTTAAAGAAAGTGGAATTGGTCGTGAACTTGGTGAAGATGGTCTTCGTGGTTATGGTGAAATTAAAACAGTTGTCATTATGGATTGTGATAAAAAAGTATAAGAATTTTGTTTTTGTTTTTGATTATCTTTCCAAAGAATAATGATCGTGTGTTGTTAACACATGTCCACAAAAAAAAACAATAAAAAAATTCAAAAATTATTATTAAACATTGAAATTAGAATTTAAAAATTAGATTTTCAAATAAATTTTTTTTATTCTTGGTTAGCGAAAAAAAAATTCGATTTAAAAAAAAAATCAGTTAGTTAGTTTTCATTACAATATGAATCGATTGTTCGGTACCAATGTCAGCAACAACAACAATAATAATAATAATAATCCAGAACAAAATTCCATTATATCATCATTAATTACACTTATCATATCGATTTCAATCCTTATCGCTTGGTATTTGTTTGTTGTTTGCTATTGTACCGAACAAATTCAATCACGATCGTTAATAATAACACCACTACCGATACGTAAACAATCAAAAAAGTCGACTAAAAAATCAAGCCGAAGAACGTGTCATACGAGATAAAAATATCATTATCATTATTATTAAATCAGTTTATTATTTTCGTACAAAAAAAAAGTTATTTCATCAAAAAATAAACGAAATCAATCAATCATGAATTAAGACAACAAAAAAAATTGGCCAATATCGATGGAATTGTTCCATATAATCGTTGACCATTTGACCAGAAACAATTAAGAAAATCATTAAAAAATTTATTCAAATCTCTACCACGTGAATATCGACGAATGATAAATATTTTTGCTTGTATTTGACAACCATAATCAATGATTTGTGTACGTGATATATGAGAATTTTTTGCCAAACTTATAAATGATGATACACCATTATTATCGTATCTTATTGTTGGATCATTTTCACATGCCAATATATAAACATTGCTAAGTGTGGAATTTTGTTCACGAAATTCTGGTCAAAAAAAAGAAAAGAAAAAGAAAAAGAAAAGTTTTCAAATCAATTCAATAACAATTTAAACAAACTCAACTGTTTAGCCAATATTTCATACGTTGAAATGTAGCCGGATTTGACATTAAACAAACACCAACAATTGCCTGTACATTATCCGAATAAATTGATGCTAAATGATTATATCGTTCAAAACGTATTGTCATATTCCATATATCTAACGATATAATTCGATTCTTATGTTGGCTAAGAAGAAAAGAAAATTCCAAAATATTACTTATTCAACAATGATAGAAAAAAAACAATATCGCTTACAAACGTAATGTATTTAATTGTATACCCATTGCAGGTTGATGACCAAGACGATGATTACGTTGTATACATTTTTCATGGCTAAAAAATAGATCCAATTTACTTGATTCGGGTAATGATCCGACTAATAATATTTTTGGATTTTTTGAATCCGATGATGATGATGATGATGATGACATGATGATCATTGGAATTTATTTTGTCAATCTAAAAAAAATCTAATTTGGTTTTGAAAAACATTAAACAAATAAAACAAATGTTACCATTGACTTTGAACACACCATGTGTGTGTGTGTGCGTATTTGTTTGTATATTTTGTCTCAGTATAAAGTTCAGCGGCCAAAATAAATTGATAATTTTTCCCCCCTTCACAACCCTTTCTCTCCTTTTTAACACTGTTCACATAAACACTTTGTGTGTTAAAGAATTTCGAAATTGGTAGAAATAAAAGAAGAAGAAAAGTTTGGTCTCTCTCTCTTTCTTTGATAGATTGTGTTTATGTTGTTGGTGGTGGTAGCGTTTTCGATTTGGAACAACAACAACAAGCAAACAACAATCAAAAGTTTTTGCTATTCAACGAGAAAAAAATGGTGTGGACATTGAACATGGCAGGAAAAAATATGGGGTTGTTTTTTTTGAGATCGAATAATCGATTTTTTTTTTAAATATTTTTATTTTTTTTATAAACAATGACATTTCAGACAAAATGATATGATCCAATAAAAATAGAAAAGATAATTTCAAATTGATATTGCCAAAGGATGAGAAAGGATAAGATTCTTATGACATGAATATGAAAAAAATAAAAAGCAAGATGATGATATTGATGTTTTGTTTATCCAAAAAGACGTCCAAATATTCCACGTTGAAATATACGTTTTCCTGCATTGGTCAATGATGATATCGATGGTAATGAAGGTAATGATGGTAATCTTGATTGTTGAATATTCATAATACGGCTTTGAATTTGTTGATGTTGTTGTTGTTGTCGACGTAATTCTCTACTGGTACGATAAATAGTTCGACCAATACCGAATATACCACGCATTAGTGTTGATTCGGTTGTTGGTATCATCAATGTACCAACAAGAATTGTCATGATGGCAAAAGTCTACATGGAAAAATGAAAAAAAATAATGTTAGCCATGAATATTTGATGAAATTCTCTATCAAATGAATACATACGAAAAGGAAATTGATTTTCATTTTGTAAAATTCAGGTAAAATTGATAAGAAAATTGAGAAATTGAAAATTTTTTTTGAAAAACTTGACCAACTCAAAATGAAAATCAACGATGAATGTGTAAATCAACAAATCTGGTCAAGATATTTATACATTTTTTTTGGAAATGAGCCTACGGTCCAACCACACAGTACCACTAGATTTATCCTTTTGTTTGTTTGTTTTTTGCCTAGGGCTTTTGGGTTTTATTATTGCGACCTTGGATTTGTATATCGAGATATTTTTATCGAAGACACACACACAAAAACATTATGCATTATCATTGTTATGGGATTTGATTTGATTTTTTTATCATTGTTTTCGTAAACAAAAAACGTTTTACCTTATGGATTGTATTGGGGTTATATTTTCTTTCCATATCAGTGAAAGAAGAAAAAAAATCAATTTCGTTTCCATTTTTTTTCTTCCATATTTATTACCGTTGCAAATTTGATTTGAATTTTTTTAAAATGTAATTTTTGTTGTTGTTGTTGTTCGCTTTGCGTTTACCTATTATTATCATGATAATCATTTTTTTTTTGTTTATCAAGTTTTTCAAATCTAAAATTCAATTTTTTTAAAACGACCAAAAAAAATTGGATTTTTTTGGGATTGAAATTCAATTTTGGATAGGAAAAAAGAGGACTATAGGGTGAACGAAAAAAAATGGGATATGTAAAAAAATAGATTGAAAACGAAATTGTCATTCGTTTTGGCAAATGGAAAAAAATGAAAAATGAATTCAATTTTTGAAAAATTTAATCTAATTTGAAAATATCCAAAGGTGGAAAAACGACAACAACAATCATTTGATGTTGAAATCAAAACTTTTAATCTAATTTGATTTGAATTTTGAAATCAAATCAAATCAAATTGTCAACAATCAGAGCGCAATAGGAATATACAATTTATAATATAAAATCGATTGATGTTTTCGATCGATCACTTTGTTGAACTTTGTGAAAATGAAAAACATTGTTTCAAAAATCAAATTTGATTAATAATTAATTGATTTGATTGGATCAAATGTGGTTGCTGGCTGGTTTGTAATTAGGGTCATCTAAAATATCAATTTATCAATATCAAGAGTTAAATTACATTACGAAAATCTGTTATTTTGTTTGGATCGCCGTCGTTGGATGTTGAAACATAACTGACTGAATCAATGATTGGATACGGACCGAGAAGAAACAAAAAGTTGTTATAATTTTCATTTCATTTTCCAATTTGATACTTACCTCAACAAAAACAAAATGAAATGAAATAAGAATTTGAATTTGAAACACAAGAGAAACAACGAAAACATGCGTGTAATTGAAAAACATCAAACACACCTACAAATGTTGAATATTTCTTTGTATTCAGAATTGATGATTTTGGCCATCACCATTATCATTATCATCATCATTGTTCGATGGCCTTGATTCGATATTGTTTGTTTCGTTTTTCGCATCTAATGATAATCAAACAACAAAAATTTTTGGAATTTCTGATCCAAAATGATCAAATTTTTGATTGTTGTTGTTGTTGATTATCATCAAATAAAAAAGTTATCCAAAAATCAATAAATTAAGGAAATTAATTAAAATCGTTTAAGTTTATCAAATGATCTGATCTTATCATCATAATTTTCGAATGAAAATGCAAACATTTATTCAGTGTGTGAAAACATGCCATTTAATGATGATGATGGCACATCATTTTCATCTGCGGAGCAGCTGAAAATTAGTTCAATTCGCTTTGCCATGGACCTGTGTTCATGGCCATTTTCAAATAGAGAAAACAAATTCAAAAAATTTCAAACTTGTTCAACCAATCTGATTTTAAAATGTCAATCGATGTTGTTGATAATGATGATATCATAGGTAAATTATTAAGACATTAAAAAAAAAAATTATTCAACTCAATCAGCAACAACAACAACATTGACGACACGACAATCATCAATCTTGTAATAAGTAAAAAATAAAGTCAAAATAAAAACATTATCTAAAAATAAAGATCATCAACATTGATGATGATGAACATTGAACATCGAAAAAGAAAGAAGATCATGAATTTGAATCTGATACCTTTTGAATTTGTAATTTTGTGTGTGTGTGTGAATGGCAAACGAGAGAAAAGAAAACACACAGTGATTATAATCAAGAAAAACCAAAAAAAAAAATCAAAATTTAACTAGATGATGGCCAAGAATGAATGAATGTTGTTTTTTCTGGCTGTTTTCTCCTCAATGATGATGATTACGATGATATTGACATTAACATTACATCATTATCATCATCATCATCATCAACAATAACAATAGTGATTGAAATGATTATCATCATGATCAGGATCAACATGATGATGATTAGCGATTAAAATAACGGCACCATGTTTTTCTTCCAAAATAACGATCATGTTTAAGTTTTCCAAAAAAAACCAACTCTTCTTTACAACTATATAGTCTGAAATGGGAAAATCGATAGAAAAATAAATGAAAGAATGAATGATTATCGCACAAACACAAACACACCTTCCACTGATCCGTTATTTTCCCTGACCATTTTTTTAATTCATTGTATTCGAATGAAGAAAAAAACAATGTTTTGAAATCTTTTTTTTTCATCAATAAATGATTTGATGGTGAATTTCATTTTCTCTCTCTGTCAAAGAATGTCATCCATATCACAATCAAATCTCGAATATCCGACCGCGAATACAAATTATTTTATCATTTTACAGTGCATGAAGAACTTGTTTGTTTGTTACCCGGGCGTATTTACATTCGTTCAATGGAATAATTGTTTCGTTTTATTGCTCGAAAGGGTTTCGGGATAAGTTTCATTAATCGTTTTTTTTGGAAAAAAAATGAAAATTTTCAGAAAAACTTGTTTAAAAATTCAAAACTATTCGACCATCCCCCGATCATAATTCAATTCTAACCAAAGAAGAAAAAAAACACAAACCGATCTTCAATGTTTTTTTGGTCGGGTTTTTGTTGCTGTTGCTGCTTCTTTGCTTCGGTCGTTGTTCATCAACTTGTTTTTTATTTCGCCAAGAGTTTGTCCGAGCAGTTTTCGTTCATCATCATTCTCTTTCTCTTACGCTTCTCTTTTCTTCTGACTTGTCCATTGGATACGGACAACAATGTTCGACAACAACAACAACAACGATGATGTTGTCGAATGTTGATGAATAATATCCATGAATCTACAACAACAACAACAACAATCAAAACTTCTTGAGATACAGCTGACTATTTTATTTGGCTGCCAATAAAATTTCGAAAAAAAAAATTTTTCGTGCTTCTTGTATAAAATTGTTTTGGGCAGACGATATTATATCATTTTTCGACGAATTTAAACATCGAAAGAGCGAAAAAGAAGAGAGAGAGAGAGAGAGAGAGAGAGAGAGAGAGAAACTGCTGTTTGAATGAAAAAGAGATTTTTGTTTTGTTGTTGTATTCATCATCATTCTGATGTTGATGATCATCTGGCGAAATGGTGAAACAAAACAAAACAATAACGCAGAGTTTAATCACGTCAGTAGCCATTATCATTTACATTTGGTGATCATCATCATTGGATCAAATATGATTTTGTTCTGGTTTTTAAAAAACATTCTGAATTCGGTCATAGTTTATTGGTGATTCTTTTGGTTTTCTTCCAAAGTTTCATTCATTGATTGCCAATATTTTCTTAAAATTATGAATATTCTACTGTGATGTGATATTGTTGTGGTTATCTTTGAAAATGAAAATTCGTCCTGCCAAATCCAACATATAATTCTAGCCATTTCATTTCGCTTTGATGGACAGTGTTTGCATTTTTCAATACAAAAACATTTCCATTGTGCATTTTGTTTTCGTGCTTCTTTGTGATATTCAAATTTTTTTGTTGTTTTGTTTTGACCATCATCATTATCATTCAGGAATCATGTTGAACGGGTCATGTGTTATTGAATGAAACAATCCTGAAATTTTTTTTTTGAAAATCGAAAACAATTATTTCATTGAATACAACAACAACAATATGACATTCACCTGTTTGTTCAATTTGCCATCCATTAACAACAACAACAACAGAAAAAAAATGAATCTTTGAAATAAAATCAAAAGTGTTTGTTTCACCGTGTATGTATGTAATACCATATTTTACTTGAATTTATCTGATTTTATCTTCAGGTTTTTTTTGTTTTTGTTTTTTGTTTTCCATAAATGGTGAAAATCTAAAAATAATAATCTCACAGGATAAATAACCGGAATCATTTTGTTTTGTTTTGTTTCACTTCAGGAATTATTATTATCATAATTTCAATCGATTATCATTTATTGGATAGATCGCATCATCCACAATAACAACAAATCGTGACATTACAATCATCACATCTTCATATCATTATGAATATGGATTTCTTATTTTTGGATGTCTGTTTGATGATTGATAGAAAGATAATATTAATGGTAATAGATAATATTGAATGGTTGTTTTTTTTTTGTTGGAAATCTGATTCGAACTAAATCCGATAATCGAATCGATTGAACAATCGATTGTTTCTAGATCATTTTTTCCCCTTTAGTTCGAAGTTAAAGTTGATTATGATATCAAAATGATGATATCCTGACGATGGTCAATATTTTTTTCTCTCTTTTCTTGTTGAGTAAATACAGAAAGATGTTTTTTTTGGGAAAAGATCCAAGGTTGATAACTTGATTTTGTTTTTTCTTTACAAAGATTCTCTTCTCATTCATTATATTCTGTTTGCGAAAAAAACAAAATTGGATCGACAAAACTTTGACATCTGATCATCAAAAGAAAATGATGATCTATTTTTCTGTTGCTGTTGTTGTTTGCATGCAAACATATTATTTTATGGATCAACATAGCAATTTATCATCACGATTATGATGATGATAGAAAATAAGATGATGATGTGATCCAAATCATTGTGGACATATGTAACAGTTGTTGTACATCCATATGTCATACAAATTGCCATTAAAAGATGAATTTAAAAAATCTTTTTAAATCCTCGAATCATTATCATATTGGTTAGTATACTTGAACTGATTCGATCAACCAATTCATTCGAATCATCATCATTATCATCCTCGACAATTTTTGCTTTTCGAGGTCAAGTTCACAATTCATAATTTGATTGTATAATCAAAAATTTACATTTTGTTGTTGTTTTTGTTTTTTCTCTTGAATTCCATTTGAATTATTATTATTAACGAATTGAATATTCGGTTTCCATGTCATCGCGTGGCTATTGTAATCAAGCAGAGGAGAAAAAAAAGCTTAGAAATAGATAGAAACAGAAGAAGAAAAAAACATTACCAAGGCAACGAAAAAAAACCATTATAAATTTGTTCGGTTATAAACAATTGCATAAATTTTTTCTTTCAAACTTCAGTGAAATCCAATGTCAACGGCCGCGTTTATAGTGATGGTGGTGGTGATGGTCAACGCCTCACATAAACTTGTAATGATCTCAACGAAAATAAAAAAAAATCTCTGTGATTCTATCGACGGTTTATATTGAAGAAGTTTTGATAACATTATTTAGATGAATAAAGTTTTTTTTGTCGTCGATATTTTTTATGACTGAGTGTGTGAGAAAATTCATTTTTTTCAATAAAAATTCTGATGATGAATATCAATTTAAGGTATGTTTTTTTTTGTTGTTGAAATTACTTCGGATATATAACATTATTTAAGGTGTCTTTGAACGATATCATCATCATCATCATCATCATAACCATTATCATCATAAGCCGGTAATGGCAACGATGATCATTCATCCGCAAAAAAAGCCATACTACTAATGATGATGAATGTATTGGAAAATACGGTTGAATGAATGAATGAATGGATGATACCGGTCGGTAATTTATTTTTTCTTCTTCTTTCTTTTATGAGCTGTCGGGTGAAATCGAAACATAATAGATAACCCCTTTTACCGGATAGGTCTTTCTCTTTATCTCTATTTTCATTCAAACATTCAGATCAATTCTTCGGGGTACAATATTAATTTCGGATTCGGTTGGCCGATGTTTATCATCATCATTATCATCATCATTAATTCATTTTGGTTCCGGTTGGTCGATGACAAAACTTTATATATTTTCTTACAATATATCGGTATATCGGTAATTTTTTTTTACATTGGTGCATCAAATTGTCGATATCATAATCATCATTAGTTGGTAAATTTCCGATCTTCGGATGAATCGACCAAGAAACTCATTTTTTGTTTCATGAAAGCTATATCGACTGTTTTTGTTGTTGTTTTTATTGTTATTTTGCCCTGTGTGTGTGTACAAATAGCAATTTGAAGGATTCGATTCGTTCGAAACAAAACAAAAAAACAACAACTTGATTTTGAAACGACAATTTTCTTCCTATTTCCAATGATCATTGTAAATGTCAATTTGTGAATGTCGAAAACATTTTAAGATGATTGAAGATGGATTGAATTAGAATGAATTTAATTCAATTGAATAAGAAAAAATCATTGATTAGTAACAATAACAAATCACAAAAACTTTTTCTTTTTTTTTAATTTTTTTCGAAGTTCATTGCACTGGCATTAACAACAAATTTTCCATTCATCATCATCATCATCATCGAATGCAAAGAAAAATATGCATAAAAATTGTATTGTTTTGTTTTCAAAATCCAACAAGAAGACGAAGAAGAAAAAATAAACAAAGAAATTTTCTTAATAATTTCGTAATCAAGTATTTTTCGTTGTTGTTGATGATTGACCAGAAATTTCCTTGGAAAAACAAAAAACAAAAACAAAAACAAACGTTATTATTGATTTGATTTCCACAACGAAAAGAAAAAACACCTGTATGATGATGGACAGATTGCATAAAATTCATTGAAAATTATCGACACATGTGTTTTTCACCAAAAAAAATTCAATTAGAATAGAAAGTCAAAATGTTTTTTTCTTCTGATAAATTCAATATATTGAAAGGATGATTATTCGAAAAAAACAGTTGTTTGAAATGAAACAGAAATCAATTTTTTTTTCCAAATTTAGAAAAAAAAAATTTGCAAAAATGATTGATATTTTGATAGCCAGGTTTCAGTTTGTCGGTTGACAAAATTCCATTAAAAAAGGGAAAAAATGTTCCCGTAAACAAAAATAACATTTTTATTGAATTGGAAAAGAAAATTGTCCGAAAATCACATTCGAATCTTTATTTTTTTTTGGCATTCGAAATCCTATACACGTTTGATGATCCAAATCCATTGACGAACGAACGAAAAAACAAAAACAAATTGTATTAACCAATCAATCGATCGATCGATTGATTGATATTCAAGAAAATGAAAACAAAAAAACAAAAACAAAAAATCGATCCGAAACGATTAACCCAGAAAAAAAGTCGTTCGTCGTCGTCTTCTTCAAATCACCTTTGCTTTTTGTTCCATTTTTCACTTATTCTTATTCGGGAAAATTTTAAAACAAAAACAAAAATTGATTTTGATTTTGTTTTGTGACAATGTATATAATCACATACACACACACGCACACACTTAAAAGAGATTGATTGATTTAAATGAGAATGCAACCTGTTGACAATTGTTGTCGTTTCAAATAAATCAATAAGTGTATAGACGAAATTGTGTATCTTTAAGCAATCAATCAATCAATCAATCGATTTATTGATTGATTGCGTTTGAAAATTCAAATTAAAATTCAAGATGAAGATAATCATCATCATCATCATTTATAAATCATTATTAAAATTATGATATTAATTGATAATGATGTTGATTAATTTGAATTTCAATTTGAAAATTGTCTATATTCGTTAATGATTCAAAATATTGATCGATCGATAATCAATTGTCAATAATTTCAATATTGAAAATGAAAGAAATTTGTTTTGTTTTCTTTCAAAAAGAAAACAAAAAACAATTTAAAATAATTAGTTTTTTTGCATTAATGAGGTTGAAAAGTTTTGTTTCTTCCCGGCGGAAAAACATTTTTAAAAAGAAAATTGAAACGTTATAAATGTTGGTTGGACGACTTAAAAAATGAAAAATCCATTTTAATTTTTTTGTTCGAAAAACAGCAAGTTATCATCATCATCATTAACCAATGATCTATATAGATTGTCATTTGGTTCAACAACAAAACAAAACAAAAAATTCAAAAATAAAAATCTTTCAATCATCATTAAGTTGTTTTGTTTTTTTCGGTATTAAATAGATCGTTTTTGTTTTTCTTCATGGATCGATATATTTATAAACTTGGCTAATATTTTCAAGCAACAGTTTATTTTAAAACAAAAAAAAATTTCAAACCGGATGAATCACGATTTAATCATTCATAAAGTTTAAAGGAAAACAAAAACAATAGAAAAGGATAATGGAAGGAAATGGACGAATACTTGAAATAGCTCAATCGATATATATCGATATATGTTGTTCATCACTTTCGGAACAAAACAAAAAAAAGAGTAGAAATTTAAATACAGTAGTTATTCCAATGATGGCGAATTTCTTTCGAAACCAGGAAAAAAAATCATTAACCAAAAATATCACTATTTTTTTCTCATGAAATTGTTTTTCCTAATTCAATTCAAAACATTCGATTTCGTAACCTAATATTCTACAGCAAACATGTTTGATTTGATATCCGTTTTCGATCGATCGACAACAACAAAAATATTTCATTTCCTGAACGATCCTCATTTGTTTGCGTTGTTGTCGTTTCTGTATTGTGTATACCATATTTGAAGAATATTTTTCTATTTTAGTAACCAGAATGTTTATTGATGGCCAACCAAAACATACACACACACACACAAAAAAAGACAAACACAAATACGAAAACGAATTGAACAACCAACAAACCGACAAACAAACCAAACGATAACGATAATATTTGTTTGGGGTAACCAAGAGTTTGATTTATAATGAAAATATTTTGTTTGGATTATCAACAGTGAGCCGGTGATTATTATCATCAGTATTATTTGATTTTCCCTTTCTATTTTCATCATTATAAAGGTTTTTCATTGTTTTTTTTTTGCTTTGATCATGACATTCTTATTACATTGGAGAATCATTTATGGCAAGAAAGAAAGTTGTGATGTTTGCTGTTTGTTTGTTTGATTACGTTAGTTGATGATAAAAAATCTTTTTTTTCTCGTGCTTCTACTGTATCATTTATTCAGAATTTGACCTGTTTGATGAAAATTTTTTTGTGTTGATTCATCACTATGTAACGCGACTTACCTTTGATCTTTTCCAAATTGTTTGAGCTGACCTAGCTTCGATTACCATACAACCAGCCAAAAAAAACCTTTGAACTTTGTTATCATCCATCATCATTGTTTGGTTGAATAAAAAATGAAATGAAATGAAAAATACTGAATGATAATTATTGTGATGTGACCTATTCAAATGAAAAAATTTCCAGTGTTAACCGGATAAATAATTAGGTTAGTTATGTTTTACATAACTTGAATATTTCTCACAAACCAAACACAACAAATACAAACACGCAATCATAAATCTAGAATCATCATAATCATAATCATGATGTTTTTACCACATTTTTTTGGTGGTTATTATTTCCTTTCTGTTTAAAAATCTTCAAAAAAACAGCTAAACATCATTATTGTCATCATCATCATCTGTTCCTTAAATGATAATGATGATAATCATCATCATTGGATGTTTTTTTTTCGGGTTAAAAATCAACAAGAAAATCTCATCATCATATGATTTTCATATATATGTAAAAATGGAACAAACAAACAAACAGAAAGCTTGACCGAAAAATATAATTGTTGATGATTATGATAATGATATGAATTGTATGTATAGGATGTTATGAAATTCTTGATTGTAAACTTTTGTTTTGGCTGCATAAAATCAATTTAAAATTCATTTGAAATATTGAATCTTCATTTCATTTCATTTTGCATGTAATTATTATCAAATTAAGCTGTTTATGATGGTCCCCTTTTTTCCCCAGATAATAATAATGATTATAATCAATTTGACTTACTTTTTTTCAACTTTTTTATTTAAAATTTATTTTTAGTTTGATGTTATCGTTTGTCATTTTTTACGAAGAAATATTCTCTTTCCGTGTTGTTTTTTTTTCACATTCGTACGCGTAACGACGGCGGCGACAAGTTGGATGATGATCCATAAAAAACTGAAGAGAAAAGAAGATATGAATGAAGATTTTGTTGAAAAATTTTGTTGAAATTTTTTTTTTTATTATTCATATGATTATTCACTTTTAAAGGATTCATTATCGTAATCGTTTCACAAAAAAAAATATAAACGTTTTCTCACACTAAATCATCATCATCATTATCACCATTTTTTTTGATGATAATCCATTTGATGATAATAACGAAAGATCATTTTCGAACAAAATAATTCGAACAACATCGAAAAAAAAACAACAACAGCAACAATCGATTGTATCGAAATATCGAAAAAATTGTTTCATTCGATTTTCGAAAAGAGAATTTCAGTCAAGAATAGATCAGCAACACATCAACGATATCGTCCATCAAATAACATCATCAAATCGTTAATAATGTAATGATGACATCGAATTAATTAGTTGATAACAACATGCATCCTTTTTTTCAGTGAATCTGTTGTTGAATTGAAATATTCCCAACAAAAAAAACGGATATTGTTGATCAATCAATCAATCAATCAGAAACATCATTATCATTCGTTCGTCGATTGAATGAACAATACTTTGATGATCAACATGACCAACGAATGTGAATTTTGAATGTTTTTGTTTTGTTGTTGTGTTGTGTTTTTATCATCATCAACTGAATTGTATGAAAATCCAAATTGATGAAGAAAAAAAGAATGAAAAAAAATATAATCGTTTTTAGCATGAAAACTTTGAAAAGGTAAATTAACCGGCTCAGCTACTGTTATGAAAACAACAAAAATCTGTTTTTTTTCTACCTTGAATTTTTTTCCTACAAATCCAAATTGTAAAAATTCAATTTAAATTTTTGTTGTTGTTATTGTTGTTGTTCATCATCATCATCATCAACATTTTTTTTCTTTGAATGTTTCTAAATTTACATCCATCATCATCATCAATTTCTTTTTTTTTTGAAAAAAATTTGATGGTTTTTTACATCGCTGGTCTGTTTTCAGTTGTCCAAAAGTTTTATTTTGCTCAACAACAAAAAAAATAATGTTCAAAAAAGCATCATCAATGATTTTTATTGAACAATAACAAACATACAACAAGAACAAAATCTCATTTCATGCTTTAAATGCAACAAATTATTATTTGAAACAACAAACGAACAACCATCAAAATCGACACAAAATGACAAGGCAATTGTATGATTTTTTACCATCGTCATCATCGAATGAAATCAAGAAAAAACATTAATTCTGCTGTGTGTGTGTCGTTTATGTTTTAAACCATCACCATCATATTCTCAAGCAGATTACCTAATAATCTAGAATCGAATAATCGAATTATGTTTTTATGTTTTATGTTTTTATTTTTCGCTCACACTTGCTCAATGATCGAACATATTGATTTCCGTATGATTTTATCACCAGAAAACAATATTATCATCAGTTTTTTGTTGTTGTTGTTATAAATGTTGAAATTCTTATAAATAATGACACCGAAACCATCGACAATTCCGGCCATTCATCATCAACAACAACAACAAGAAAATTCATCAACAACAACAGTAATAACAACAAATAAAATGATTAAACGACAACCATTATCATCATTTGGTGATCATTATCGTATTGGTGAAGAGATTGGCAGGTAACGAAAACAAAAAATCTGATCTTCTTTATTTTATTAATTTTTTCCCACCATTTTTTCAAAAAAAATCCTTTTTTCAATCGAAATTCCGTCAGCTTTTAATTTAGAAAAAAAAAAATTGTTCCTGAAACAATAACCAACATAGATGATGATAAATACAAATATAGAAAATATGAAAAAAAGAATGAAATTGTGATAATTGTTTAATGATTAGAATTTTTCAAATTTTTTTCCCTTGTTTTTTAGATTTTGATGTTTATTTCAGTTTTTTTGGTTGACGTTGTTGTTGTTTCAAGATAATTCACTGATTATGATGACATCTTACATTTCAAAGAAAACATACACACCTGCAATTATGACTTGTGACCAATTATGAAATCTGTGTAATGAATGAAATGAAAAAAAAAATGAAATGTATGTCATAAAGTCACGAATACAGGATGTAATTAACATTTTTCTTTTGATCATCTTCTTCATCATCATTTATCCATGGTGGACAATTACATCGAATAATTATGATGATGATTATGATAAAACTTTTTTTTTGGGTATTAGTTGCTTCCGTTGGTTGATATGATTGTGACATAAAATGATGGGATGATCTTCTTTTTAGAATTTTAGATCAGTTTTTCCATTTCTTTCTATCTTCCCTTTATCTTTTATTATGTGAAAGAAAATTTGGGTTTTAATTAGATCAAATTTGTTTTTGTTTTCTAGTGGAAAATTTGCCATCGTTAAACGCTGTGTACGAATCATCGATAATGAAGAATTAGCTGCCAAATTTATACGTAAAAGTCGTTTTGGTCGTATGGGACAAAAATTAGAAGATATTGAATTAGAAATTGCCATACTTTCAGATCTAAATCATACGAATATTATCAAATTAATCGATGTTTTTGAAGATAATCATCAGGTTGTTTTGATATTTGAATTGTAAGTTTTTATCATTTTTTTATCATTATTCAAAAAATTTAAAAAAATTTATTCATTTCATAGAATGAAAGGTGGTGAACTACAAGATTATATTGCCGAAAATGAATATCTATCCGAACAAGAAACTATATTTTTATTGAAACAAATTCTTGATGCATTAGCATATATGCATGAAAAATCTATTGTACATTTAGATCTGAAACCGGAAAATATTTTACTTGATAATTTGGATAATCGTTGTTTGAAAATAATTGATTTTGGTATCTCAAGACGATATGATGCAAAAGCTAATATTAAAGGAATTTATGGAACACCAGAATTTATTGGTAAGTGTTTTATTTGATTTCTTTTTAATTTGATCCAATAATTATTTGTTTCAGCACCAGAAATTCTTAATTATGAACCAATCGGTTTTGGTACTGATCTCTGGGCTATCGGTTGTATTGCCTACAATATGTAAGTTGCATGTGAATTTTCTTTTTAATAGCAATTGATTTTTAACCGGATTTTATCATTCAAATTAATCAGGCTATTTGGGATATCACCATTCTATGAAGAAGAAAAACAAGATACCTATACAAGAATTACTAAACTTGATTATGATATTGACTGTGATTCAACCAATCAGATTAGTGATGATGCAAGAGATTTTATACAACGTTTACTTGTCAAAGATATTCGGTTTGTTTTTGTGAATTTTTTTATTATTTACTGATAATGATTTTTTTTAAATATTCGATAGAAAACGAATGTCAGCCAGACAATGCCTTGAACATCGATGGTTATGTTCAAATGAATTATCATTGTCATCTTCATCATCGATTATAATCAAACAGCAATCAACAAACGATACTTGTGATATTAATAATTTTAAGAATTACAATGATAATACAACGAATGGTAAAAGAATTCGTAATGAAAATGTTCGACGTCGATGGAAGGTATGACAGAAAAAAAACTTGTTGATTTTTGATGATTTAAAACAATTTCTTCTTTCCCCCTTTTATAGACATCAATCTATCTAATAATTTTATATAATCGTCATTTAAAACGAAAATTAACATCTTTAATATTAACACAAAATAATCGTAATGGTAAAAAATTTATACATCGTCGTTATCATAATCATCATAATGGACAATTTAAATCCAAACATGGTAGTGGCGGAAGTGCAGCCATATCTTATTATTCATCATCAACATTATCATCACCAGCAACAACAATGACGAGATCATCATCAAGATCTTCATTATCATTGATGATGAATGATAAACGATCTAAATATATTCATCATCAACATCAAACTAATCATCAACATTCAAATTCATCATCACAATCATCGACAACAGATGGCGGCATATTTGATAACGATGTAAGTTATTTTTTTCAAATTTTGTAACTTGGCGCGTTCAATCATTGAACATTTCTCATGCATGCGTGTGTGTTTTTTCAATTATCAGTATCGTGCGAAAAACATTTAACAATCAATTAATTTAACTATATGAAATCTGATTATTGCATTTTCAAGAATTTCAACAAATCAATTATCAAATCGATATAATTATCGTTCGTTTGATGATTGGTTTGTTTTTTTTTGACTTTTTTCTTTTCTGTATTTTTATTTGACAAACAAAATTGGCTGACAGAAAGAAAAAATTATTAATATTTTTAGCAGATTTGTTTTACAAAAAAAAAATCAAAAATAAATATTTTTTTAACAACAAAGAAATCTAGATCTAGATAATAATAATCCGGATATATAAATAATGTAAGTCAATGAATAGGGGAAAGATTTTTATTATTTATTATTCACAAGCCTCATTTGGATGCGGATATTATTATTATTTTTTTCTTGTCCATTTTCATTTCGGATATATCCATCTTCATCATCTTCATCATCAGTGATGATGAAGATAAAGTTTCATAATCATCGTTTTAAATTGATGTTATGTCCGATTTTTTGTTTTTCAAATCATTTCTCAAATATTCCCACACAACCATACCCCTTCTGTACTAAATAAATGGAAAAATGAAAAAATGAAAAAATGAAAGTGAAAATCGAAAGTGTTTCTCATTATGAATCAAAAATCAATCATTCGATCATTATTGAAATATAATTACCGTTTTTTTTCTCACTTGGATTTATTTTTAATTTTCAACTCGGTTTGATTTATATGTATGATGTAATTACAAAATTGATGACTATCATAATGATCATGATTGTGGTTGTGATGGTGGTGAAAGTGAAGGTGGGAATAAATAAATGTGGCTTACCATAAATAATCATTAATATATCAAGAAAATTAATTTTAAATCGCTAAATAATCGTTATTCAATTCGATACACACATCACCCACACACACACATAGTTGATTTCCAATTGGATCAACACAATATCGGTGATGACGTGATGAGATGATTTTCTTTTTCTTCTTCGTTTTCTCCTTTGATCATCATCATTTTTTACCTTCTTGAATCCAGATAAACATTTTCCGGTTTTCTTTTCTATTACTTTCAATTGGCCTTAATTGTATAATGAATGGTTTAATGAGAAATATGGTTATTTTTCTTTCATTTTAGTGTGTGTTTGTGAAAATGTTTTGTACGTGCCAATATTAATTTACTTTATGTAATTCTGTCTCTTATTCATTGATAAAAATAAAAATACCATGACTGGTTTAGAAAAAATCAATCTCATAATCATCATAATCACGTAGCCAACAATAAAGCACATAAGATTTGCATATGAACTATTTCTAATTATATGTCTTTGAAAAATCTTATCCAAATTTAAACGGTAAATTTATAGAAATAGCAAGAGAGAAAGACCAAATGAACGATTAAATAATGTAATGATTTTGTTGTTGTTGTTATTTACCGTTTATAAATATTTTCTCTTTTTTTTGCAAAGAAAACAATGTTTTTCGGTTTGCACTTGTTATATTTTATTTAACGTTATTTATTCAAATGAGTAGAATCTTTTTATTCATGTTGAAGAAGATAATAATTATAATAATTTACAATATTTTATTTTATTTTTCCTTTCTGATTCAATTTTAAGGTTTGTTTGCAAAAAAAAATATTGTTGTTTCAGAAAAAAAGAGTTTTTACTGATAGTCGATTTTGTTTCATTTTCTTTCACAAAATCAAATATGCAAAACGAAAAATGTCCGATTTGGTTGACCAAATGAATAATGATGATATTAAACAAAAAATCTATCTGTTTATTTTTTTCTCAATCCATTCCTGTTGTTGTTGTTGTTGTTGTGTGTCACACGTGTGCTGATTTTGACAATTTTTGTTTTGGAAAAAAGAAAGAAAAAACAAACACAGGTAGCCATAATTACATTGGTCAAGTATTTAGTTGTCCTTAATTCTTCTCTTCTTTCTTTTTTTCTATTTCACAATCAACAATCATTATATCTTAACTGATGAGAATCATTATTTTTTTCTCAAAAATTGTGTGAATTTCTTCATTTTCCTTTCTTTTATTTACCAAAAAAAAATTATATGGTCAACAATAAAAAACAGATGCTTATTGGTCTCATCAATGATGATGATTGAGTGGAACAATAAACAAAAAAAAGTACAGGGGGAAAAAATACCATAAAGCTTGTCGGTTTTTTTGATCGTGATATTTTTTTTCAAACATCTTCTTTCTGACCAAATCAACGATTCATTTCAAAGTGAGAAAAAGAAATATAACATGAAAAAAATACATTTTTTTTCAATATATTTCATTTCTACTGTATTAACAGGTAACATCAGGTAACTTGACAACAATAACATCATCAAGCAACAACAAGTGTTGATTGTCAATATAAAAAAATCGTGCCGTTGTTGTGATGCTTTGCTGTTGCCGATGAATTTCTTTTTTGTTCAAATAATAATCGACAACAACAACAACAGCCGCAAACAAATCAGAGAAAAAAATTTGGATTTTCGAAAAATATCCATGTTTATCTTTCTCTTTCATTCATTCAAAAACTTGAAATTCTACATTTTCACATTTAAATCTTTTGCTACTATCCATTTTGTTTTTTTTGCTGTTGGCAATTTCATTTTCATATAGATGTTTTTTCTCATTTGTTGCTGCTGTTCAAATTGATTCAAATCAATCTCTTTCTTTCTCTCTGTCTTTGAAGTTTCATTCATTTACTTTCGATAAGAAAATTATCTACTTTATTCCAAGTGTGTGAATGCCATTGATGATGATGATGAAATGAATACACAACATGTTTTTTTATTGTGAATTTCTTATTTGGAAAGAGAAGAAATGTAAAGAGAAAAGAAATTTTTGAATGGAATGGATTGAATGAAATGAAATGAAGCCAGTTTAATATCAATGTAAAATGTATGTGTTTTGTTTTTCAAAGTTTTTTCTTTTGGATAAAAAAGAAAATGAGATCAACAAGTGTGTGTGTGTGCTAAAGAAGTGTTGAAGTTTGACTTTGTTGTTATTTATTCAATCCATAAGAAATGAGAAAGATAGCAGCAAAGTTTCTCTCTTTTTTTTTGGTTTTGAAAAATGTTTTTTTTTCATTTTTTGAATTTGTCTCCATTGTGGGATCTTCATTTTGTTTCGTGAAGAACAACAACAATGATGATTGATGTTGATCAAGATTTTTTTTTTGTTGGATTGAAATGGATCGCTAGAGATTTGTTATGATGTGAAAAAAATGGATTTTTAATCCACTACATTTTTTTTGCCATGTTAATGAATTTTTTGTTGTTTTGTTTCGTTTCGTTTTCGGTAACCTTTATTTTCATTTTCGTCCACTAAATGAGAAAAACAAAATGTTAATTTTCTCCATCAATTTACAAAATTTGTTCATTCGAGAAGCTTTATAGTTATGAAAAAAATCCACATTTGCCAACATAGTAATTGTTTGACAACCATTCGAATAAATCATGTGAACAAAAAATCATATGAAATAATAATGATGACAAATTTGTTAAACAACAACAACAACAACAACATGTTGTAATCGCATCAAAAGTGTTTTTCATTATTTATTGCAAATCAATTTGTTGTTGTCTGTGATTGAAATCATTTATCAGAAATATCGATTATCAATTAGGAGTGTAATACAATAACAACAACAACAACAAACAAATGTTTATTATCAAAATCGATAATTGATTTTTGCTCGATATCAAAAATCCCTTGTATTTTGTTTTGATATAAAATTCCATTAAACAACAACAACAGAAAAAATTCATTACTTGTCGCCCAACAACAATGTGTTGATGACAATGATTTAATCGGTTGACCTCGAAATCTCAATTTTTTTTCTTCTTCTTTTGTTGTTGTAATTCTTTGTGTCATTTATCCGGTCATCAACAGTTTGCCATATATATTTTTTTTTCGTTTGTTTCTTTTCTCACCACCACCACCACCACCGATAACATTTTCGAAAATTTTTCTCCCAAAAAAAAATAACATTATCAAATGTTGTCATGATTTTTATCAATTAGGTTATATGTGTGATAATCCTTTTTTTCCAGTTCTGTTATTGGGATTACAATTTTCGTTTCTATTTGATTTTTTTTTTTAATTTTGTAATCAACAATTTTGTTTGTTTTTGTTTGGTTGATGTGTGTAATATCACCAAATAGTGATTTGAAAATTTTTTTTTCTTTGATTTTCTACCGACAATGTAATGAGATTGAGATTTTTCCTCATTGACGAAATCGAAAAAACCAAGAAAAAAAATGTCAATTAAAATGAAATTATTTATCACTTAAAAGTGAATTTTTTCTTCTTCTTCATTAAAATTTTAATTAAATTCAATTTAAACGATGTCATCATCATCATCATCTACATCACCATATCGCCATTATAATTCATCTAATGGTGATCCTAATGATGATGATGATCTTCATCAACTACCTCCACCACCATCATCTTTTATGGAACCAATGATGATGATGCAACATCATCCTGCAATGATGATACCGAATGATTTTCATTATCATCATCATCATCAACAACAACAACAACAAACAAATTTTGATCCATTAATGATGATTATGTTGGCTAATAATAATAATAATAATAAAATGAATCAATATTATCAACAAAATGATGAATCAACAATATATATTGATGATGATAATGAAAACGATGATGTTGTTGGCGAACAAGATGTTTATTATATTGAATCAAATCATCAATATGATAATTCAAATAAACGATCATCATCCAAAATGAAGAAGAAAAAATCACAACATACAAGAAAAGATAATAACATTATTAATGTTAATGATAATAATGGCTATATTGTTGATGATAATAATCAATATTATTCACAGAATCAATATGTTGATGATAATAATGATGATTATTATGGTGATGAACAGCAACAATTTACCGTTGTTTCAGCATTGGTGAGTTAAAAATTCGAATAGCGAATGATATTCAACATTCGAAAAAACATCAGATAGAGTTGGTTCATGAATTTTTGGTTAACCCAGTTTGTTGTTGTTGTTGTCCCAATACGGACGATCCTTGATTTTGTTTTTGGCATTGAATTGAATTCAATCAATACTTTTCGCAATTGAAATGATGTGAAATTGAACATTTTTACTAAAAATTGACTTTTGAAAATCAAAAAAAGAAAAAAATGTTAACACCTTACCTATCGACAATCTAATATTTTCAATTCCCATCACTATAATCTAATCTGATTTAATTTAACAACAACCAAATGAAAAAATAATATGACCTAAAAACACATCTCGATAATTCATAGGATTCATATTTTCTCTCTCCCCCCGATTATCTCAAGTAAAATCTTGACAAGTTTTTCTTTGCTTTTTGCTTTTCGGTTGGTTTGTTTCCATCAAAAAAAAAACTTTCTTCCCCAAAAAAAATGATTATTTTTTCTTTGCAATTCTTATCATTAAGAAAAAACGTTTTTTCCCATTGTCAAATATCTTATTCGCATTTTGAAAATTCTCTTGGTTGTTGTTGAATTTACAATTCAAAATAGCAACAGAAAAAAAAACATTTACAACGAAAATTTCCAAGGATAAACATTATCAATGACACATGTTTGTCATCATTCGTCATTGCTTCATGATTCTTTGATGATTGAATAGAAATATTCATCAATTTTTCATGTCCAAATTTCTTTTCTTTTGTTTCATATTTTTGCAATGATTTTATTTGCTCATTTATTTCTCCGTTAGTTTTTTTCCTCTGTGTGTGTGTGTTTGATCAGATTCAAGGATGAAAATGACATGAACATTTTTTTTGCGAATCTCTTAGTAAATCGGATTCAATTTCGATGAATTTATTATTCATCATTATTATCATTTTTCTTTACTTTGTTTCATTTGCATAATAAATAAGAAAATGACAATGATGATGATTAATGATAAGTAATTTGATAAGATATTTAAAATAGAAAAATAACAGGGTTTTTTCATCAATAAATCAAATCATAATTAATTGAAAAACATTATTATTATTATGATTACCTACCGGTAATACCTTTTTTTTCGTCTATATTTCGCCTATTTTTCCTGAAATTTTTACCTTTTTTTTTATCTATAGAAAAGAAATAATGATCTTTTTTTTCTGCCATTCAATTGTCACACACAAACACACACGCACAAACATCCACCTACGCATCAAAACTATAGTTGATTGTTGATACTTGATTGAATTTCCAGAAATTTGTTAAAATCCATTTTATCCATTGAAAATGATGCTATTATAATGATGATGTGGATGAATGATACAAGTGTGATATATCCAAAAAAAAAAAAAACATTCAAATCCACAATTTTTCCTCTTATTCTCAATTTTACCGTATCTCTTTTGTCAGGTAACGAGAAAAAATATTACTTTTTTTCCTCTTCTTATCATCCTCACAATTTTTTTTTATTTCGAGGAAAATATCATCATCATTGTGGTGATGGATAAATAAACCACCACCACCACCACAACAACAACAACAATAGTACAACAAATTTGTAAAAATATTATTTTTTTTCGTTTTCAATCCATAAATTCAATGAAATGTATACAATTTTTTATCCATGAAATCTTTTGACTCTCTTTTTTTTGTCATTTCCTGGATGTAGAAAACGTTTTTCTGACAATTTATTTTCTTTCCTCCCCCATATCTCAAAAAAAATTGCCCCCTTCATTTTCATTTACGTTACGGTTCGATTATTTGTGCGTTTGTAACGAAAAAAAAATGCTTGAATGATGATGATGATGATGTTATGCAATGAGACAATGACGATATTATTTTGCTTGAAAAAAAAATATAAATTTCATTCAAAACAAATGACAAAAACAGAAAAAGAAAACAGAATGTTTAATCAAAATAGAGAAAGAAAGAAAACCGACCATGTTTGTTGTTGTTGTTGTTATTATCATTTGTTTTGAATGAAAAAAACCGGAAAATCATTTTGATAATTTTTTTTTTGTTTTGTTTGCCGAAAAAAATTTCCAATTGAACTGTGATATTTTTTTTCTTCTTACAAGTTTTGTAATTTTATTTCATTTCATTTTTTTTGATCTTAAAAGAAATTGACGTTGACCTTTTTTTTTTGCTGCTTGCTTTCGAATATTTATCCTCTTAATCCGTTTTTGGTCTTTTTTCAATGAAAATTAATTAACTTTTTTTTTTGCTTGTTTCATGCAATTTCAAATTTGTTTCAATGATATATTTTTATTAATTAATTTTTAATCAATTTTTTTTTGTTTTGTTTGTTTCATTCGATTAGAATGATGAAAATTTTATATTGGCCGCCTTATTTGGTGCTATTGAAGAAGGAAATCTACATTCCATACAGGAATTATTTCAAACAGCATCCAACATTGATCCGAATCAATGTAACAAGGTTTGTTTGTTTTGTTTTTTTTATTGAATATTAAATTATTAGAAAAAAAACACCTACACATTGTATTCAAAAAAAAGTCACAAAAATAAATTGTTTTTTGAGAGAGTGAGAAAAACACATCTACATCTCTACCCTGAGAATAGAATAATAATTCTACCTACGTTTACAAAACTAATAATGTGATTATCATCCGATTAGCCTTGTTGTTGTTGTTGTTGTTTTTATTTTTACTATGATCCAAGAATAACTTTCTAACCGTTTTTTGTTTCAACCGGTATCACAAACTATCGAAGCATAGAAATATAGTTCAAAATATAGTCGAATTTTTTTCTAACGATAATGAAATCAAATGAAAATGACCTATCCAAATGTTTTATTTTATTTTTCAACTTTTATTATTATTATTATTGGGGTGCAATCTAGTCGACAGTGTAGAGCAGCAATGCAGTAGTTATTACATTCACATAAATATCAATCATTATTCCAATTGATCATTGCAAAAGGCGAAATGTTTAAATAATGATGAAAATTAACCTTTTTATTTTCTATTTTCAGATTGATGATAATTAGACATTTTCATAATGATAATGATGATGACAATTTTTGTTTCGTTTGTTTTTTTACATTCAAATTTTCAGGAGGGAAAAGAAACAAAGATTTTTTTGTTTTGTTTTAAATTCTTTTTGCAAATCAATGAATAATTTATGTTTTCTAAAATGATCATTGATAATGATGAGTAAACCACTGGCTACCATCATTATGTAGAAAGAGAAAGATAGAAAAAAAAGGTCACCGATATTTTTTCCTTAATTATGTTGACCTTTTTTTTGTGTGTTTGTACTCTTTCCTGATCACTTTTCCTTGAATTGTATAGGTATTTGTCGTTCGTTTGTTTGTTTGTTTGCTGCTGCATTATTATTGGTTATGAATCTATGTTTCGAAACAAACAAATAAATAAATATATTATTTTCCTTCTTCAATTATCATAATATTTTTTTTTCACTTTGCTTTGAAATAATCAAAATGTAAAAAAAAATAATTTCCCCTCGCTTATAACCCGTAATTCGTTAATCGATTTATGCCCTATAACCATATGAAAACAACAACCACAGATATTGATAATCCATTAGAAAAAAATCCTTTCTGAATAGATTAAACTAATCCTTTTTTTTCATTTGATTTTCATGGAATAAATAGCATGGTGAATCATTATTACATTATTGTGCTGGACTTGGACAATTAGAAATATTTAAATTTCTTTGTAAAATTGGTGCCAATATTGATGCTGTTGATGATGTAAGTATACGATAATATGATAAGTTTTGGAATCATTGAACCTTTGACAAACAAATCAATCTATTTACTTCTGCAAGAAAAATAAACTTTCACATGAACGAAAATACAGGAGGAATGAAGAAAAAAAATGTTAATTTTTTCATTGCCCAGGCATCATCATTATCGTTTATGAAATCAAAAAAAAAACGGTAAACGATAATCAAAATGATGTCGATGATGATTCAATCATTTGCCTAAGGTAGAATTGATGATGATGATGATGTGATTTTGTCCAAGAAACAAAATCGTCATAGAGATTGATGTATTCGAGTAGTAAATGATGATAGTTTTTCTTTACTCCCAGATGACTACTATGTAGATTATCATAAAAACATCATTTCTTTTTTCCCCTTTTTTCATATTTTTATGTGTTTTATTTTCTGATTTTTGATTTCGATTTCTATTTTTTACCACACACACACACATCGAATTATCCTAGCAAGAAGATACGGTTGTACATTGGGCAGCTAGACAAAATCATTCAAATATTATCCGATTTGTTTTTGAACAAACGGCTTCAATTGAAATTTTGAATAAGGTATGTTATTTTTTTTAAATTATCAATTTGTCAAAAATAATGTCCCCATACTTTTTCTATTAATAATGCATTTCTCTGGTGCATTGATCTTTTTTTTGGAAAAATTGATAATTTTTATCATTTTAAACATTTTAAATCGGTCAATCAATTTTTTTTTGGGTTTCTAAACATAGAATAATGAAACACCATTACATGTTGCTGCACGTTATGGTCATGTTGAAGCCGTTGAACAACTATGTAAATGTGGTGCCAATATCAATGCCATTGATGAGGTTTGTTAACTTTTTTCTTGTATTTCCATTGCATAATATACATTTTGATCTGATGATGATTGATGAATCATATGCACGAAACATCATCTTCTTTTGAAAAAACATTAAACAATAACAATAGAGATTGGTGAATCCTTTTAAGCTTTCTTTTCAATCGATGATGATGATGATCCATATATATTATTATAATTTTAAAAAGATCATTTCAATTTATTCATTCAATTTTTATGATTTTTGTTCTTAATTTTTCTTTTGTTCTTAATTTTCTTGTTTCTATTTAAATGAATGAATGAATGAATTTTTAGCATGGAGAAACGGCCATTTTGATTGCCGTTTGGCATGGTTTTCCTAAAATTGTTCATATTCTTGGTGAAATTGGTGCCGATACAAATATAATGAATAAGGTAATTTGTTTGATAATATTTTTAAATCTAAAATAACAATATTAATCATAATATGAAGAAAAAAAGTCTGCTGTTTAGCATAGATTTAGTTTGTTAAAATAGAAAAAAATCAATGCTAATTGTGTTGTATAATAACCGGTTGAATTTTTCATTCAACCGATATTATTTTCTGTTTTTGTTGTTATCGGTTATTATTCAGGAAAAGAAAGGGCATCCAGTTTTGTAAATGTTATATATTTTTTTAAAAAAGGGGAAATTTTCTTTTTTTTTTCGACTGTTGATTGTATTTTTTTGTACCAATTTTGAATATAGAAATTGATATTTAAATTTGAATTTTTTTTTCTATAAAATTTTTTTTAGGAAGAAGAATCCGCCCTACATGTTGCTTCAGCTCGTGGACATTATGAATGTGTACGATGTTTGTTGGATGCCGGTGCCAACGCAAATCTTCGTAACAAGGTAATTGATGATTGTTGTTTTTTTTTCAAATGATGAATCCAAAACAACTGATGTCGATAGAAAATTTTCAATTCCAACGCCTAGTTTAATCATCAATTTTTTTTTAATTTTGTTTGGTTGAGCTTGATGATTGACATTTTTTTTTGAATTTTGTAGGCGACAACTATTTTTAATTTAGTCAAAAAAAAAAATTTATTTGTGGGTCGTCGTCGTGATGGCAGTTTTTTCTTTTGAATTTCATTAAATTTTTTTAATTTATTTTTCTTTTGTTTTTTGTTTTTTTTATTCAAATCAGAATTCTTATACACCATTACATTTGGCCTTAAAACGTCAACATCAAATGGTAGCCATGTTATTATTAAAAGCTGGTGCTGATTATGAATTACCTGATGATAATGGTGAACGTGCTATTCATTATGCTGCTCGTTATAATCTTGTATCGATTGGACAATGGTTATGCCAAATGAATCGTTGCCAGGTTAATGTGCCAAATAAACATGGCCTTTATCCATTACATATTGCAGCTAAAAGTGGTCATATTGAAATTGTTCGAACATTATGTTTAGCTGGTAGTGTTGTTGATCAAAAAGATAAAGATTCAATTATACCACAGATATGTGCCATTGCTCAAAGTCATAATGATATTGCCGATCTATTGACACGTTTACGTAATGAACGACAAAAAGAAGAATTTATAACACAATTGATGCCCATCCCAACAAATCAACCATTACCAAGAATTAAATTAAAAATTTTTGGTCATTCAGGTTCGGGTAAATCAACATTAATTGAATCGTTAAAATGTGGCTATTTTAGTAGCTGGTTTCGTCGTTCAAAAGGTCTCAATAGTACTGTTTCATTGATGAAATTGAATAATATAAATACAACAACAATGAATGGTCAGTCACAACTACAACAACAACAACCAAATCGGCCGGCTATTGAACCACATCATCAGCAACAAAAACAACAAAAGAATGTATCCATAACGAATGGTTGTGAATTGGGCCGATCAAATCTTTCAATCATGAGCAATGGATCAATGACCAGTCGTGATCATTCATTCATGAACAATAACAATGTGCCAATGATGATAGGGCAACACCAACAACAACAACAGTCAAATAATGGAATGATGACAAAAATGATGAATCGAACGGCAAATATCAATCATCATCATCAACAACAACAACATTATTATTCGCAGCCAAATTATCAACAAACACAAACAAAAGGAATCGATTGCCAACAAATGTATATATCGGGTGTTGGCGATTTAAGTGTATGGGAATTTAGTGGCCATCCTGCTTATCATCAAATATATGATCATTTTTTAGGTGATGTACATTGTTTAAATGCAATCGTATTTCGTCTTTGTGATTCGATCGAAATACAACTTGATCATATTTTTTTCTGGTTGCATTTTATACAAAGTCGTATGCCAATAATTGAACCATTGTTATATTGTGGTAAAAGTCAACACTATGCTAAAATCATATTGATAGCCACCCACGCTGATCTGGCGCAACAAACATTTTCTGCCGATGAAATTGAACAAAATTTACAACAGATTATGATGAAAGTAATGGCAAAATTTAAACATGTATTCGAAATTTATGGCAATATATTTATGATGGATGCTAGTGTTGCTGGTTCAGTTGGTATGAAACAATTGAAACAGTATTTAAATCATGCCAAATTAACGATCGTACAAGAATTGCCTCATACTACCGGTTTTCTTGATTCGGTTCTTACATTTTTAAATCTTTATCGAAAAGTTTCGCCAAATTTTCCTGTATTAAGTTATGATCAATTTAAAAATATGATAAGATCACAAATCAATCCATTATCTTCGGATGATCATTTCAAAGAACTAGTCCAACAATTAGAAATTATGGGTGAAATTGTTTTCCTTAAATCGACCAATACTACTAATTATGATTTATTGGTACTCAATCCTAAATGGTTAAACTGTGATATTGTCGGTACATTATTATTGATGAAAGATGATCCCAACTATATGATTAATTTAAATAAAACACAAATAATGGGAATATATTCGATTGATGAATTTCAAGAACGATTCGATGATGTTGATGCATTAGATTTATTACAATTACTTGAATTACTTGCTGTTTGTATACCGAATGATCATTCTGGTGATATTGAATATGAATTTCCATGTTTTATACTTGGTGGTGATTGGGAAGAAATATTAGATCGTTTCCAATATCGTGATAATTGTGTATATCATGGAATTGTTTTCCATTTGGAACAATCATTATTATCATTATCACCATCATTTGGTTGTATACTTACCAGTGTCTTTCCACGAATACAAGCAAATTTTCGTTCCGAACTACGAAAACATCCAACATATAATGTATATGATCTTCATAATTGTTTTAAATTCAGTCATTTTACAATCGAAGAAAGTAATATTATGTTTATCATTTCATTGAATACATCAACACAATCGATTGAAATAAGATTTTCTGGTCCATATGATAAACGTCGTGAATGTTTTTTCTTTATGCAAGAAATGGTTCAGATAATTGAACAAACTATTAATCAATGTGCACCTGGTTTGAATGTTGCCAAATCATATATGTCACCTGTACAAATTAAAGATCAACGTGAAAATCTAAGCTATTATTCATCTAGTTCATTAATGAAATCATTATTAATGAGTTCAAATAATAAAAGCACAACAAGTTTATTGAAGAAAAAAATTCAAAGTGATGATGGTGAAATTGAAGAACGAATTGGTGATATTCTTTGTTTTGGTATCTGTGATTTAACCGAAATTAATGTAACAAGTGGTGAACCAACATTAGCAAATGAACTTCATTCATCAAATCTATCATTATTAACAAAACAAAAATTATGTTCATTATTAGATCCACCTGAATCGATTGGTCGTGATTGGTGTATGTTTGGCATATTACTTGGTATGACGGATAAATTACCTAAATTAGATCCAGGAACAAATGCTCAATCAAGTCCAACTGCACGTGTTATTGAAGAATGTGTACGTAATGTAAATTGTACAATCAAAATGCTTGTTGAAAAATTATCCGAATTAAATCGTTTTGATTGTGTGGATGTAATATTACAAACTGGTCCATTATTACGAATGTTTCCATTGACATCATTACCGGAAGATGGAATTATTTATAATGATGAATCATCACATACAAGTTTAGGTGTTAGTACATTATCACATACATCTAGTTCAAATCTATCACGTTGACATCAATCAAACAAGCTATCATCAACATCACTGACACAGTCACACGTTAATACGAATAATTTATCATCAAAGTAGAAAAGAAAAATCAGAGCAATCCGAAATGAGACAAACATTTGACATAAGAAAATGTGCCAAAATTTAAAAAAAAGTCGACCACAAAAAACCAATTCATTTTATCATTCACTAATTTTTACATTCGTATTTTAACATTCTACAATAATAATAATGAAAATAAACCATTTTAATTAGGTAATGTGATAATGGTGATTGTCTTCTTCTTCTTCTTGATTTACGACAACTCATCTGTTTTTTAATTATCGTCTTTATAACCACAAAAACAACAAATATCATCATCATCATCATCTATGTAAATTCTCATAAATAAACAACAAACAATGTTTGCTTTGGTAAACTTTGTTTTAAGTTTACAATGAAAACACAAAAAAAAATTTTCAATGTGATTATAACAAATAAAATTAAAGACAATTATCTTTAATTGTGGTGTTTGTTCGACAACAGGTGGATGGATGTTTTTTTAGATTCTCGTATTTTTTGTATATTTTTAATATTATGATTTTTTAAAAAATAAAATCTTTTGCCATTTTTTTAAATAAAAAAGAAAAATCTATCTTCACCAACACAGACACCGAATAATGTTATACAAATTTTTGGATAAAAATAGCAAATGATAATGATCAATAAATAAAAATTTTTTAAAAAATGAAATTTTACATCTTATAAGTTAATTCAACATTGTTTTCTTTTTTTTCGGATAGCTTGTAGGTGGATATCAACATCGAACAAGATGGAAAATGGTTGTGATGAATATTTATGAATGAATGTTGTTCATAATTTACATTCATAATTGGAAATAACATTTGCCATCATCATGATCATCATAGTTTGATCATTCGGGATGATTTTTTTGAGCAATAATATTTTCAAATTGATTTTGTTTTTCTTGATCATCGACATTATCTTTTAGCGTTTGTTCAATTTGTTCATCATTATTTTTTTCATTTTGATTGCCGCTGCTAGTTTCATCAGTTTTGTCAGCTACAATATCATCATAATCAATATCATCAACATCTTCCATAAAATCATTATCCACATGGTGGTCTTGGTTTGATTTTGTTGTTGATCGGTTGATTGTTCTATCATTATTATCATTATCATTTTTATTGTTAGAAATATTGCTTTTCATTTCTTCAATATGATCTCGAAACAATAAGTCAAAATTTCTGGCGGCTTGATCACCATCACCATCATCATTAAGTTTTTGTGTTTTTGGTCGTTGTTGTTGTTGATCATTATCATCATCACCGGAGCCATTGCCATCATTATCTGAATGAATCATTTGATGATCGTCGGCAAAATATAATGATTGATTTGTGCGTATACGATTTAGAAAATTTTTCACCGTTTTTTTATTGCCCAAATGTTCGGCTTTGGTGACAAAATCTTCGAATGTCAATCCAGGAAACAAACGATGTGCCCAATGTTTGGTTTTAAACAATAATAATTTAAGATCCTCAAGTTCATGTCCTTTACCTTTGAATTTTGTCTGGCTAAGAATTTCGGGCAATGCTGCAATACCTCGACGAGAAACAAAATGATCAACTCGAAGTATGTTTCTTGGACGGCGAATAATTCGAGTCTTTGGATTCACAATTGTTGATTTTGATTGTTGATCGTTTGTTGTTGATTCGATATCAGGTTCATCTAAATCATCCATTTTTCTCTTTTTTTTGTCGTATCTGAAAAAAAGCGCGTAAAAAAAATATTGAAAACAAAAGCCGAACACAAAAAAACAAACAAAGATCATTCATAAACACTAGGATGAGATGTTTTTTTAAACAGACAACTTTGGAAATCTACATAAATCAACAGGTTGCTATCGGCATGCCTAAACATCAATCACGTGATTTTGCCAAAATATATCGATTGAAAACCAAATTTTTTTTAAAAATTTGGCGCGTAAACAAAAATATCAATTGAACGGAAATTTTTGATAAACAATCAATTGAATCGATGAATGAAATTAGATCCAATCAAAATAATAAACAACAGTTTATTTCCAATTGAATCCGGTACTAAAAATAATGTTTGATAATTGGATATATCAAATATTTATTGATTCGATTACCTTATCGATAATGATCAAAAGGGGAAAAATATATTATTTTATGATTGATTAATGTTTTGTTTATCAAATGATAATTGATTTGTTCAAAAAGAAGAAATTGAAAATCAAAAAAATGGATTGAATATCGATCATTTAATTCAATTCAATTTCTATCGTGTTTTTTGTTTTTTGTTATTTGCCTTGATCTCAATAATTCGATTATTGTTTGATTTGATTCGATCATCGGGATCAATTTTTCTTTTTGTTGTTCTGATAATTGAATTCTCTCTCTCACTCTCCCACCTACATTCGCCTACATTCTTCCATCAAGCCCAAATCATGTTCATCGAATCATTAATTTTTTTTTTGTTTTGTTCGCCCAATTATTAAACATGATGAAAAAGTTATTGATCTTGGCCACATTTTTTTCGTTCGTTTCGTTCGTTTCATTTAAATCGATGACCTTCAAATAATGGTTATTTTGTTACTATTTTGTTGTTGTTGTTGTTGATCTATACGAAGAAAAAAATTTGAAATTTAAATTGATTATATTGTATATTGTACTAATCATCATCATCATTGTATCATCTTGACACACACACACACACCTGTCTTTCAAACCTTATTATTATTATTATTATCATTTTGTTTGTTAGCAAATCTAATTAATATGGATGGATGGATGGATAAATAATTATCATTGATGATGATGATGTGGATGATTTTTTTTGTTGTTTTGATTGTGAATAACCATGAAGGGTAAATTTCTAGCTAGGTCATCATTGTTGTTTTTGTTTCGCTTGTTGTTGTTGTTGCTAAATAAACTTGAATTCAAGATTTGGAGTTCATTTCACCTAGATCCGGCATCTATTCCATCATTCAATTTAGCCTATCATTCATTATTGAAAACACGAAAGTCAATAGTGTTTTTAAGAAAAATATTAAACAAAAAAAACAAAAAGGTGATGAAAAGATTCGATGTCATCGTTATCATCATCGATGTTAAATGATATAAAATGATGATAATGATGATCAACATCATCATGGTTGATCATATTATATGCATAGACATGTCCAATAATAAAAAAATGAAAAACAAAAGACAAAATCTATGAATGTTCAAACAAACAAACAAAAGCAAAATCCAATTCATCAAATTTCAATATCTAACAAATCGATACATTTTATTCGATCAATGGCCAAATAATGATAATTTGATTACATTCAAATTAATAATTCAATCATTATTGAATCGATTATTAATTTTAATTTTCTTTTACAAATTAATTGAAAAAACTGATGAATATTATTATATTATAAATAACAATCTTCTGTTTTTCAAATTAAAAAAAAAAAACAAACAAATTCTGTAATCGATCTTGTTCATATTTTAGTAACTATTATAGTAAATAAATCAATACTTTTTAAAGATTATCAAAAATTGAAATTATCGCTGTAGTAGTAGTTGTTGTCTGTTGTATCTATTATTATTTGAATATACATCAGATCAACAAGTCATGAAGAATTGTATCATCTACACACACATAGACAAATTGATTGAATTTGAAAAAAATAACAATAACAAATTGGATTTCAATAATGCTCTATCATCATTATCATTGGATTATTTCAATGTTTTTTCTCAATTTATTTTTCTCTTTTTGCTATTGTGTGTGATATACTAATATCCTGATTTATTTTACTGTTTAATAAAAAAAAATGCTTTCTAAATGCTTCGGCACGAATATTTTGAAATTCAAGATTTATCATAGGTCGTTTTGTTGTTCGGTTGTTGTTGTTGACAAACAACATTCCAAACATGAAAAAAACAATCACTTTTTCGAAACAAAAAACAATGATAACGAACATTTGTTTTTGTTTTCTATTATGATGGGGTTGATTCGGGGGGTAGAATAATGGTATGTTGGTTGGTTGATTGCATCAATTGATATACATCTTTAATTACAATTTCGATTCTCGAATATCACAAAAAAAAACATAAAATTAGAACGCTAATAGTATAAAAGAATCAATCTGATCAATCGATCGATCTGATTGATTGATTGATTAAACATCAAAAAATATCGTAAAATAAATGATCTAAATCATTATTATTATGTTATTTCGGAAAATATGTTTTTTGGTTGTTCAAAAGATATGCTTGATTGTTTGTTTGTTTGTTTGTTTGATTGATTTCTCACTCAAAACAATTTCCAAAAATTCTAATCAAATGAATTGAACTGAAACACCGATATCGATATTGATTTTGATTTGAAAGGGCTATCATTTTACATTTTTTTTGATCATATAATAATGATGATTTTTAATGATTGACATTTGCAAAAACATTTTATGTTTCTACGAACAAATCAATCGTTGTTGTTGTTTATCCATGTATTTTTTGCCAAAAAAAAAAAAAAATGTCAAACATAATGTTTGATTATCAAAAAAAAATGATGCGTTTGTTTATTTTTCCAAATTGATGTTTGTACTTTTTTTGATTGCTGTATATTACCATGGACAACAACAACAACAACGATAATGATAAACATTAAATGATAATCAATAATAAACGTAATGATTATTCGGTTTTGTTTTTTGTTTTTTGTTTGTTGAAACAGTAGTAGCTTTGAAAATCATTCATTAATATTTCTCTCTCTCTCTCCATACAATTTCAACCATTTTTTTGGATGATTATTTATTGATATCGGCTGTTCAATTGGCAACAACAAATGGAAATAGAAAACAATAGAAATCTCTAATTGCAGGCAACTTAAAAAAAATGATGATGATGATCATCCATTGCCTGTTTGATGCTTACCACAATACTAATCATTATCGTCAACAACAATAACGACAACAAAATCGTCAACGTCGCCGTAATCAATCATTTGTTTTTTGCACATATATACCAAACACACAAAGAGAATGAGATCGTAATAATCAACTACTACGACAAATCAATGATTCTATGAAGAAAACAAACAAAAAAACATAAAACCGGCAACAAACAAACAAACCCGAACAGAAAGAAATCCAGTCTACAAAATTCAATGAATGAATGAATGAATGAATTGTACACGGTTATAAAACATTCAGATAAGTTTTGTTCATAGTCATCATCATCATTATAAAATTATTTCATTTTTTTTGACTTTCGGTCGTTATATATAAAAACCCGGACAATTTGATTACCGGTGCCGACCAACCAGTGTTTGTGTTTGTGTTTGTGTGTGTGTGTTTGGATTACTTTTTTTTTCAAAAAGAAAAAAAAGAATTTAAAAAAAAATTTCTCATTTTGTCTGTCATCTAGTGTAATATATGTGGATTGGTTAATGTGTTTGTGTGTGTGTGTCTGTCTTTTTTTTTTGGTAATCTCCAGAAATCTAAATAAATAACAAAAACACACACACATCACAAACATATGAAATTTTCTTTTTTTTATTGAAAAAAAATTATTTCAAACTATAAAAACGACCATCATCATTATTGGTATCATATTTATGATTCCGGTTCCTTCGACTTTTTTTTTTTTTGATTGATTGATTTGATTCTAAAAAAAAACCTAAAGTGCCTAAAATTTTGTTGTTGTTGTGATTTTAACAAACGAAAAATCATTATGTCGACAAAAGAACAACAGACCGGTACCGCTAACGGCGGCGGTGGTGGTGGTGGTGAAGAATCTCGTCCATTAATTGTTGGTGGTGGAACAGCATTGAAAAGTAATCTAGCTAAACCACGTTCTGATGATAATCAACCAACATCGGCTCAAACACAACCAAAACAGATTGTATTTCGTACGGCAGCATCAGCACAAGCAGCAGCTGCTAATTCAGAGGTATATTGTTTTTAATCATTGTCCACCGGAAAATTTTTATCCAAAAAAAACCAATCAAATTTTTTCTTTCTTTTTAAATTTTATCATCAATTTTAGAATCGATTTCAAGTGGATAAAGTAAATGATGATGATGATTCAGAAGATTCTGAAGATTCATATGGTGAAGGTCTTTATGGTAGTAGTGGTGCTGGTTATGCAACAAAAAATCTAAAAAGTTTTCGTCATTATACACGTGAAGCATTACCACGTGCTGATCATTATCGTAATGTTGAATCAGTACATGGTTTTATGGCACGGCCAACATTAGATGAATTACATGGTACACAGGCTACTGTTTCATTTGATAGTAATACGGTATGTTTATTATTTATTTTATTTTTAAACAACAAACTAAAAATAACAACAACAACAAACGAAGATTTCATAATCATCAATGGATTTTTCTTCAGCTTCATAAAATATTTATTCCACCCATAATGTCAATAACACAACACCGTTGAACAACTGAAACAATAAGAATAATTTATCTTGCTATTCGATCTAATAGAATTCATTCATTCATTAGTTTTGTAAATGTCATAATGATTTTCTTTCTATTCAATTTAAAAATCTCATAAATTTAGCCAGACAAACACAAAAGCTTAGTTTTCATTGAAAATTGCCATTATTTTTGGCTAAAATAAATAAATAAAAATAGATGAGGATTTCATTAACAATTTATGAAATAAAAATAAATCAATCATAATAAGCTTTCTTTGTTAAATCCTTACATTTTGTTCAAACTGTATGAATCACCAATGATTGCTCCATTGGCCGGAATCGTTAAAAATCGTTGATGATGATAATAATTTATCAATTATATTTTTGATAAATATTTCCGTTTAAATATTAGTTTAATTTTGATTTGTTTACTTGTTTAGAATATAAAAGGAATAGAATAGAATACAAACAAACAAACCAAAAATCAACATAAGCCACCATGAAGATACCGGACATAGGAAATGGTCCTGTCTATTTATATATGATGAAAGAACAGGATTGATATAAAAAAAAAGAATGAGGATGTGTTTGGCAAATCAGAGAATCAGTTTTGGTTGGTTGATTAACGATTTTTTAAAAAATGTGTGTGCGAAACGAATTTGTCGATAAATATAAAATTGGCACGTAAATCTTCTTCACCATTTTGGATAATATGATTTTGTTCATATCACACATCATATATCTTTTCTTTTCTTTTTTTCGCTCTCTCACTCTTTGCTTTTCACTTGTCAATCATTGATTGACATTTAAAAAAAAAAATCAAAGAATATATTGATGATATCAGAAGAACTAAAGAACAAAACTTTTTGAAATAAGCTTAACCTATGTGGTATATAATAGGCCAAGGTTGATTAGGATAAATTTTTTTTATTTTTTGATATTCCGACGATGATGATCGCTTTGTTTTTCATTCATTCATTTCATTTTATTTAACAAATCGCATCGTCACTGTAGTACATTAAAGACAAAGGATTTTTTTTTCTGAAAAAAATGATGATTGAAAAGGAAAACTATGTCATTCCATGAATTTATCTATTTTAATATTCGATTCTATTTTGATCCATTCAAAAGTTCATTGTGTTTATATAGCCAAAAAAATAATATATGAAGATAGTGTTGATTTAATTTAATTCAATTTGTTAAAATTGATTTTTTTTAAAAAAAGGGTAAAATTGTCATACAAAAAGCTGGAGAACAAGCTGAAGATGGATCAGATTCAAAAGCAGTTAAATTCGGTTGGATTAAAGGTGTATTGGTACGATGTTTACTTAACATTTGGGGTGTTATGTTATTTTTACGTCTATCATGGGTTGCTGCACAATCTGGTATTATTCATGGTACAATTATTTTGTTATTAGCATCACTTGTAACCATTGTAACAACAATGTCGATGTCGGCCATTTGTACAAATGGTGAAGTTAAAGGGGGTGGTACATATTATATGATTAGTCGATCATTGGGTCCAGAATTTGGTGGTTCTATTGGTATTATTTTTTCATTGGCTAATGCTGTTGCTGTTGCTATGTATACAGTTGGTTTTGCTGAAACTGTTCGTGATCATCTTGGTGTATGTATTTTTTGTTCAGTTTAAAAATGCAGTTTTGTTTTCAATCAATGATTTTAAAAATAGCAATATGGTAAAATGATATTTGATGGTGGCCTTAACGATATCCGTTTGGTTAGTTCGATTACTGTGATCGTATTGCTTGGTATTGTTTACATTGGTACCGAATGGGAAGCACAAACACAAGTGTTTCTTTTATTTATTCTTTTGGCTGCTATGGGTGATTTCCTTATTGGTTCATTTATGCCACCAACTGATTATCAGATTGCACGTGGTTATATTGGTTGGAGCTGTAAGTATCAAACGATATTTTTTTGTTTTTTTTCAAATTAATTAAAATCGTTTTTTTTTAATTTTAAATTAGCATCATTGATCTGGGAAAACATGTTTCCAGCGTATCGGAATGAATCATTTTTCTCCGTATTTTCGGTCTATTTTCCAGCTGCTACTGGTATTTTAGCCGGTGCTAATATTTCTGGTGATTTGAAAGATCCATCATATTCAATTCCATTGGGTACATTTTTGGCTATCATCATAACAACAATCAGTTATGTTGGATTTCATTTTATTGTTGCTGCTAATGTTGTTCGTGATGCTAATGGTGTTGTCGAATTGGTTCATCATCCTGGTGTTAAAGATGTTGTACAGGCTATACGTAATTGTAGTCTTGCACCCGATGAAATTTGTCATTATGGTTCGATGAATAATTTTCAGATTATTGAATTAATGTCCTGGTTTGGTCCAATTATCTATGCTGGTATTTATGCTGCAACATTATCTTCAGCATTAGCCAGCATGGTGTCTGCACCCAAAGTATTTCAAGCTCTTTGCAATGACAAACTTTTCCCTGGTATTGCCTATTTTGGTAAAGGTTTCGGTATTAATAATGAACCTCGACGTGGCTATTTACTTACATTTTTGATTGGTTTTTCTTGCTGCTTAATGGGTGAATTGAATCTTATTGCACCAATCATTTCAAATTTTTTCTTGGCCGCTTATACATTGATTAATTTTAGCTGTTTCCATGCTAGTTGGAGTAAATCACCCGGTTTCCGTCCAAGTTTCAAATATTATAATCTATGGATAGCATTATTTGGTTCTTTTCTTTGTTTGGGAGTCATGTTTATGACCGGATGGGTTCCAGCATTAATAACATTCATTATTGTATTTGCTCTACATGTTTGGGTACAAGCTCGTGCTACTGGTATGAAATTTCTTTTTTGTTCTATCCCAAAAATCTATTAATTTTCTATATGTTTTATTTTTCTAATTATTAGAGGTCAATTGGGGTTCATCAACACAAGCGCAAACACATCGTTCCGCTGTTTCCAGCGTCTATAAGCTAACCATGTTACCTGATCATGTGAAAACATATCGTCCACAGATATTATTATTATCCGGTAATCCACCGGCAAGATCGGATTTTGTTGATCTTGCTCATTTAATAACAAAAAATACCGGTCTTTTAATCTGTGGACATATTGTTACCGTAAGTGTTTTTTAAATTCTTATTTTTTTGTAAAAACAATTTTCATTTGAATTGAACAAATCAAATTAGACACCGATTTCTGTTCGTGCACAAAATGCATTGCTACATGATGGAAATCTCTATCTAATCAATCGAAATATGAAAGCATTTTTCAATTTAATACAAGATTCAAGTTTTAGTCAAGGTGTTCGTTCATTAATGCAAGCAACTGGTATTGGTAAATTACGACCAAATATTGTAATGCTTGGTTTTAAACGTGATTGGATTGATAGTCAACCAAAAGAAGTTGTTGAATATTTCAAAGCAATTCAGTATGTTGTTTTTTGTTTCATATGTTTATTTTTTTAATTATTTTCACATTATTCTAGTGCCATTTTTGATTATCATTTCTCAATCGTTATTGTACATGTACCGAATCGTAAAGAAGTTACTAATGGTGATGTCAAACCATCGACTGCACCCGCTCCTGTTTTAGGTGATAATAACAATAAAGGTAAGGCATTTTAATTGCAAATAAATTTGAATAATTTTATGATTGATTTATTGTTATGCAAAAAAAAAATTTCAGATACGGCTGTTGTACAAATGAAAGATGAAGCTATACCACAAGATAGTTTCTTCTTATCAAAACAAAAGAAAGGATATATTGATGTATGGTGGTTGTATGATGATGGTGGCCTTACATTATTATTACCATATATTATTCGTACACAATCACAATGGAAAGATTGTAAACTTCGTGTATTTGCTTTGGTAAATAAAAAATCTGAACTTGATGCTGAACAAAGAAATATGGCACAATTATTATCAAAATTCCGTATCGATTATTCGGATGTTATACTTATCACTGATCTATTAAAACCACCAGAAGAATTTTCTAAACGAGAATTTCATAGAATGATTGAAAAATTTATTGTTGATGATTCAGAAGAACGACATGATGCTGAACGAAAAGATGGTATGACAATTACCGAAACAGATTTGATTCGATTCAGGGATAAGGTATTGTTATTTATTAATAATTTTAGTTTAATGACTTACTGATTTTTTTTTCAAAAAAATCTTCTAGACTTATCGCCATATTCGTCTTCGTGAAATTTTGCTCAATTATTCCAAGGATTCAAGACTGGTTGTTATGTAAGTTTATCAATTAGATTATCATTTTAATTATTATTTTTATTATTACAAAAATTGTTTTCATTTTAAAACAAAAATAGTACATTACCTATGCCACGTAAAAATTCATGTCCGGCTGTATTGTATATGGCATGGCTGGAAACATTGACCAAAAACATGCCACCTATGATGTTGATGCGTGGTAATCAGACCGATGTATTGACATTCTATTCGTAAACAAAATTATGGTCAAATGATTATTCCAACTATATTTCCATCCATACTAAACAGACAAACAAACAAAGTGATCATTTTTGATGTTGATATCTGATTAAAATAGTAGAAAAATTTCAATTAAATCATCAAGAAATTTGGACAAATAGTGCCCACAAATTATTCAGTAGTAGCAACAAACGAATTTAAAAAAACAAAAATTATTTATCAACATACACACTCTGGCACTAAAACTTACTTAGAAAGTGAATGATGATATAGGTGGTGAAAGAAAATTTGGAAATCAACAACCGAATTTGTATTCTGCTGCCTCTCACACATTCCATTGTTAATTTTTTTTTTCTTTTCTTCTTAATTATTCGGTTGACAATCTTCTTATTATTATTATAATTATAATTATCGTTATTATTGTCATTATTATAATTCTAATTATTATTAAATACCTTGAGAATAAATTACACTGAAAAAAATTGAACGATTTGGATTATTTTATTTTTGCTTTATTTGATTTGATAAAATTCAATTTTGGCGCTACGAATTCAAGAGTAGGTTTCTTGGAAATTTCTGGAAATATTTTCTTTCGTTATTTTTCCCGAAAGTATTTTGTGGATTGTCAAAAATGAAAACATCTGATTTCTGATGACGATATTGTGATTCGAAAATGTCTCAACAACATTTATCATCCGATCAATCATTGAATCCGAAATCTAATGATGATGATGATGATGATGTTGAATATCTTATCGATCAGCTAGCAGATTTAATTTCGAAAAATGATGTGGATAAAATTACGGATATACAACGAAGTTTGTATGTTTTAAATTTCAAACCGATGAAAATTCTTTATATTTCTTTTTTTTATTTGTTCAAAGATTAAATCAATTTGAAAAATCCAATCAAATGCTTGTCTATTGTAATGAACTTTCTAATCAACATTATCTTAAATTATCAAAAGATTTTCGTTCACATACAACAAAATTGAATGAAATGTATAAAGATTTGGATATAATATTTCATCGAATTCGAATGATCAAACAAAAATTAAAAGAAAAATATCCCGATATTACAATCGAAACGCTAAAACAAAGAAATCTTGATGATGATGAATCAAATACCGTTGAAGAAATGGTAGAAAATTCAACACTTGACAATCGAACACCAACAACAACAAACGAAGAAATTTCGAACGATTCCGAAACAAATAATCAATGTCAAAATAATAAGTGAAAATTTTGGAGAGAAAAAATCGTTGATTTTGTTAAAAATTATTATTGTCATTTGATCTTTATTTACTAATTTGATTTGATTCTAAAAAATTTTCTTTGTCAACTATAAGCACAATTGGTGAATAACAATATAAATAAATAAAATAAACAATAATCAAAATGAAAATGAAACAAAAACAATTTAAAATGATATATACAATAATTAAAACAAAAACAAAAAAAAAATTAGATAGAATTGAAGATGCTCTGGAAGGTGAATCAATTTTATTCGGTTTGTTCATTCTTTGGTTTCTTTTGATGTTTATCATCATTACCAAGATTGGATCGATGCGGTAGAAACAATAATGGAAACATTCCAATTAAACAACCAAGTGCTACACCAAATGCTCTACCAATTTGCATTGTCCAACGTGTACGAGACATTTGAAGCTGTACTAATGATAGTTTTGGTGTTTTAACACCGATTTTGATGGCTAATTGTTCAACATAATAAGCTGATCCAACACCGGCAATATCGGATAATGCATTACCTAAACCTGCTGCTGCCATTGTTGAAATGCCTAAAGCAACACCGATTGTCAGATCAATATAATCACCGGCAATAATCATCAGGAGATTGTCAAGAAAACCGAATCCAATAAATGGCAGTGCTTGAGCTAGGAATACTTGACCAAGTTGATTAGCATTAGGAGGTTGTTTTTTTGGATCATCAATCGGTATTGAAGTATCAATGACTGTAATAATTGGTGATTGCATCAATTCGGGATGTGATTGAAGCTCTTCATATAGTATACGTTTTTCATTTACATTTAATAATGCAAGAAAATCTCTTGCACGTTCTTTATCGGTTAAAAATGCACCAGTTGTTGGACGTGAATAATAACGAATCGATTCATTTGATTTTATCATACAAATAATATTCAACCATGATGATGATGATGGACGTGATGAAAAATGTTTTAGTTTCATTAAAAACATGATTTTTTTCTAGTATTTAATGAATCAAATGGCGATGAAGAATCGTAGAAAACAACATAACAACAATATATATTCTTCTGAGTAAAAACAATACGATATTCCTTTTTTTCAGAATTTTTTTTCTTTTCCAACTCAACAACAATCTTTAGTCATTAAATTTTTAACACTCATCACTTGATCACAAACAAACACACCTACAAATAATTAATGTAACTCTATTAAAAATTGAAAAAATTCTTTACTTTGATGATAACCAAACATTTATAGAGAACTAAACACTTCTATAATCAGTTAAACGACAATAATTTATATATCATACAATATATGACTAAATATATTGCCGTTAGTCTGTTCAAACTCAATATATAATGTCTATACAACAACAACAGACATCAAAAAAATGATTTCGAAAGCAAATAAATGGTAGAAGCAAATGTTAATGATAAGTTTGATGATAATTTTAATTCAATTCAATTTAGCGCCATTTATTTAATCATTTTTTGAATTCTGAAAAAAGTTTCATTTAATAGGATTTTGTGTTTATGTGAATAATATTATTTAGATAAAAAAAGTCATAAGTTGATTAGATTCAATAAAAAGAAAAGAAATAATTTACAATCGACCAACATATGAGATTCGATAGTTTTGAATTTGGATTAATTAAATTATTGTTGTAAATATTTTTTACGTTTCGTTGGTGTATTGTTGCCAACACCACCACCATTACGATAATTTGATGATGATATTGTTGTCGGTAATGTTATCATTTCGGATTGTTCCGAACTTGTAGCTGTTGTTACAGTCGGTGTTGATCTTGCTGATGATGATGTTGTTGTTGTTGTCATACGGTCAAACATTTCAGCTAAACGTTTTCGATTTTTTCTAATCGTTATATTCGCTTCATCTGATTCACATGGAAATTGAACCAATTTTTCTACATCATTAAATATGACTTGTGAACCGCCTGTTATCGATGGTAAAACATCACCTTTATAAACTTTGGTTTCGACACCACCAGTTTCGGTTGCTGCATGATGTGTTAATGCATATTTCGATGCAATTTCATTACTTTTTCCAACAAAATCTGATGTTTTCAAATTGGTAACGGATTTTTTACGTTTAGATGTAATGTTTGGCTGAAATACTGTACCAAGATTCATTGTACCCGGTGGACGATGTTCAATCCATTTTGCATCATCCGTACTCAATGATCGTCGATGACGTGGATTTACAACCGGTGGTGATCGTACATCAATCGTGGCTGCAGCATTCGTAGTTGTTGCCTGTTCAATTTCTGTATCAGGTTTCGATTTTAATGGTGACATCCATGGTGGCCGTATGAATTCTAAATCATCCTCATTATTGATAATCGTTCGCAATAATTGTAATTTTTCTTGATTTGTTGCAATTTTCTTTTCCATTTGAGATTCAGCTTCTTGAACTTTTTCCATAAAATGTTTTTGCAAACGTTTAAATTCCGATTTCCAACATTCTTTAGTCGATCGTTTATAATGACGAAATTCATTACGAAGATTGGATTTTTCAATTTCAGTTGTAGCCAATCGATGATTGACTGTTGATAATTCTTGTTGAAGTTCATCAATTTGATGTTGCATTCGATTTATCGTATCTTCATATTCACGTTTCATATGTGAAAATTTATTTTCATATTCACGAAGCTGATTTTCACGTGCAACTAAATCCATTTTTAATACTGAATTTTGTTGTTCCATCAATGTATTATTTTGATTCAATTCGAAAATTGTTTGTCGAACATTTTGTTGATATTCATCGACAATGATACGATTTTGTTCATGATTTTCAGCTCGTTTTTCTAATGCCATAATCCAATTTTTAAGCGTTTCATTATCAGATGGATCTTCGATATAATTATTCGGTAATGGTGGTCCAATATTGATCGATGATGCAATAAAAAAATTACTAATAGGTCGAAGTGGTGTACGTTTGAATGGTGAACCACGATTGGTAACTAAATCTTGTGATGCTTCACCAAATTTACAAACATGTAATGTTTCATCATAATCTTCAAGACCAGGATTTACACAGATGATCATTTCAACTTTACCATCACCTTCAAAATAACTTTTAAACATGTGCGTTAATTTATTGTCACGATATGGAACAATTTTGTTTCCGTTTGATTTCTGATTTTCACGCAGAACATCAAAACATTGTCGTAATGTTAACAATGAATTATTGATATTACTAGCTTCACGTAAACGATTACCAGTAGCTTGGGTTCTTGATGTTCGTTCACAACCGGCTAAATCCACTATCGATAATTGACTGACACGAATTAAGCTACTATCATCAATAACTTCAACACCTTCAATATCTAATGGTGCTTGTACTAAACGAATATTAAATACGGAATGTGATCGGCTTGATTCATTGTTCAATTTTGTCGTACCAATACGGCGACGTTTCATTCCTTTGATGCACAATTCGAATGCTTCTTGTGAACTTTTTACTTCAATTTCTTTAGCACCTTGAACATAATAACGTTTTTGTGTATCTTCAACAATGCGTTTTGAACATTTATTTGTTTCCAATTGATCATCGAGTAAATCATAAATAAAATTATTATAAACTTCTACATATGATACAAATACGGAATATTTATTATCGCAATTGATATCTTTGATAAACATTTCTTCTTGTACACGATTTTCCCAATCATATGCATCACGTTTTCGTGGTGTTCTAGGATTTTTGTTAGGTGTAGCATAGATTACTTCGTTTTGCATTTTTAATATAGCATCAGGAGCCGAAACAATTTCAAAACCATTTTGATTGTTTGGCTTAAAACCATAACGAATATTTTGTAAACCATTTTTATTCAATGTATTGAAAATAGTATCCAATGTTCGTGGAACAATACCGGGATTTTGTGGAGATCCTGTTATCGTATAAGTTTTTCCCGATGATGTAACACCATAAGAAAATAATAATCCATTTTGACCATCGATTAAATCTTTGACCAATGAAAAAGCCGTTTGTTTAAATACAGAATGTTGATCATATTTAGTATCGAAAACTTTTGTATATTTATAAAATTGTTTTGGCTGTCCAGGTGGTGATAATTCTAAAAGTTGATCATTAATTTTATGTACAACACATGTATCATTAAGATTTTTTAATGGACGTAAACGACAATAAACTTGTAATGGTTCTTTTTCATTTGTATTCATTTTTGGTTTTGGTTTAGTAGGCGGTGGCGGTTTTTTCGCCGAATCACTAAATAGATTTTAAAAAGAAAAAATTCTGACATTGAAAAATTGCTTTAAAAATTAAAAATTAATACCTGTGATGAGTTTTCATTTTATTGATTGTTTTAAGGTAATTCGAAAATTAAAATGGAAATTCACAGTTGTCCAAAATACCAAACACAACGAACACGAATATGAACGATATGAAAAAAGTGTGATCAACACGAACACACACAAACACTGAAAAATTCAAAAAAAACGGCCAATTCGAAATTGACCGTTTGAACAATTTTAAATGGCCCGTCATAAAGAACGTAATGTTGTGAAATAATTTTTCTGGAATATTTTAATCTTTTAAAATTTTGATTTGAAATTTCTTTTTCCGTTAAATTCCAGATTTTCAGATTATTTTTGGATCTAATTAATCTATCATTTGAGAGAAATTTATTGGAAAAGATTCTTTTAAAATAAATCATTCAATTTTCAATTACGCGCCAAAAAAAAAGCTAATTTGCAAATCTACATTTAAATGATGATAAAATTTCGCACTATTTTTTTTAATTGATTCAGATTGATTTTCTCATCGTATCAGTATTGTTAATTAAATTTAATCGAAAGATTAAACCATAATCAAAATGATAAAATCTTAAAAATGGGAAATATTTCCGAAAAAAAATCTCAAACTATGATAGAAAAATATTTCCGAATTTTAAAAGTTAACAGAAATTCGAAAGCAAAATTAGGCTCCACCTTCGATGAACCATAACCCAAAACTAACCAATCACAAATGGCCGTTGAAATTATTTAAAATTTTTTTTTTCTTGCTTCGTTCGATTGTCATCGGTTAATCGTCATTGTTGGCCATAAGTTGGCATTTAACATTTGATTTTTTTGGCCTGCTCGCTTCTTCATCAAAGGCATTAAAAACCATAAATCGAACGTTGAGCACAAAATTTTCTTTGTCTTTTGACCATTTTCAAGCTTTTATAAATCAACGTTGTCATCGTCAAAAAAAAATTCTTATTGAATCGTTTTCAATTATATTTTTTTCATCATTTTTTCGTTTCAAACGTAGATTGAAAAAAGGTTGACAGTTATAAATCTGTTCCATATTTTTCATTTGAAAATATTGATGTTTTTATCACGTTTTATTTTGCTTTAAAAAAAATCTTTTGTCTGAAAATATAACTAAGTATCGTTGTCACCATTGTTTGAAATTTATTTTCCTTTATAAATTTAATTTTCAAATCTTTGATTCGGAACGAAAAAAAAATGGTTCAACCACTTCGATCACGTACAAACGAACCAAATGCTGCTATTTTAGCATCATTAAAGCCAACGGAATCGATCAATAATCAGATTGCTAATCTGAAAATTTCTCGTCCGAATATTGAACAAGAAAATGGTCATGTTTTTCGTTCGAAAATTCCCGTTCTCAAATCTCGTATTGGTATCGATTGTGGTGGTGGTGTTGGTCAGCAAAAATCTGCAGTCCCTTGTTGCAAAAATACTATTCCCGTAAAACAACAACAAGTAGAAAAACCGCAACAGGTAGAAAAACTTCAAGTAGAAAATGAGCCAAAACCAAAAGTGGAAAATATTGATAGTGAATCGGATTGTTTCTTATTAAGCAATTATGCTCCCGATATTTATAAATATCTTCATCAACTTGAGGTCAGTCTGGTTTTTACTTTATAAATGTAACTTTTTCAATTTTTATTCATTTTCAATAGAAATCATTGGCATTGGAAAAGAATTTTCTATCAATTCATAATGTTGTCACTCCAAATATGCGTGCAGTTCTTGTCAATTGGATTAATGGTATACATCGTAATTTTCGTCTGATGCCCGAAACATTTTACCTGACCATATCGATAATCGATCGTGTACTAGCTCGTGAATCAGTTGAAAAAAGTCAACTACAATTATTGGGTGCTACAGCCATATTTGTTGCAGCCAAATATGAGGAAATTTTCTATCCAGATATCAAAGATATTGTTGCTATTTGTGATAATCTTTATACCAAACATGAAATATTACTAATGGAAATCCGTATTCTTAAGGTGACAAATTTCGAATTAAGTGGACCATCACCATTATATTTTTTGCGACGTGGTTCAAAAGCTGCACAAGTTCATTCACGTGTACATATGATGGGCAAATTTCTTTGCGAATTATCTGTTATCGATTATCAATGTGCACAATGGTTACCATCATTGGTTGCCGCAACTTCATTATACGTAGCACTCAAATTGAATAATGACGAAAATTCCGTATCGAATGGTCAAAAACCTGCTGATCTATCGGAAACATCAATTTGGACGCCTACTATTGAACATTATACTGGATATAGCATCCACGATGTTCGTAAATATGCTGGCAATCTATGTCGTTTACTTATATCATCCGAAAATTCTAAACATCAGGTAATTTTAATGCTAAAAACTTTTTTCATTAATTCAACGATTATTTTTTTTCACAGAATTGCCGAAAAAAATATTCAGCAGCCAAATGTTTGAATATAAGCAATCTATCGCCAAATTCGATGCGTATAATCAAGAAAATGGCCATCTAACGCTTGGATCATTACAACTATATTTAATTCATCTTTTTTTAAAAAATTAATTTTTTTATATTTAAATTTTTCTCACCATCCTTATCATCATCGCTACTTTAAATATCAACTAACTAATCATTCATTTTTTGTTTGTTTGATGGTCTGATAAAACAATCATGTGTGTGACAATGAAATTTTCCTGTATTTTAATAGCAATTAAATTTGCATAAATCAATAAAAATTTTTAATTAAAAAAAAAATTAAATTTTTGCCAACAATTTATCGAATATATTTTTTTTCTGTATCATCGTTTATGAACGGTTAACTTAATTTTCAAATTTTTTTTAAACATGACCAAAAAAAAAAATTGGTAGTGGCATAGGTGAAAAGTGAACGGTGGTGTGGCTGTGTAAATTTCATAAACGGCCAATTTAAGAACGCTTGTTTTCATCATTTTTCAGTGTGTGTTTTAAGTGAACTGGCAACTCGTTACCATTACGCGCCATTTGAATTTAAGCATTTGATTCGTTTTGTACATCTCTCTTTGGAAGCTAAACTCTCGAAAATAAATTATCGATTAAACAAAAAAAAAATACAAATCTTGTGAAATTTTAATTTTATTTTCAATCCATTTCATTCGATAAGTTTTGTTATTAATACTTTTTGATTTTTGTTCAACATAATTTTAAAATCATGTCATCTAAAGATTTTTACTATTCCGATCGTTATTACGATGATAAATATGAATACAGGTATGATGCAATCTATTTATTTATTCGAATATTGATGTAATTTTATTTTATCTTTATTTTTTCAATTTTTTTTAATTATCAACATTCAAAAAAAAAAAAATGAAAAGGCATGTCGTTTTGCCTAAAGAATATTCAAAATTAATTCCAAGAACACATCTGATGACCGAAGCTGAATGGCGTGCATTAGGTGTTACACAAAGTCAAGGCTGGATACATTATATGATTCATGAACCGGAACCACATATTCTACTTTTTCGTCGTCCAATAACCGGTAAATCGGCACCATCACAGGCAAAACAAATCGAAGCGGATAATGCAGAATTCACCAATGCTAATTGAAAATAATCAAAGCACCTTTTTATCCTGATTTCTACGGCCATCCTAAAAAAAACATTCGAAATTTTTCTTATGCGTTTTTTTCCCCAAAAAAAATAGCTTAATATGAAAAAAAACATAACCACGAATTTCATAACATGTGATTCATAAAATTTTTTTATTATTATTATTAAAACCACAATATAAAAACTGTTTTTGATGATTTGAAATTTTTTTCTCATTTTCTCTGTTTGAAAAAAAAACAATACACTATTTTACTTAATGATAATTTTTAAAAAAATGATGCGATTTTCATTTTAATATGATGAAATAATTTGTAATTTTGAAATGAATTTTTAATTGTCATTTTGATCAGACTATAGTATTTTTTTCTTTCTTTCTTTATTGATTATCACCATCACCATCTTCGGATGCTTTACGTTTTCGGCCAGATTTTGCTTGTTCACGAACATTCAATTCAAATTTATATTCCTGATCACAACCCATATAACAATCACACATAAAATAAAGCATATAATTATAACGACCAGATGCCGGTGCTTCAAAATCTAATTTAACTTTGGCTTTTTTCTGCAACGATATTCGTTTGATCGATATTAATGTGTTTGTTTTAGTATCGCCAATCACTACCCACCATCCTTCTTCACGTTTCTGTAGTAGACAAAAAAAACAAACAAGAATTTACAATTTTGAATTTGCAATCAAAAATAGAAAAAAATTACCTGTGGAAAGAATGGTGCAATCACCGGACCCACCATATCATCTTCACGTTCAAGATAGACCATAACATTTACTGTTGAATCACTATATAAATCAATTAAATTATAAATTAGATTTTTTAAATAAATAAAAACATTCTATTAACAAACCTTTCAATAGAATCTTTATCCAATATTTCATGTTCAAGCGATATATTTGGATAACGATTACAAAATCTTGCTACATCCATCAATTTATTATCATCCAATTTTAATAATTTAATTCGATCATCATCATCCATATCCATAAGATCAAATATAGTATTGATATCATGTTTTGTACAACGTTCAATAATATCCGATGTAAAATGTGGTAATTGTCTTAATACAGAATCTTTATTCCACATTGCCTGTGTAATCATTTGTGCTAATTCCATAGCAGCAATAGCCGGTGTTAACCATCCATTCGAACTGATAACATCAACACAAGCTTGTATTAGGCGAATAGTTTTCAATATAATTTCTTCAGAATCTTGTTGTAATTCGGCCGACAATGATATTCGAGATAGATGAGCCTGAATCAATAGATTCGCTTTCGTATGTGGATCAGACATTTTTGCTTGTGGTATTTTATTCGGTACTTTTGAATGTAATTGTTGAAGAATACCATCTTCACGATGTCTTATCGGTATATTTTCATATTCAGATGCACTGCTAATAATTTCGATTAGATTACGAATTTTTGTTTTAGCATTCAATGATAAACTAAACAATTCAATTGTCGAATAATGTATATAATAATAAGCAGCAATCATTCCAAAATTCAATGGACTTAAATCGATATCATTTTCAATGGCAATACATTTTGAATCTTCCAAATCTTTTAATGTATTTTCAACTAATTCAGAAAGATGATCCGATAGATGACGATGTGTTAATCCAGTTAGATTATAATAATTTGGATTTTTCGACATACGACGATAAAGAAATGTCCATGTAAGATAATCCACTGCATCTTGTTTATTTTCAATTGTACGTGTAACAATTTCAGCATTAAAATGATCATGTAATGAATGATCTAAATGTGATTCAATTGGTAATGGTTCAAGAAGAAATTTTTTGAAAAATTCTTTCTTTGTACTTTGACAAAAAATTACACATTTTGAACCATCATCACGCATTGAACGACCAGAATGGCCAACCATTTGTATAACATCCGATATAGGATAATCTTCATATGAATGAATACGGCCATTAAAAAATTGTGTATCCATTATCAATACAAGATATGCCGATAATGTTGTAGCCCAACAAAGATTGGCCGATATGACAATAATTTGAATGGCTCCAGCTTCGAATAATGTTTCAATGATTCGTCGATCTTTTGTAGTGGTGCCTTCATGTAAATATGCAACACCATTCGAAATAGTTTCACGCAATGTTGGATCGGATATTTCTTTAAGAAATTTCTGAAAATTCATATCATCTTCTTCACAATGTAAAAATCGATTTGGTTGAGCATCGGCTGCAGCATAGGTAAGCATATCGATTGCTGTTAAACGTGCTTGCCGTCGAGATGGAACAAATATCAATACGGATTTTTCCGATGATCGACTTAAAACCGTTTGATAGATAGGTTTAGACATTGTTAACAAACGTGTTGCATTATGTGTTTGATTAAAACCACGAATATTAATTTCCAATGGTAATGGTCGAACACTTGGATGAAAATTAAACGTATGACCATGACTACAACCTAACCATTGGGCAATATCTTTAGCATTAGCAATCGGTGATGATAATGCTACAATACGTATAGATTTTTCAATCTGTGATGACATATAACGTATACGTGAACAAATAATTTCATATACAGGACCATCTTGACCACCTAAAAGTTGTAGATCATCTGCAATGAATAGATTAACATTCTGTACATGTTTACTTTTTTTCCATCGTCTTGATAATAGATCCCATTTTTCATGTGTCGTTACAATAACATCTCCTTTAGCTAATAATTTTTGATCTACAGTTGTTTCGCCAGTAAGAAGAACAACCGATTTTTCTAATGGTGCAAATTTTCTGCTCCATTGTGAATAAATTATCTGTGCTAATTGTTGTTTAGGTGTAACGTATACACATTTAGCATCTTTTACAACCATAAACAAACGTAGAATAGCTATTTCAGCACAAACAGTTTTTCCACTATTATTCGGTGCACCAATAAATACATTATCATTTGTATTATATAATGAATTAAATACTTGTGTTTGTATCGAATTGAATGATTGAAAATCATTTTTATAAAGACGTTCAAATTGAACATTACGAAATGCTGATAATGGTAATGGTTGTAGATCCAATAATTCGGTTGGTGGTGTAAATTTTTCCGGTAAAATTAAATGACGAAACGATACAGGAAAAACGGTTTCGGCACCAATCCATCGATCCGATGTTACACGTATAAAATATTGTGGTGGTAACGGATCAAATATTGGTATAAAAAATTTAACAATATGTTCATCTTGTGCATATTTTTGTTTGAGTAAAAAATATTCATGATGTAATATAACTTCACTATCAACATCTTCGACAATAATCCAGAATGCTTGTGAATTTCCATGAACACGTTCATCCCAATGAAAATCCGGTTGAATAGTTAGTTCAACTTTTAATGTTGATCGTGTAATCGGTTGAATATGAGCTGATAGTTCAAGTTTTGGAAACATATGTATATATTTATGTACTAATTTTCCCATTTTTGGTAAACGTAACAATTCACCAATTTCATTTGGTCCAAGATCAAAAAGTCGTTCGAATGGAAAACCTTTTTTCTCCAGTTTTTTAATCACTTCTTCCGGTATTCGTTTAAATTGTCGTAATGGTGATAATGATTGCCACATACGTCGATCAATCATTTTACATAATGATAATGTTTTATCTGCCATTTCGGCCCAACCACTAAATAAAACAATTTCAAATATAGCACGTATTAATCGTGCAGCTGATTGTGTTACATAAACCATATCGGACATTAATGCTAAACCTTCAAGTTTTAATTGTGATATATAAGCCTGTAATAATACATTTACTTTAGCTGATGGTTCTTCAATCGATTCTTTTATCGGTATCGGTACACGTTCCATTAATTTTTGTAATTCTAATTTTTCTTCTTCACGAATTGTAATATTTTTAAATTCAGCCGATAATGAAAATACACGAAACAATTCAATTTCGGATAATGTTGGTTTCAAAAATTGATTATAAATTGACATTGTTTCAGTTGAACAATAATAATGTGATGCAATTCGACCTAATTCTGTTCCTTGAATATGGCCAGATTTACGATCAAATCTTATTAGATTACATTTATCCAATACTGAAGCAGCTGTATAGATAAGATTTGTACGATGTTGTTCTAATGTTGGATCTTCTTGTAATATATCATACGAAATACCATATAAAGTTGGATTACGTAACATTCGTACATAAAGATATGTATAGCCTAACCAATTAACAGCATCTTTAACATTTTGAATATTACCCAATACAATTTCAGCATTCAATAAATCAGGTAATTTTGATATTAATTGTGATTCAATAGGTAATTGTTGATTCAATAATGATAGATAATATTGTAATTCAGAATGCTGGGTGATTAGAATTCCTTCACCCAATGTATCATATTGTGGACGACCAGCACGACCAAGCATTTGCATAACATCCAATGCACCCAATTCAACCCAACGACCTTTTTCTGGATTATAAACTTGTGTACCTTTGATGATGACAGTATGTGCAGGTAAATTGACACCCCAGGCTAATGTTGCTGTTGAAACTAATACCTGTATATGACGATCAGCAAATAAATCTTCAACCAATGTACGATCAACACGTGTCATACCGGCATGATGAATAGCAAAACCATATGTAAGTAGATCTTTTAATTCAAGATTTTTAACCTGTTCAGCTTCAGATCTTAAAACTTCAGTTGATGCTGAATTTTCTTTCAAAAACATTCCAAGTGTATCATTTTCAAGACACATATCACGTACTGCACGAGCTGTTTTTCCAGTTTCTTTACGTGAATGAACAAAAATCAATAATTGATTACGACCAGCATGTTCCAAAGTTTTTTCATAAAGTAATTCATTCATTAATTGAAAACGTTTTACCGCTTTCTTTTCGGTAATACCAATATATTGTTGTTCCAATGGAACTGGTCGAAAACTATTATCAAAATAAAATAGACCTTTTTTTAGATCAACACGAAGAAATGTTGCAACATCTTCATAATTAGGTAATGTAGCTGATAGACCAACTAAACGTATATCTTCTTGTGTTGTTTCAATCGAACGTATCATACGTGCAACAAGACATTCAAGAATTGGTCCACGTTCATCATGTAATAAATGAATTTCATCGAAAATAATTAGCCGTACAATCTGTGTATATGATCGTTCACCACCTTTACGTGTAATAACATCCCATTTTTCCGGTGTACATACAATAATTTGTGTTTGTACAATTTGTTCAGTACTTAATTGATGATCACCAGTTAATTCACTAACTTTAATATTATAACTGGATAAACGTTTAGAAAAATTGGCAACCATTTCTTGTACCAATGATTTCATCGGTGCAATGTAAATAATTTTAAATTCATCCGTATTGATTAGGCCGGTAGTTGGATCAATATGTTTACCAATTTCACGCATCATTGTTAAAAGTGCAACATTAGTTTTACCGGCACCGGTAGGAGCACAGACTAATAAATTTTCATCAGTTTCCAATAATGTTGGTGCCAATCTTGATTGAATACGATTCAATGTTTTATAACCATCAAATGCTGATTGAACATAACGTGGTAATTTATTTATATGTATTAATGTTTCATTCGGATCAAATGGTTTTGGTTTTAATGCTGGTACATGAATTATTTCACATCCTTTACGTTGTTGACGATAACTACCTTCAGGTAATTGACATCTTTTATTTGCCATAAAATGTGATCCTTGTTGAAAGCTAAGATCTTCAAGATCTAATAATTTTACTTTATTTGAAAAAATATTATCTTCTTCATCTTCAGCAGCCGTTTTAGATGTTGATGAATCTTTTGATGGATCTAACGATGATGATGTTGATGCATCTGTTTGACTTGTTTCAAGTTTTTTCAATATTTCCATCAATTCTGGATCGCTTTTCATTTTTTCAATAATTTTAGCTTTTTCGGATTGACGTTGTGCTTGAGCCAATAATGTACAGAATAAGATCATTTGTCTATTATGACGTAAAAGTTTGATAAAATCAAAAAGATCAAAACCAAGCAAAACAATAAGCTGTATTTCTACTTCATGATCATCACGTGCTGTTTTCAAAATTTTCAACACTTCAGCTGCTTTTGATTGTGCAGCAACCGGATCATCAAAATATTTACTAAGTTTACGTTGTAACCAATAGGCATCGATTTCTCTTGGATGAATCTTTATATCTTTACCTTTACGTAGTTTAGTTACTGGTTCATTGGTTGAATTCGTAGCTGAACCAGAACCAGAAGAGGTAGCAGCGGCTGTATTTGATGCAGCTTTAATAGCTGTATCTATGGCTGCTTCTTCACCTTCGTCTTCATCATCTTCATCGTCACGAATTTCATTAGTCATACCTTCAAATTCTTCTTCATCCGATTCTTCAAATTGTACATTGACTCCATATGTATCGTCAAGATTACCATCACCATTTGCATGATTATTTTGATCATCATCAAAATTAAAATCGGTTATTTTTCGACAAAGACCGGACAATATGGAAAATTTTTCCGTTGCCAATGAACCTAATAATGCTTCACATTCTTTTTTCTTTTCTTTTTCTTTAGTTTTATCTGCTTTCATTACTTGAAGAATTTCATCAGCAGCACCACAAAGAACATCTCTTGGTTGATCACCAAGCATTTCTGATATGAATGCCAATATTAATTCATATGTTTCACGTGTTTCGGGTGTTTTTGGATGATATAGGATACCCATCGATTCGGTTATATCTTCGGACAATAATGATTTTTTCATTTTCATCATACTACCATCTGAATGATGATGCGATGATTTTTTCGTTGGTTTTTTACCTTCGACTTGTGGTTTAGTACGTTGATAACGATCACCCATTTTAATCGTAGTCAATTTACCAACCAATGAAACAACTTCACCCGTTGCTTCATCTCGTGGTCGACGTTCAATGAGACGAGTATCAGCTTGAAGAACCAAATTAGAATTCTGATAAAAAAAGGGATTTTATCAGTGATAAATAAAGAAAAAATTTAACACAAATTAAACTTACGGCTCGATAATCAAATTGCTGCGATCGGGCAGCAGCATCAGCCATCTTGATCGGATTCTAATTCTTAATCAGGTTGTCAAAAAATATTCTAAACAAAAAAAACAATCAAACAAGAATCCAAAATTCTGACAGAAAAATGAAAGCAGATAAATTGAAATAAAAAGTGTGTGGACCGGTCCAGAATCAAATTGAGCAAGCATTGAATGTACCGTTCATATAGGACGATTCAGAATCCTTAAAATCCATCATTACAATTTCAATTGAATAATTTCCCAGTAAAAATGATTCGGTTTTTTAAAAATATTGTTGCCAAATGACTCAAATTACTTTGCAAAATTCCTTAATCTCTAAGACAAAAAAGATGTTTAAGTTGTAAAAAGAAAAGTATTTCCATTTTTTTTGGTCTATTTCCCGTTTGTGTTTCATTCGAATTTTCGATGATAAACCGAAGATAAACCTTGATCATTCAATTCAATAAATTTTTTATAATGTCAATGATTTTTGTGAAAAAAAATCCCAATTTATTTTAACCAACAAATGTTTTTTTTGTTCAGTAAAAAAAACCCAATTAAAATTTTTTTGTTTTGGTTTGATTTAAAATAATTAAAATAAAAATCCAAATTTGATAAAATATAGTGCACATAAATGTGTGTGTGAAAATAGTTTTGTCATCTTGTTTTATGTGTGTTTGCCAAAAATTTTGTTGTCCACCACATTCATATCATCCAAATTACAAAAATACTGATTTATATTCGATCCCGAAACAAAAACAAACAAACAATAATCTCCATTGATTAATGTTGAAATTCAGTATTTACTTTTCCTTGATACATCTATATGTATTGTAAATTGTAAATTAAATTTTTAATTTTAAAATTCAAGATTCAAATTTATTTTATTTACCTGTAGATTTGTTACCAATGGTGATGGATGTTGTTGTTGTTGATGGCGATGATGATTACTACTATTATGATGATCAATATTATCTGGTGAAGCAGCATTTGATGTAATGCTTTTTGTTTGAATTACCTGATTCAATTGAAACATATTTTCATCATCAATAAATGATTGTCTCATTTTGGATGAATAATAATATGAAATTGCACCGATTATTGCACCTAAATGTGGTCCAACAATACCGACTGCCCACCAAAAATTATAATTTAAATGTCTGATATAACAGGAGTGTGAAAAAAAACAGAAGTTAATTAGAAAAAAAATATGGTTAACGAAAAATAAACAGTGGTAAATCAGGGTGAAAAACAACATACGCAAAAACTCTGCCATTATAGCCAAAAAATGCTAAAAGTATTCGTGGTGCCAGATCTCGAGCTTTGATATTGAAAAAAAAAAAATTTTTTAATTAAAATTCACCAAAAATAATTGCGACAAAAAAAATCAAATGATGTTCACTCTCTTCCTATGTCGTTAGTATCGAAACTACAACAACAACAACAAACGAAAAAAATTTCAAATGTTGATGACCGATTAACTCTTTCAATCATCAAAATAAATAAAATAAAATTTTACGGAAATTAATGATTTTCTTTTTGAAAAAAAATGAAAATTCCACATCTAAACTCTTATCACTATTTTATTAAACATCATCATTTGATGTAAATCAAGAATGTTGCCATGAAGATGATGACCTTGACAATGAAAATATCAATCGTATTCAACCATAAATCGTTATGTCAATGTTCGATGGTTGAATTATAGTTGAAAAAAAATCTACCAGGAAAAAAACCTAATAAAAAAAAATCTCAAATACGTAATATGAGAACCACTGTCTCTCTCTCTCTATATGTTAAATCGATTCGGCTTTTTTGTTTCATTGATTTCTAAATATGAAAAAATCATTGAAAACATTGAAAAAAAATTTGACATATGTGAAATGACATTCAGGATTTTTTGTTTTTTTCTATTCGTTTTTCTAACGATTCTTACGCAAAAACAAAACCAAAATTACTTGAAAAATAATTCAACAAGCCGAACAAATGTGTTTGTTCACATTTGTTCGGAAAATGTCAAATGAAAAAAAGAATGTGATCTGTATATCACTGAATAACAAACATAAACATAAACCATCTGGATTTAATGTTTATGTTGTTTTCGTTGTTGTTTTTGTCATTGAAAAAAGAATGATTATCATTATGATTATGATTATTTATAATAATAATATTTACCTGGATTTAATATAGCACCACAATTAAAATTAAAACCAATAATAAATGTAAATATAATGAAACCAGTTGTAAATGTTTGTAATAATTTTGGTGTATTCATTTCATCGCCAATAAATAATATAGCATATACTAATAATCCGGTGCTTACAATTTGATCCCACATTGCCGGTAATAATGTTAAATGTTCAGCTGGCGTTGTAATAAATATACTAGCCATTTTCATTGATGGTTGTTGTTGATTATTTAATGTTAAATTTTTATCAAAAAAATTTTCCATATCAAATGTATTCATTGCTTCAAAATATAATGAATATGCTATTGTTGAACCAATAAATGATCCTAAATATTGTGCTAATAAATATATTGGTACTTTACGCCATTGAAATTTTCCGATTAATGTAAATGCAACTGTAATTGCTGGATTAATATGGGCGCCTATAGGAATTTTTTGTTTGTTGTTTTGTTTGTTTGGTTTGAATATCCGAAAATAAAAAATAACAATTAATAATCCCACCATACGCAATTAAATCAATAAAAACAAAAAAATTTAGATAAATAAACCAACACACATACCGGATATAGGACCAGCAAAAACTGATGCAATAACAACACCAAATGCATAACCAAAACCACATGCAAGATTCATTGGTGATTTTGTTAGTACTGTACATGCACAACCGCTTATACCTAATAGCTATTAGAAGAAAAAATTTAAATTTCAAAAAACAGAAAAATTTGAATAATTAAAAATCATTTCTTGGTTTTTTTCGGAGAAAATTATCTCAAAAAAAAAATATGCAAATTTCATCAACCAATTGTGATTGCGCTCGCGTTTTTTTGTTCTCACTGCTTCTTTGTATTTTGGTTGAACAAAAATAACAAAGAAAATCCTAAACCCAATAATTAACAAACAAAAAAAAATCGAAAAAAGTATATTTAGAAGAAAAAGTAATTCGTGAATGAAATTTTTCATTCAAAAAAGTGATAATTATTCAAATTTCGCATTCATTCTTTGCGAATTTTGTTCATATATTACCCCCGACACCATATGACAACTCAATTCGTGTAGGAAATTATTTGACACGCAAAATCAGAATATTGATATATTCGTGATTAGATCTACCTAGATGTTTTTGCATTAATTTAAATTTTTGGATTTTTTGAATGGAAATTTTTTTCCTCAATTTTTTTTTCATTGAATTGTTGTCGCGAGATCATAAAATATTTTTATTTTTTTTTGGGATAACATCTCAAATATCATCAGGTGTTTTGTTTACCGTTTTTTTTTTTGATGATTTTGGATAAGTGATGTCTTAATCCTAATCTTAATTAATGTCAATTAAATAATGTCTACTTTAAACAAAAATTTTATCAATTAATCTCTCATCACTTTCAAGTGGTTTTTCCATTTTTTTTTTTCATACAACACTCATTCAATGGATGAATGATAATGATGATGGGTATTAAAATATGGATAGATAACTTATCTGAAGATAACTTATGGGTCATTGAAATATGGATAGATAACTTATCTGAAGATAACTTACCATTAGTATAGCTGTACCGATTACTTCGGCAATAAATTCTTTAAAAATATTATGCATAATTATTTGTTTTATTTTGAAACGTTCCGTTGTTGTTGTTATTATTTCGGGTGTTGAATTTTGTCGTTAGTTAAAGTGTGTGTGAAAAAAAATTGATCTTGAAATTCAAAGAAGAAAAACTTTGTCGTCCAATCCAAGAATGAATGAATGAAAAACTAGAAAGTTAAAAAAGAAAATTAGAAAAATGTTAAGAATATCAATATGAATATAATGATTTTTTTTTGTTTCAATGGTTAAAAAAGAGATCCTAGACATGTCATTTGACTATATTTTATATTCACTTTTTTTTGGGATATGAAAATTTTTTTTTGTTTTTTTTGGTTCTCGGGAAAACAATTTGTTGACTGGAATCAATGATTGTTGATGACGACGAAACAATATCAAGGTAATATGAGAATTTTTTTTTCCCACTGACACACACACCAGACAGAGAACATTGAGAAAAAAATCGATTCTGAATGGAAATTATTGTTGTTGAGAAGAAAAAAAAACAAAAGAAATTGAATTCTGGAATCCTAGAAAGTTGATGTTTTGAACTACCAAAAATAGAACAATTTTGCTCAAATTTTTTCTCGTTTTTGTTTATGTTCGCGCAAAACAAACAGTGAAAATAACAATCAAAACGAAACAATTTCAATTTTCAATGAAATAATCCGATATAGAAGAAAGAAAAGAAAAACTAAAATAAACAAATCCACCGATTTGAGCCCGATATTTATATTGAAGTGAATCCACATCCACAATGAAACAAAACAAAAAAAACGAAACGAAATTCTGGTTTTGATGGAAACATGATGATGTAGATGTGCGTGTATACAGTGTGTGTGTGTGTGTGGTGGGATGGTAAACCACATCCTTTTGGTAACATCCAGCCAATTTTTCTTTCTTTTTCTTTTTTTTCACTCTACACACGATAATCATTGTCAATCCTCAACATCATTATCATGATCAACAGTGTCATGGTATCATTTGATGGTTGGTTGGTTGGTTGGTTGACTTTTAAGCATCATTATCATCAACATTTAAAAAAAATGTTGTCAAAAAAAAAGTAGAAAAAAAACCCATCCAAATACATATATGAATGGTTATGAAAAACGAACCTCGTAATGATGAAGAAGAAGATAACGTTGACAATACGGAAATTTATTTATAATTTATATTTGTCGATACAATTTTCTTTTTTTTGTTTTTCAGTAGAAAAAACAAGCAAAAAATGTCAACAAAACAAACACACATCCACAATGTTTGTGTTGGTTTTGTTGACAAAAATTTTTAATTTAATTTGGCATTTTTCTCGCGAACCGAATCAATAAACGAAATTCGATCGTTTTTTTGTTTTGTTTTCGTAGTTCAAATTTGATTATTGAAAAGCCTCTTGTAGATATTTTGGAAGGGGGGAAATATTTGATTGATATGAGGATGATATGATAATTTATAATTTAAGTGTGATAATAATTAACATTCTTTCTTTTACTTTTCTTTTTGTTTTTATTAATGAAAATTATAATAACGGTTTTTTTTATTCGCAATTTTGGTTTTTCTGATATAATTTCTGTTATCAAATTAATAAAGTAATTAAAAACAAAACAAGTGCAATGGGTAATTAATTAATAATATATGTTGTAAATTTTTTATTTTTTACAACATTGTAACTTTGTTCTGGATGCGTGCCAGTACATTTTACTGATTACAATTTCGAAATTTGAATTTTTTATTTTTAATACAAAAAAAAATTCTGTGATTGCTATCGCCATCTGTTGGTGGGGAATTGACAATTTTTTTATTTAAATTTTTAAATTTCAATTACAAGAATTTCACTAGAATTACAAACAAAACATTAGGAAATTGGTTTTTTTTTCGATTTAATTATTTTCTCAAGTATTATTTTTCCAATGTATTATCTTAACAAATTACACAAAACGAATCCTATTATCAATGGAATCCTTTTTTTTACGTAAAACTTTTCATACACACAGAAAAATAAGTGAATGAGAAACAACAAAAAACAATCAAAAAAATAAAACAAAATAATGTTTGTGTTTGTGTTTATACGTTAGAAGTTTTGTTTTTGTCTTTTCTTTCGCGAAATAAAACAAAATTATTCATTTTATCACAGTTTTTTTGGCTGTTTGTTTGTTTGGTTGTTTGTTGTAAATTTATACACTTGAAACATACCATGATAAATAATTCATTAAAAAAAATGTTGTGTCGATAATGATGATGATGAATTCTTTCAACAACATTATTGATGAATTTCCGATGATCATTATTCTGGTTAAGTAAAAAAAAAAGTGGATTGTGATTCTGAATTCTATATAAATTTGTTTCGGGATTCATTTTGGCCAATAAAGATTTTTTTGTTTTGTTTTCTATGGATATTTCGAAATCCGAGAGAAAAAAAATCAGAAAATTATATTACAAACACACACACACACATAAATGTATTGGATGATTATTATAATGATGATGATGATGATGAAACAATAAATGATCAATAACTAAATTCATAAATCATTTGATAAATAAGATTTTGGAAGTCAAGAATAAAGAACAAAAAATACATTGAAATGTGTGGGAGGTAAAATCAAATTGCAAATGATGTTTATTCATTAATTCTCTCTCTCTCTCTCTCTCTTCATCGATCGATCGATAGATCGATCGATTTATATATTTGTCCATTGGGATAGCCCGAAATTATTTTGTTGTTGTTGTTTTTATTTTGGATTCCAATCAAACAAATTTAAAGATGAATTAATGGATTTGGTTTTTCTGTGTCAAGAGAGAGTGAGGGAGAGAGAAAACAATTCCAAGTAAAAGTGATCAAATTTCACAAAGAAAGAGAGAGAGAGAATCTTATATTCTGTTACGCAATCGGTATGGTTTTAAATTCTAGATTCCAGAAATGATGATGATGATCGAAAAGTAGAATCAGCTTATAAAAATGACCCAGAAACAACAACAAAAAAAAGCTTGATCAAGGTGAGTGAAAGAAAGAATAATAATTTGATTAACAATAAGAGCCAGAATCAATCAGAATCTAAATCAAAGAATGGAAAAAAATGAAATATTTTTGGTCTTCATAAACAAAAATCAATCAACAAAAACAGCCGAGAAAAATAAAACATCATCACATGATGATGATTTTCGATCAAACAAACATCTAATTCTGTCAATTTTTTACTTTATATACTTTATTATTCTCTTCAACTTAGTTTGAATATATTAAACACATAGACAACACAAACAAACAAACAAACAAATTCAGCATTGATGTGTCAAATAAGCAGAAAAAAAACGGATCTGGTTGATTGGTTTTAACATGAAAGTTATGTTGACATAGCTGCTGTTGTCAATTTTCTTCTTTTTTTTCTTTGGTTCCACGAATTCAGTATACTACAGTGATCCAATTTATTATTCGGGTTGCCATAGATTTTTTTTTTTGGCTAGAAAAACCCTCTACATTTCATCATCATCCTGATTCTTGATATTTGGTTGTTTCTTGTTTGTTTTTTTCTCCGCCTTATTGTTGTCCAGCGATATGATTATTTCCAAAATTATTTCCTTTCCAAGTTCTTGATATGTCAGTTGTTGAACAAAAAAAAAAGTTTATTGTTTGTCAATTGAAGTGTGTGTGTGTGTGTACGAACACTTTAATCTGATTGATTGAAACACTGTCAAATCTGAAAGCAAGAATTTATTCACATTTCGGTTAATCGCGGTCAAATCAATATTTTTTTTTTCTTTGAAAAAAAAAATTCAAAAAAAAAAGAAGATCAAATTAACGATTTTGACAAACCGGATTTTTTTTTTCCAAAACCAAAATTATCATGTGATGATGATGATGATGATATTGAATATATACCAACCAAGCAAAAAATCCATGTCCAAAAAAAAAAATTTTGGGATCTTTTTATTCATTTGTTTTCTCTCTCTCTCTTTTGGTGTATATCATATTACAAATCTATGTGGGTGGATATAGTTGTTGTACAAATTGTTTCACATTTCATCACATTTCGTTTTGTTCATCATATCGATTCAAATTGAATATTCACTTTGTACATCACTTGATAGTTTTTGTTGTTTTTTTTTTCGTTGTTCAAAAACAGAAATGAATTTTTTGTTTTTCGTGCATCATTTCTATCATGTTGAATTTGTTGTTTTCGTTCCAGAAAACAAAAATGTTTTTCTCGAGAATTTGAAAATCCGAATACATTTTGATGAATTTTTTCATTTTGTCCTGTTTTTTTTTGTTTCATTCAAACTCGATATTTTTTTTCATCATCATCATCATCCTCAACATTGAATGTGTTTCAGAGATTTTTCTTTTGTTGTTGTTGTTCTTTTGTTATTGGGCAATTTATTATTATTTTGTTTTTCTTCTTCTTCTTCCGTTGTTCCGTTATTATTATTTTGTTTTGCTTTGTTGTTGTTGTTGTTGTTGTTGTTTGCCATCCATTTTGTCGATTATCTTCAACAACAAACAAACAAACAAATTCAAAACGGATATGAATGGAAAACCTGAGCAGAAAAATATTCGATATATTCAGAGCGCCGTACAGATATGACGTGATGATAAAATTTTTTCTTGAGAAAATTTTTTATGAAAAAAAAATTGTTCAAAGTTTCATTTTTTATCGAAATTTCTTGATTGTCCCGAATTAGAAAGTATTTTTTTTTGTTTCACGAGTGAAGAAACAAAGTCCATTGATGAACACAAAAAATTGAAATTTGAGATTTTCAAATTTATTCAATTTTTTCGCTGATTTCTATCAATCAAAGAAAAACTGGAAAAAAAATAGAAATTGTTTTGATTTACTTTTCTCGGGTAAAATCCGTCATCCATTGTTAATTATTTATCCTTGCATCATGCTTGATTATTTACCTTTCTCTCTTCCTTGTCAACCAAACAAACGTTCCTGGAACGCTCGGGTTTTCAGATTTTTCATTTGTTTGTTTGTTGGATTCGAAAGCCAGGAACAACAACAAAAAAAACAATCAAAGCTTTGCTCACAATTATCTCACTCACTCGCTCGCTCATTTTCATTTTCATTTTTTGTCACGAGAAAATCTATAAATCTCATGATGATGAAAATCACAGAAAAAAATGAAAATTCATA